ACCCCTCAAAGACGGGGGTGCGAGGGTCACCACGAGAGGCTCCTACAACGACTATGCTCTTCTCTGCTGCTAGGAGGGCCTTCTCGAGGAGGTCAACGGTGAGAGTGGTGGGGCAAACTGAGAGGAAGTGGTCCCTGACTACGCGAAGGGAGTCAGGGAGCCGGGTGACTATGTAGTAGAGGGTGATGTACATTGGGGGGGGGGTTCTTGGCGCAGAACTCAGCAGGAAGCGCAGCGCGGTAGCGAGTGTCACTAGTGCGGAGGTGCGTAATGAGGTCAGCGACTGTGGGAAAGGCAGCAAGGTCAGGGAAGAGGTACGGTAGCATGAGGCGGCTCAGTGCAGCAGTGGCAGGGGAGGAGTAGCGCGCAACTACAGCGTCGTACAAGGTGTGAGCACTCTTGTACTGGCTAAAGTGCGCACGCTCAGAGGTAGGCAGGTGGCGACGCACAGCAAGACGTGCAGCAGCATCGCGTGTGGCCCACTGTGAGCGAACAGTGGCGTCGGCATCAGCAGCAGGGGCAGGAGAGGCACCAGAGGTGAGGTAAAAGAGGGAGAGACCGTCTGCCCTATCGCACTGTAGGAAAAGCTGCAGGTCATCTACCCAGACGTCAAAGTCAATGGCCCGACCCTCAGCGTCAAAAGCGAGGACACTAGGGGTAGCCATGACAGCAGTAGACTAGCAGCGCGAACAGTAGGGTAAGGGCAGTGCAGTGACAGAGGCGCTGCTCTTACCGGACAGGGCGGCTCGAGCGGCTCGGCGGGTCGGCAACTCGGCGGCTCGGGCGGCTCGGCGGTACGGCGGCTCGGCAGCAACTGCGGCTCGGCGACTCGGCGGCTCGGGCGGCTCGGGCGGCTCGGCGGTACGGCGGCTCGGCAGCAACTGCAGCTCGGCGGCTCGGCGACCCGGCGGCTCGGGCGGCTCAGGTGGCGCGGCGGCTCGGGCGGCTCTGGTGGATCGGGCGGCTCGGCAGTAGCTCGGCGGCGCCGGCGGCTCGGTGGTGACGGCGGGGCCGCGTGGGGACGGCGGCGGGGCCGGGTGGAGCGGCGGCGGGGCTGGGTGGAGCGGCGTCGGGGCCGGGTGGAGCGGCGTCGGGGCCGGGTGGAGCGGCGTCGGGGCCAGGAAGCGCAGCTCCGGGGCCGGGAAGGGCAGCTCCGGGGCCGCAGGGGTAGGCGACGGGGCCAGCAGAGGCAGGGAAGGGCGGCGCCGGGGCCGCAGGGGTAGGCGACGGGGCCGCGAGGACGGCTAGGAGGGGGGGGGGGTCGCGAGGGCGGCTTGAAGAGGCCGCGAGGGCGGCGTGAAAGGGCCGCGAGGCGGCGCGGCACGAAGGAGCCGCGAGGGCGGCGGATCGGGGCCGCGAGGGCGGCGCGACGCGGCCGCTAGGGCGGCGCGACGTGCAGGGGCCGCGAGGGCGACGCGACGGGGCCGCAGGCGCGACGCGACGGGGCCGCTAAGGCGGCGCGACAGGGTCGAGAGAGGGGAGCGCGACTCGGGCAGTGTAGAGCGCGCTCCGGGCAGGAAAAAAAAAGGTGGTGGGCCCTAGGAACAGTTCCCACAGGGGAACCTGCTCGATACCATGAGAAACTGAACGAGAATGTGTTGACTAAGGGAAAGTTGGGTACAAATGTAAACCCTAGAAAACTGTACCCCATATGTGCTACCCCACTATAGCCTACAGTAGCTATGTCATATAAATCTGACAAGGAGCGCCTTGAAATTCATGCCGCTAGGAGCAACTACCCGTTCTCCTGGCCGGCTCTTGCGCTGCTCCTCTCACCACAGCATCCTTCCCTGTCCCCCCCCCGAGGGGTAATACACTCTAAAAAACGGGGAAGCTAGGAAAATAGTATTGATACCAAGTGTTATGAGTTGTACTAAACAGAGTGCACGGAAGACTTTATAAAAAGGATGAATTACAAAGTCATGAAACAATGAAGAAAGCGAGCATTTATAGGGCGGAAACTAGCTAGGCGAGAACCTCGTGATGTGCATGGCTCGGAAATGTCGCGATTGGTGATGGGCGACTCGGAAGTGGTTCGGGCCGAAATGTAGTCCGAACCAAAACCTGACGCGAAGTGCTCGGGGCTGTCCTCGTTAGGAGCAGTTTCGGCATTACTGAATGTATATTGATTCCAATTTGACATGAAGAATAGTACATAACGCACCGTTTTTACTGAATGCCGCTCGCATCGCCTTACGGGGATCGCACTATTTTTTAATTATTGCATGTAAGGATTTTTTTTCGGCATTCCTAACCGCATACTTCAACCTCGCGTACAGCAGCAGCCGTTGTTCGCCCGTTACTGCTAACCGGGCGTCGCCAACACTCGCGTGCACTATTCACCAAACCGTACACCACTGGCCCGGCCGACCTACGCTTCAAGACTAGCCCAAACCTCAATGCCACCATCATGTCAGAATGAGAAGCTAGAATGACTGCATTGAAAGAATTGTGGGTACAAGTACTTGTTAGAGAAGTAGGTAGAGTTAGGTGGGCTTGGGAGCCATAGCTTAGGAGCCTTGGTAGTTAAGTTCGAGGGTGAGGAGAGTGTCGAGAAAGTTGTGAAGGGGAATGAGGGTTTCACTATAGGTTCAAGGGTACAAATATGAAAGAAGTGAAGCAAGGTGCACCACCTAACAAACAAGGTAACTACACTAAGTCTACATTGCAGGCAGTTATAAAGTGATGTATACAATAACATTCTGACACACCCCCTAACTGCCTGCAGTGAAGAACCATGTGCAGAAACACCCCCGGAAGGGGTACACCAAGTAGAGCGCAGCAGACAGAGAGGGCAAATGAGGAGGAGAGACTGTGGAGGAAGAGAAGATGCGAGGCAACGACTGAAGCTGCAGAGGCACGGGCACAGGAGCGGCTGACTCAGTGGCTACCGAAGCAAGGGCGACGGACTACTGGAGTGACTGGCTCCGCGGCTATAGACGAGCGGCAGGAGCAACGGACCCACTGGCGACTGGTGCAACAGGCTCACTGGCTACCGAAGCAAGGGCGACGGACTACAGGCGCTGCAGGCGACACGACAGCTACCTTCACACAACCTCCCCCAGCTGCCCCACTCCCCTCTCACACACTCCCTGTTCAAACCCTAGCTCCACTCCCACAGCACCCCCCTTAAACCCTAAACCCTAGGCTCCCACACACCCACCCCCCTCAGCGACAGCTGCAGCAGTGGGAGACGAGGGAGGAGGAGGAGCAAGGGGAGGAACACATAACCGCCACCCCCACACCCGCCACCCCCATGCTCGGCACCCCACACCCCCAGCACCACGGAATGCACGGGGGGGGGAACGGGACGGGCTGCAGGTGCGGGCTGCTCCAGGGGCGGCCGCTGCAGGTGCGGGCTGCTCCAGGGGCGGCTGCTGCAGTTGCTGGCTGCTCCAGGGGCGGCTGCTGCAGGTGAGGGCTGCTCCAGGGGCGGCTGCTGCAGGTGCAGGCTGCTCCAGGGGCGGCTGCTGCAGTTGCGGGCTGCTCCAGGGGCGGCTGCTGCAGGTGCGGGCTGCTCCAGGGGCGGCTGCTGCGGTTGAGGGCTGCTCCAGGGGCGGCTGCTGCAGGTGCAGGCTGCTCCAGGGGCGGCTGCTGCAGTTGCGGGCTGCTCCAGGGGCGGCTGCTGCAGGGGCGGCCGCTTCAGGGGCGGCTGCTGCAGGGGTAGCGGCTGCTGGGGCGGCTGCTGCAGTGGCGGCTGCTCCAGGGGCTGCTGCTGCAGTGGTGGCTCCAGGGGCGGCTGCTGCAGTGACGGCTGCTCCAGGGGCGGCTGCTGCAGCGGCGGTTGCTCCAGGGGCGGCTGCTGCTGGGGCGGCTGCTGCAGTGGCGGCTCCAGGGGCGGCTGCTGCAGTGACGGCTGCTCCAGGGGCGGCGGCTCCAGGGGCGGCTGCTGCAGCGGCGGCTGCTCCAGGGGCGGCTGCTGCTGGGGCGGCTGCTGCTGGGGTGGCTGCTCCAGGGGCGGCTGCTGTTGCAAGGCAGGCCCGCGCGCTGCTGCAAAGCAGGCACGGGCGCAAGGGAGGCAGAGGCGGCGGCCAGGGGGGGGTGCGCCGCAACGAGCAGGTGACAGGGCCACAAGGGGCGGCAACGGAGCCGCTAGGGGCGGCAACGGGGCCGCGAAGAGCGGCGACGGGGCCGCTAGGGGCGGCAACGGGGCCGCTAAAGGCGGCGACGGTGCCGAGATGGGGCGGCGACAGGGCCGCGAAGTGTGGCGACGGGGCCACCGAGGGTAGCGCGAGGGGCCGTGAGAGGAGCAGCGACGGGGCCGCGAAGAGGCCGTGAGGGGCCGAGAAGGGCGGCGTCCGCGCGTCCGGGGCGCACGGCGTGCGGAAAACCGCCACGCGCCCCGAGCGCGTGGCGGGAAGAAAAAAGTGTCGCGCGCCACGGGGCGCGCGACAGAAAAGAAAGCAGCGGAAGCACGTGGGGCCCACAGGCCAAGAGCGTAGTCGCTCTGATTCCATGTTAGAGAAGTAGGTAGAGTTAGGTGGGCTTGGGAGCCATAGCTTAGGAGCCTTGGTAGTTAAGTTCGAGGGTGAGGAGAGTGTCGAGAAAGTTGTGAAGGGGAATGAGGGTTTCACTATAGGTTCAAGGGTACAAATATGAAAGAAGTGAAGCAAGGTGCACCACCTAACAAACAAGGTAACTACACTAAGTCTACATTGCAGGCAGTTATAAAGTGATGTATACAATAACATTCTGACAGTACTAACCCTAACATTGGGTCATACCCCATACAGGCTACCCCACTATAGCCTACACAGAACTAGCACATATATAGTTTGACACATCACACTAGCTAGCTCGCACGCACAGCATTACCGTGTATGTTCGCACATAAATATTCACTCATGCCTCCGCTCATACTTTGTACGGTACTCGTTTGACAACCTAGTGAACGATTCATGAGATGCATTACACCAAAGGCTATTTTCCAACTGAGATAGAAAGCTGACCCAACGTTGAATCACCTCCAGTAAAGTATCAATACAAGGATCCCTAATTTTTTAGTGTCGACCTAGGGCTCCTTTTTGTGTGGTGGTAACTTGCGATGGGCACGAGAGACAAAGACAAGAGGTTCCACTTGGATCAGCTCGCCATAAGCCAAACTCTTTAAAACGTTGAATCTTGGCCTGCAGATTTCCATTAAACAACAAGAAGTGCAGCAAGGATATTAGTGCGGGTAAAAAACGACATTTGCACGTGGTGGTACAGCCAAGTCTGCATGTTTGTAAAAAAAGTCATCCAACCCTCCAAACTGGCTTACAACAACCCAGTTTCGCTCTTAACTCATCGGACACATACAGTGACAGTCACACTCAGTCACATGCCCCACCGTCACATGCCCCACAGTCACATGCCCCAGTCACATGCCCCACAGTCACATCACATGCCCCACAACCACATGCCCATAATCGTACGCACCTTCTTCCCCTTGATATAGTTGTTGTGAATCACAACGGGTACCACCTCTGCCTGCTGCTGGGCGCGCTGCACACTACCGCATGGTAACACACACCATTCACAGCAAACACACCACTCACATGCACCACAGTCGCACGCACCTTCTTCCCTTTGATATAGTTGTTGTGAATCACAACTGGTGCCACCTCTGCTTGCTGCGGTGCGCGCTGCACGAAAAACTCCTTGCCGTTGGGGAACTTGAGCATGTCCAGCCCTCGCACCTGCACCTTGTTCCGCCGCTTCCCCAGCAGCTGGTTCAGATACCGCTGCTCGTGCAAATGCTCGAATTGCTGAGAACGGGGGGAGGGTTGTAGGGGGCAGAAACACACTTTAGCACAGATAGCCCTCACACACCGCTTCCCCAGCAGCTGGTTCAGATACCGCTCCTCGTGCAGGTGTTCGAATTGCTGAGGGGACGGAGGGGTGTGGTGTGGGGATGAGGGGCGGGGGAAACAGGGGACGTATAGTTGAGGTGCCTCTGAAATGCCAACAGGGCGCCGAGCCATGCCCCCGTCTCCTCGGGTTTCTTGTAGAGTGCCTCCTTGGCCATGCGGTTGAACGTGCGCGTGTACAGCCACAGGGTTACCACATGGTTACCACAGGAATGTCACGGCCTCTCACCTTGAGCCATGCCCCCATCTCCTCGGGTTTCTTGCACAGTGCCTCCTTGGCCATGGGGTTGAACGTGCACGTGTACAGCCATAGGGTTACCACATGGTTACCACATTGGTTACCACTCACCTTGAGCCACGCGCCCATTTCTTCCGGTTTCTTGTACAGTGCCTCCTTGGCCATGCGGTTGAACGTGCGCGTGTACAGCCCCGTAACCTGGTCCCATAGGGTTACCACACGCGGCGTGAAGCGCAGGAAGAGGAAACCCCCACACAGCTGGCCAGAAGGCTCGAGCTGAGAGGTGGATGCGAAGGGAGTGGAAGGGCAAAGCGGGGAGAGAGGGTAGATAGGGAAGGCAGGTTGGTTGGTCCCATAGGGTTACCATACGCGGCGTGCAGCGCAGGAAGAGGAACCCAACGCACAGCTGATCAGAAGGCTCAAGCTGCGAGGAGGTGGGTTGGGGGTGGAGAGAGAGGGGAGAGAATGGGTTGGGAGAAGTTAGGGGAGGAAGAGAGGCGTAGGGAAGGCAAGATGGACGAGAAATGGCTTCTTTCTCAAGTGTGCCGTCCGTCTTGTAACATGGTCACATAGGGTTACCACACATGGGGGGTCGTGCGGGTGAGAGGCAGAGCGCGTCCACGTCTGTTGCTCACTGTTGCTCACTGTTGCTCACTGTTGCTCACTGTTGCTCACTGTTGCTCACTGTTGCTCACTGTTGCTCACTGTTGCTCACTGTTGCTCACTGTTGCTCACTGTTGCTCACGAGTTTGCAAATGGATCAGACAGACAGCCGCACGGCACTGCGTCCACCCAACCCCCAACCGCCCATCAGCCTCACCTGCCCACTGCCCCTCGCCCACCGGCCCACCTGCCCGTAAATATCCTCGCACCTGCCCGTAAATGTCGTCTTACCTGCCCATAAATGTCCACGGATTTGTTGCCCATGTGCACGAATGGATCGGAGAGCCAGACGGCGTCCACGTCAGCAAGCAGCACATTGTACCCCATCTTGAGAATCGAGCCGACCAATCGCGTGCGCTTGAGCAGCAGCTGCAGAGGTGGCGGGGGGAGGGAGAGGGGACCAATGAAGGGGGGATAAGCGGGAGGAGAGGGGGGAGACGGGGTGACGCGGGGCGGGGATGGGGGAGAGGGAAACGGCACAGTGATGTTGGAGGTGCGTCTCAGTCTAGCTAGACGCCTTATTTTTGTTTTTGATACAGATCGCACACGTTCCTACCTGCTTGTATTGTATCCAATCCCCCCATGTTTCCATGGAAAAAAGCACACCTGTTTGTATCAACCTACCTGCTTGTATCCAATCCCGCCATTTTCCACAGAGAACAGCGGGGTGATGTTGGGTTGGGGGTGTGTGTGCCTCATACGCCCCCCCTCACCTCTAATACTACCACACACGTTCCTCTCAGCCTACGTGCTGACATTCTTACCTAAGTGCACGCTTGCAGCCTACGTGCACACAAATTCTTAAGTATTTGACCACTACCTGCTTGTATCCTCCTATCCCGCCATATTCCATGGAGAATGGCACAGTGATGTTGGGGGTGCGCCTCGCCTCAGGCCAGACGCAATCCTGTCAATCACTCGATACAAGCACACACTATGTTCTCCTTACCTTCTTTCACCCCTACCTGCTTGTACCCAATCCCCCCATATTCCATGGAGAACGGCACAGTGATGTTGGGGGTGCGCCTCAGACCAGACTCCCCCAACCTTCAATACAACCACACCTGCTCCTATCACTTTACCCTGCTTCCTCCCTATACAAGCACACCTGTTTGTATCAACCTACCTGCTTGTACCCAATCCCGCCATATTCCATGGAGAAGGGAACAGTGATGTTGGGGGTGCGTCTCAGACCAGACGCGGTCGCCACCCGCCTCGCCACCCGTTTCATCGCCTTAGCTGCTGCCACAAGCCTGAACCCCCACTTGGCCTTCCTCCTTCCGCCCTCCGCTCCCCCTCCATCCCCACCCCCTCCAACCCCTCCAAACCCATCACTACCGCTGCCACCAGCACTCATAAGCAGCCTGCTGCTCCCATGCCTACCCTGCCTCCAGTCAACCATCGCCCCGTCCTCTTCTTCCCCGTCCCCTTCCTCCCATTGCTGATTAAATTCCAGCCTGCTCTGCTCTGCACTGCTGCCGCCGTCCTTCCTCAGACCCACACGCCCTAGATGCTCGTCAAACTCTAGCAACGCACGTCCCATCCTCCCCATCCCTGCCCCACGCTGCTGCTGCCCCTGCTGCAGCCCCTTCTGCTGCCCGTCCCCTCCCGCACTCTGCAAATACGCCGCTGCCCTCAAGTGAGCGGCTTCAGCAGCAGCAGCAGCAGCAGCAGCAGAGGACGATGAGGAGGAGAGGGAGGAGTTGAGATGAATGAACGACGGCCGAAGGAGGAACACCGCCTGCCCCTTCGCAAACAAATCCAGCGCCTGTTTCGCCGAAGTGGTAATAATAAAGAAATTCGTAAACCCTAGCTCCCGCACGAAACACAGCCAATTGGTGAGCATATCCGCAAACCCTACGCTCGTCATCACAGCAACGACAGTGTTATTCGTCTGAATCACCGAGAGCATTTTTCTGAGTCCTTTCACGTCTTGAGCGTACAGTCCCCTTCGCACCGGCCGCCCGCACATGTCTGTTCGGGGCGTTCTTAGCAAAGCATCGGCACTTACAGCGCTTTTTTCCAGCGCTCTAACCACACGCGGACTCTCCTTCCCTAGCGTATACTGCGGATCGTCGAACAGTCTTGCCAGCAATACCTCCTTGGCTTTTTTCGCTTTCGCTACCTCTGCAGCCTCTTTTTGGTTCAGTTTCCGTTTCGCTTTGGCAGCGGCTGCTACTAACCCTTTCGCCCGCTCCTCCTGCTTCCTGATTGGTGCAAGCGACACGCACATGCTACTCCCGTTAATATCCGGCGCGAGCAGATTAAACCGCCCGTGGCTATCGAGTAACGAGTGTATTTGCTGCACCGGATCCGCCTGGCACGTCTTGGTGAAGTAATCCGTCCCCAGATCCGCCCTCCCCTGCCCCTGAAACTTCCCCTGAAGATTCACCGAACCTTCCCGGCTTGCCGCCACAGCTGAGATGGCAAAGGCGGCGTCTTTGAGGTGGGAAACGGCGGAGGAGAGGGTGAAGGAGGTGTTGGGGAAGGAGCGGCGCCAGAGGAGGATTTCCTCCCAGGGCGTTGGGAAGACGAATTGACAGTCGATGGTGAGTGCCTGGTGCAGGTGCCATGCGGGAGGGGGTTGCTGGGGCACTGGAGGGGGAGGACAAGGGAGGCGTGTGGGAATGTGGGAGGGAGGGGAAAGAGGGGCAGAGGGGTTGGGAAGACGAATTGACAGTCGACTGTGAGTGCCTGGTGCAGGTGCCATGCAGGAGGGGGTTGCTGGGGCACTGGAGGGGGGAATGGCACAGTAAGAGCGAGGGAGTGAAAGCAGGAGGGGGGTTGGGAAGAGGGACTGGCAGTCGACTGTCAGCGCCTGGTGCAGGTTGACTTTTGAGTCGACTCAAAATGACTTTTGACTTTTGAGTCGACTCAAAAGTCAACAGAGGGACTGGCAGTCGACTGTCAGTGCCTGGTGCAGATGCCACGCGGGAGGGGGTTGCTGGGGCACTGGAGGGGGGAATGGTAGAGAAGAGTAATGGAGAGAGCGAGAGAGTGGAAGAAAGAGAGAGGGGTGAAAAGACGAATTGGCAGTCGACTGTCAGTGCCTGGTGCAGGTGCCATGCAGGAGGAGGGGGCTGCTGGGGCACTGGAGGTGGGCACCCGGGAGGGGGCTACTGGGGCACTGGGGCGGATGGCAAGGAAGAGTAATGGAGAGAGGGAGAGGGCGAAAGAAGGACAGGGGGCTGAAAAGATGAACAGACAGTCAACAGTCAGTCAGCAACTGGTGCAGGTGCCACACGGGACGGGATGGCACTGAGGGGGACTGCAGGGGTGCTGGGAGGGGCAGCCCCCGCCAGCAGGGATATTTTGAGAATTCTCAAAACATCCCGGGACGGGATGGCACTGGGGGTGGGCTGCCGTGGTGCTGGGAGGGGCAACCCCCGCCAGTATCTCCACAGATTCCACCAGGAAGCAGCGAGGGCAGTGCTGCTCCCTCTGCCTGCCTGCCATGCCAAGGGCTCACCTGGAGCAGTGCCTGGGTCCAGTATATTGATCCCGAACAGGGTGGAGAACGGTGGGAAGGAGTAGAGCTCGCCGACGCTACCCCCGCCGTCATCACTGGGAGGGGCAGCCCCCGCCAGCATCTCAACGGAGTCAACCAGGAAGCGGTAGATGAAGGGCGTGTGGGTGGGTGGGTAGGTGGGTAGGTGGGTTTGAAGGCTCACCTGGTGTTGTGCCTGGGTCCAGGATGTTAATTCCAAACAGCGTTGAAAACGGCGGGCTCGAGTACAGCTCGCCAACACTATCACCCCCATCGTCACTGGGAGGGGCAGCCCCCGCCAGCATCTCAACGGAGTCAACCAGGAAGCGGTAGAAGAAGGGCGAGTGGGTGTGTGGGTGGGTGGATTCAGATGCTCACCTGTTGCTGTGCCTGGGTCCAATATGTTGATCCCGAACAGGGTGGAGAACGGTGGGCTGGAATACAGCTCCCCAACACTATCACCACCATCGTCACTGGGAGGGGCGGCCCCCGCCAGCATCTCAACGGAGTCGACCAGGAAGCGGTAGAAGAAGGGTGAGACGCGCGCCGAGTCTCGCAGGTAGAACGCAATCCCCAGGGCGGATTTCGGATGCCAGGCGTCGAGAAAGGTCAGCGCCGCCAGCTCGCTGCTGCCGCCCCGTGCAGCGCCGGCTGTAGCAGCAGTGGCAGCAGCTGTAGCGCCGGCTGTAGCGCCGGTGGATTTAGCAGCAGCTGCTGTTTTGGCCGGCTTGGCACCAGTGGCAGCCGGTTTACCACTGCTGCTGCTGCCTGCTTTGCCTCCTGCTCCTGCTTTGGCACCTGTAGCAGCAGCAGCTGCATTCCCGGCTTTACCTTTACCTCCTGGTTTAGAACCAGCTGCAGCGCCTGCAGCTGAACCACCCTTTGCTGCTGCAACCTTACCCTTGCCCTGCCCCTGCCCACCTTTCACCGCAGCATCTTTGCCAGAAACTGCTACCCCTTTCTTTGCCGCAACAGCTGCTTTTCCCAACAGGTGCCTTCCTCCCCCTGCACCCTCACCCAAGCCTAAGCCCGAAACCCCATCCCCTTCTCGGCTATTCTCCAAGAGAGCATCTCCCCTGCCCTGTGCAAACTCCCCAGGGGCCCATAAGCCCTCTCCCCAGTCCCCCCTTTCGTTAAACCCAGACCCAGTTTCGTTAAACCCAGACCCAGTTTCGTTAAACCCAAAACATCCATCCGCAGGTACCCTTTCCAAAGCACCTCTCCCACAATCGCTTCCCCATTCTCCGGTATCATTACACCCGAGCAGCCTCCTCCTCTGAAATACAGCTGCTTTGACTTTGTCTCTCGGAAACACAACAGCCCAGTCACTCTCCTCCCCATCACCACTACCAGCAGCACCAGCAGCATCAGCAGCACCAGCAGCACCGCCAGCAGCACCACCAGCAGCGGCGCTTTTCCCGCCCCTCAGCCCGGCAGCAGCAGCGGTTCTGGCAGTGGTGGTTTCGATGGTAGGGGCATTGGATCGTACAGTGTAGGGGCCAAAGCGCCACTGCACACGGCGGGTGGCGAGCATTATGGCTGACTCGTACTTGGGGTCGCTGTGAGAGGGAATGGATGGGGAAGAAGGGGGGAGAAGGGGTTAGGTATGGTTATGAGTGGTTCTGGTAGAGAGAGGTAGAGAGAGTGAGAGGGGAGTTGGAATCCCATGGTGTAGGGCCCAAAGCGACACTACACGCGGCGAGTTGCGAGCATTATTGCTGATTCAATTTGGGGTCGCTGTGAGTGGGGATGGATGGGGAAGAAGGGGGGAGAAGGGGTTAGGTATGGTTATGAGTGGTTCTGCTAGAGAGAGGCAGAGAGCGAGGGGCATTGGATCGCACAGTGTAGGGGCCAAAGCGCCACTGCACGCGGCGAGTGGCGAGCATTATGGCTGACTCGTACTTGGGATCGCTGTGAGAGGGAATGGATGGGGAAGAAGCGGGGAGAAGGGGTTAGGTATGGTTTTGAGTGGTCTGCTACATAGAGACAGAGAGAAGGGCGTTGGATCGCACTGTGTAGGGCCCAAAGCGTCACTGAACGCGGCGAGTGGCGAGCATTATGGCTGACTCGTACTTGGGGTCGCTGTGAGGGGGGTGGGAGGGGGAGGAAGGGGCGTTTGGGGGGGGAAGGGCAATGGATTTGCGTGGTTCTGCCACAGAGAGACAGAGATGCGTTAGATGGCACAGTGTAGGGGCCAAAGCGCCACTGCATGTGGCGAGTGGCGAGCATCACAGCTGATTCGTACTTGGGGTCGCTGCGAGAGGGGTGGGAGGGGGAGGAAGGAGTGTCGGAGAGGGAGGGAGGGGAATGGATTTGAATGGCACAGTGTAGGGGCCAAAGCGCCACTGCATGTGGCGAGTGGCGAGCATCACAGCTGATTCGTACTTGGGGTCGCTGCGAGAGGGGTGGGAGGGGGAGGAAGGAGTGTCGGAGAGGGAGGGAGGGGAATGGATTTGAATGGCACAGTGTAGGGGCCAAAGCGCCACTGCACGCGGCGAGTGGCGCCACTGCACGCGGCGAGTGGCGAGCATTATGGCTGATTCATCCTTGGGGTTGCTGTGAGAGGGGATGGATGGGGAAGAAGTGGGGAGAAGGGGTTAGTTATGGTGTTGAGCGGTTCTGCTAGAGAGAGGCAAAGAGATAGACGTTGGATGGCATGGTGTGTAGGGCCCAAAGCGCCACTGCACGCGGCGAGTGGTGAACCGAGCATTGAAGCAGTTTTGTACTTGGGATCGCTGTGAGGGGTGATGGACGGGAGGAAGGGAGAAGAAGGTATGGGTCTGTGACGCAACTCAGTCCAGGACTGGCAACTCTGTGACGCAACTCAGTCCAGGACTGGCAACTCTGTGACGCAACTCAGTCCAGGACTGGCAACTCTGTGACGCAACTCAGTCCAGGACTGGCAACTCTGTGACGCAACTCAGTCCAGGACTGGCAACTCTGTGACGCAACTCAGTCCAGGACTGGCAACTCTGTGACGCAACTCAGTCCAGGACTGGCAACTCTGTGACGCAACTCAGTCCAGGACTGGCAACTCTGTGACGCAACTCAGTCCAGGACTGGCAACTCTGTGACGCAACTCAGTCCAGGACTGGCAACTCTGTGACGCAACTCAGTCCAGGACTGGCAACTCTGTGACGCAACTCAGTCCAGGACTGGCAACTCTGTGACGCAACTCAGTCCAGGACTGGCAACTCTGTGACGCAACTGGCTAGCAATCCATGACTTATGAAGTTTCTGAGATCCTCAACAAAGTAGTCGCAATGCTCACTCCAATGCGTCAACTCTGCAGCATGTCCAAACTCTTTTCCACCAATCCCACATCCTAAGACGCTACTGTACCTGTATCTAAACTTCTGAATCTATAGTAACACAAAAACACAAAGCGTAACGCTTACTGTATAATTCAATTACTGGCAGTCCAGCGGCACAGTGAGCGGCACGCAGTGTTCGTCCCAGAGCACTTTGCTCTGCAGCATGTCAAGACTCTCTTCCACCGACTCCACACATGGAAGGCTACTGTACCTGTTAACATGATTTTGCATATCATGAAAGTGTAACATTCACTTACTGGCAGTCCAGCAGCACAGTGAGCGGCACGTAATGCTCGTCCCACAACACTTTGCTCTGCAACATGTCCAAACTCTCTTCCACCGACTCCACATCGCACGACGCTAATGTACTGGTTGTTATAATTTCGAATTGAAATTTGTTAAAAGTGTATCATTTCGTGTATGTTTCACTCACTGGCAGTCCAGCAGAACGGTGAGCGGCACGTAGTGTTCGTCCCAGAGCACTTTACTCTGCAGCATGTCCAAACTCTCTTCCACCGACTCCACATCGCTACACTAGGAATAGGAAAGAGAGTACAATTTACTGCACGATTCACTTACTGGCAATCCAGCAGGACGGTAAGCGGAACATAGTTGCTCGTCCCAGAGCACTTTGCTCTGCAGCATGTCCAAACTCTACATCGCATGACGCTTCATGTAAGAAACCTTGAAGTGTATATACTTACTGGCAGTCCAGCAGGACGGTCAGGGGCACGTAGTGTTCGTCCCAGAGCACTTTACTCTGCAGCATATCCAAACTCTCTTCCACCGACTCCACAACATGTACTACTGTAAAACAAAATAAAGGTGTACCATCTGCATTAAGTTTTACTTACTGGCAGTCCAGCAGCACAGTCAGGGGCACGTAGTGTTCGTCCCACAGCACTCTACTCTGCAGCATGTCCAAACCCTCTTCCACCGACTCCACATAATAAGCCACCACTTGGTAATTTCGTATTGAAAATGGTTAAAAGTGTACCATTTAGTGTATGTTTCACTTACTGGCAGTCCAGCAGGACGGTGAGCGGCACGTAGTGCTCGTCCCAGAGCACTTTACTCTGGAGCATGTCAAGACTCTACATCGCATGACGCTTCATGTAAGAAACTTCGAAGTGTATATACTTACTGGCAGTCCAGCAGCACAGTCAGCGGCACGTAGTGTTCGTCCCAGAGCACTTTACTCTGCAGCATGTCCAAACTCTCTTCCACCGACTCCACATCGCACGACGCAATTAAATGCACGTGCACGTGCAGCGAGTCGCTCTGATCGCCGGAATCCCCGCCGGACTCCTCCTCCCCCTCTCCGCCCCCCGCTCCCCCCGCTTCCCCCGCTTCCGCCGTTTCCCCGCCGTCGGACTGGCGCGACCGCTGCTTCAGCTGCTCCGGTAATTCCTCCTCGTCTCTCGCGAGGCGAACGCCTAAGTCGTTGCTCGATCCCTTGCCGCCCTTGTCGTCCTCGTCTGCGCTCATAAGCTGCCGCGTGATCGCTTTCTCGACAGTGTCCTCTTCGATCTCGACAAAAGACAGACCAGTTAAAGTGATGAAGGAGAGAGCTAGTAGGACCACTAGGAGTCGGAAGAACGCGGGGGAGGTGAAGAGCGCGACTAGCGGAGGGGGTTTCGGTCGGAGATTCTTAGGGACGGGTACGCGAGAGGATAAGACGGCGCGAGTGGCGCCTACTCTTAAGGAGGCGGCTCCGCCTTTACTAGGATGCAGCCTCATGTTGAGGGTACCTTCACACTCTAGACGGGAGCTCCGAGTGCTGCTATGTACGCGCAAGATTCTTCAATGTTGGCTACAGAAACACAGGCTCGACATAGGGCTGCAAGGAAATACTCAGCTCTTCGGATCATACATGTTTTCCCGCAGAAATGACTGGGGACGACTTGTGGATCCACGCAACAGTCACCTGATCTGCGATAGAGCGAATCAGGGTGATGTTCCAGAAATCGGCTCGCGATTGGCGCTGCAATCTTCCGCATTCATTAGAAGAAAGCATCATTGGAGGCCATTCGTATCGCGTCTTACGCGAAGGCTGGAAACAAACGCCATTACCGGATCGCAAGTTGTGACAGTTTCTTATGCCTCAAATACCAATCAATCAGCCACGAAGTTGCCGAGCTTCGAGCCGAATGTCCTATGTGGCTAATTGCCGAGCAATTTCGTAGCGAATGAGCTGCGACGATTCTGGCATCGGATAATGCGGTAGGTTGGCCTTGAGCCCTAAACTCCTCAAACAGTACTGACTTCACCACAAGACTCCATGACAGAATGCGAGAGGGGTCAGGACAGGAGGGAATGGGAGGAATGATCAGGAAAGGAAGCGGATCGTTGCAGGAACAAGCAGCAGCACCACCAGCAGAACGAGCACCACCAGCAGAACCACCACCACCAGCGCTACCCCACCTACAACAAAGATGTGAATCAAGTATAGATGAATGAAACCTACCTCCCAACGGTGAAATAGGTCTTGAATAGGTAGCAACCTGAAAGTCAAGTGTGTTGATGTTCCCTGTTGGCATGGCAAGCCAACAAGGTGCACGGGATGAAGTTCCAAGAATTTCGGGCCCCTGGGAATGCCGAGCCAGCCTTCCCCAATCACATCGAAAGTGCCAAGCCAAATCAAACATTTTGGCCTCTCGGAATTGCCGAGCCAGCCAGTTCTTGCTTCGAGATTGGTGGTTGGGAAAGGTTTGGGGTGGTACCGGTACAAGCGCATCTCCCGTAGTGATAACAGGATTCCTGATTTTGTAGATGCAGGTGTAGTTGAATGGGTAATAATATTGCTGTATAAAAAACAAACAAGAGAGTAAATTGTTTGAGGCAATGAGAAAACACATGGAATGTCACACAAAAGAGCCAGTTTTTTATGCTGTTGATAATTTCACCTCTTTCAGCTCCAGATTCTTCTCTCGATTATCTTGGCTTCCATATCCTTAGCGCAAAGAATGGGTGCAAGCAGCGCGACCCCACCTTTTTGCCATATCTTTTTACACCACTCAACAACCTCAACCTGCAACACAGGTTCAATGCAAAACGAAAAGGAAAGGCGATATATATTATTCATAACAAAAAAAATCAGGTGAACAATGGTTAACCAATGTCAGGTGCACAGTCCAGAAGTTTGGAGGCTTAAAACAAGAACCATACCAAGTACCGTACACCATTTTACTAACCTCAAGAAATGGTTTGTTGGAGACGTAATGGCCGTCTACAGTGTATTCCCCATCGCCCATATCTACAGAGAGCGCCATTCCGCCCGAGTCAGCCGACGAGGGTACAGACTCAACAGCTTGCTTGCGCACAACACCTGGAAACACGCAGGGGTGGATGAGTGTAGTTCTAGCATACGAAAAAAGGCACAACAATTGAACTTGCTTAAATCAGAGAGAAATACAACAAGATGGATGACAACAAAGAGGGGGGGGGGGAAAACCGCAGACACAAGAGAACAAAAAAACACCCACACACAAAAAACAAAACAGAAACCGCTACTTAAGAGGTGCCACGGCATTTTTTACAAACCTGTTATTTTGGCCATACGGTAACCTGTGCCGCCCAAATCCTCCTCCCTCTTGCCCAATCGGAGGCGGAGAAAGAAGCCAACCACTCGTGCTCTGACACCTGGATGGTTTTGAATCCTGCAGGCACAGAGGAAGGGCAGATAGACAGACCCTAGAACGATGTCAAGATGCTGAATGAGCATCTGACTTAGTGTGGTGCGGTGTGGTGCGGTGTGGTTTGGTATGGTGCGGTGTGGTGTGGTGTGGTGTGGTGTGGTGTGGTGTGGTGTGGTGTGGTGTGGTGTGGTGTGGTGTGGTGTGGTGTGGTGTGGTGTGGTGTGGTGTGGTGTGGTGTTGTGTGGAAAGGGTTCGGAGGGAGAAGAAGGTGGATGCGGATAGGAAAAAAAAGCTCACTTGACAATATCCCTTCGGGGGAGGCGCAGCGATTCGATGGAAGCGAGCAAGGCAGGGGACAAGCAGCCGCCCCCTTGTGAGTCGACTGGAAATTCAATGCATTACAAATGTCACACGTAGAGTCAGAAGGGGGCACTCACTTGACAGTATCCCTTCGGGAGAGGCGCATCGACTCGATAGAAGCGAGCAAGGCAGGCGGCAAGCGGCCACCGCCCTGCACTGCACTGTGTGGGTCAAAGAGAGCAAACCAGCTTGGAAAAACAGCAGGAGCGTTCCATGAGCCCGCTGCCTCTCCCTCCCCATTCTCAGGCACATTGGTGCTTCTGCCTGCCTCTCGTATTGCCAGGTCTGCTACTGCTGCTGCTGCTGCTGCTGCTGCTGCACCTGTGCTTGCCGGTTCGCAGCGCGCTGCAGCAGCTGGCACCTCCCCAGCTAGAATTCCTAGTGCTGCCTCTCTTGCTGTCGCTACTGCTACCCCTACATCCGCCCCTACGTCTGCTACTGCACCCATGGCTCTGTGTGCTACAGCACCTGGTACCGTGCCTGCTGCAATTCTCAGTGTCAACTCTTTTGCTGTCCCTACTGCTACGCCTGCATCTGCCCCTGTTGAAGCTGCTCCTGTTTCTGCTGCTAGGCCAGGGGTTCCGTGCGATGCAAATGGTATCTCTAGGGATGCCCCTACTGTGGCCGTTCCTGCTTCTGCTGCGGCTGCTCTTGCTTCTGCTGCTACCCCTACCGCTGCTGTTATTGCAGCCATTGGCTCTGCAGCTGGTTCCAAGTGCCAAAACTGATTACTTGGTGTGTGCGGAGACCCTCTTTCTGCCCAAGCATCCTTGTTTGAGGCACCTTCCCCAGCCTCTGCTTCTGCTGCTGCTACCAGTGCCATCGCTACTCCTTCCTCTGCTGCCACCGCTGCTGCTGCCTCTGCCGCTGTTGCTCCTGCTGCTGCTCCTCCTGGATCAGCTGCTGTGTGAGAGTCAAGCAGGCTCAGACGATTATCACACTGGGGTTTGAGAGGATCAACCCACCAGGTGCCTAGAGAACCATCCAAACGTGAGGCATCCCCTGCTGCCCCACAACCTTCCACTGCTAGGAACTCTGGGGATTCACCTGGAGTTTCACCTGGTGTTTCCCTGCATGCTGCGATTGCCTCACCTAGTATTCTCCTGCCTGCTTCAACTGCTTCCCTCCCTGAGCCAAGTGCTTCCCTGCCTGATAGCACCAAGCCTCTCAGAGTTACAGTGTTCGATACCTCTCTCCCCGTCCCAGCCCCAGTCAATGAAGTGCCAACCCCGGTACCAAATCCCGTACCAACCCCCGTACCAAGCCCCGTACCTGCTCCTGTACCAATCGTGTCTCTTCCCGTACCTGTGGTATCCCTGCCAGTGCCCGTGGTGGCCCGGCCCGTACCTGACGTGTCCCTGCCAGCTGTCTCCCTGCTACTGGTCGCGTGTCTCGCACGGGTTCTCGCCAGGTCAGCACACTCCGCCGCCCAATGACCTTCCGCCAGACACCACAGGCAGACTGGGATCGGCACGGCTTTGTCTTGTTCTGACTCCATATCCTTATCCTCGTCTCCCATTTCCTTATTCTCATCCTCTCCTCCTTCGTCCCCCTCTGCACCCCCTGCTCCCTCTCCCCCGTCTCCTTCCTCCTCTGCTTTCCTGTTGTCATTGTCAGTCCTGCCCGCTTCCTCTCCCTCCTCCCCTCCCTTCTCACCTTCCCCCTCCTCCATACGCTCATCCCCACCCTTCACTCCCTCCTCTCCTCCCTCCTGCTCCTCCATACGCCCACCCACACACATCCCTCCTTCCTGCTCCTCCTCCTCAACCTCCTTCCCATCCCCCACTTCCTCCTCCTCACTGCCTCCCTCCTTGCTCCCCTCCCCGTCCTCCAATCCCTTCATACTGCTTTTCTCTCCTTCCTGCTCTCTCTCCCCACCCTTCACCCCACACTCACCAGCCACTCCCCTCATCTTCTCCCCATCTGTCCCAACATCCTTTGCGGATCCAAAGCCACCCTCACCATCACCATCACCATCACCATCACCATCACCATCACCATCACCATCACCAACAGCAGCACCAGCAGCTTTCCCAACATCCTTCTCGGATCCAAAACCGCCATCACAAGCAGTAGCAGCAGCAGCAGCAGCGCCAGCGCCAGCACCATCAACAGCATCATCACAAGAACCAGCAGCAGCAGTATCAGTGTGCACCATGCCCACACCAGTGAGCCCTTCCAACCCCTCTCCACCCCTCTGTACCACAACCCCGTCCTCTCCACCCCTCTGCCCTATAAGCCCTTCCTCTCCTCCTCCCATTGCCTTTTCCTCCCTCGCCTCTCCCCCTCTCCCCTCCCCTCCTCTTCCTACCCTGACTGCTGCTCCACCAATCACCAAGTCATGCGGGGCTAGAAATTCGAACCCCCTTTCTCCTCCTCTTCCCATCCCCATCCCTGCTCCACCACCCACCAACTCATGCGGGACTGAAATGCCAACCCCCACGTGACTGTTCCCCATCTCAATAGCACCTCCCCCAGCTACACCTCCCCCAGCCGCACCTGCTCCACTAAAGAGCGCTCCCATAAGTGCATTACTGTTCCCCAGCTCAGTAGCACCTCCCCCAGCTACACCTCTCCCAGCAGCACCTGCTCCACTAAAGAGCGCCCCCATAAGCGCATTACTATTCCCCCCACAGCTCGACATACGCCCAGCGCTTTCACTATTACTGTTCAGTACACCCAGTCCTCGTTTTAAGCCCAGGGCCTTTGCGAGAGCAAGCGGAACAGAAGAAGGGCGAGGGGTTCCATAGGGAAGATAGGAACCGATCCCCGCCAGACTTGCAACCACTCCCAACTCCTCTGTTCTACCCAACCCCTCCCCAACCCCACCTGTGCCATCCTTTCCCCCTATAATACCTCCTCTTAAGGATTCTATACCACCTATTGCTGTTATCCCTTCGCCTGTGTCCCCCGCCCCTTCCTTCACACTACCCAAACCCACTCTCTCCTCCTTCTCCCCTTTCTTCCCTCGTCCCTCCCCCCTGTCTCCCCCTCCCCCTCTCCTCCTCTTCCCACCCCTCCTCCTCACCCTTTCCTCCTCCCTCTTCCTCTTCCTCCCTTCCACTCGCCTGTCCACTTCCCCTTTGGCACCCAGCCGGCCAATCAGAGCCGAGGTTTCGGAGTCAAGAGTTTCAACGCAAGTCAACAGGGTGTGGCCGGGCAGCCCGCAAAAATCACAGCGGGGGCTCCAGCCAATGAGGGACCGGCCCAGGGCCAGGTAGCCGATTTCCAGGATGGGAAGGAGCATGCACCTGGCACTGGTTGCAGTTGGGGGGAGGGCAGTAGCATTGCTAAGATCACCAGTAGCCGTAGCAGCAGCGTCGGCAACAGCAGCAGCAGCAGCAGCATCACCAGCACCGGCAGCAGCATCAGTATTCGTGGCAGCAAGGCCTTCCTCTCCTCCACCATCCATACCCCTTCCTGCTCCTTCTCTCCCCGCCCTTTCTCCATCATCCGCCTCTCTTACTCCCTCTCCTCTCTCTCCTCCCTGTATCCCCTCTCCACCCCCTCCTCCTCCTCGATCCACTCTATCCTCTCTTCCCTCTCCACCCTCTCGCACCCCATTCAACTGCCTCACACCCATGCCCTTCCCAACAAGCCCTAGGCTCCGTTCCTGCCAGCCAATCTCCTCGCGCCACCTGGCAGCGTCCTGCCGCCACCTCCGCAGCGCCGCCAGCTTGGCAGATTGCTCGTCTGGCAACAACCCTCCTATCGCCGCCCGCTCCTTCTCCTTTATCCTCCTTTCTCTGTCCTTTTCTTGCCTCTCTCTGTCCTTTTCCTGCTTCTCACCATCTCTCTCCCCACGGTGTCCCCTCCTCTTCCCCCGCCCCTCCTCCTTCTCATGCCTTGGGGCAACGCCGTCATCACATTCAGTCTCTTCTCTCGCTCTCTTCCCTCGCCCCTCCTCCTTCTCATCACGGACTCTTACCACGTCCCCCTCATCACGCCCAATCGGTCCTTCTTGCCTTTGCCTTTCCCAACCCTGCCTTCCTCTGCCATGCACTAACCCTTCCTCTCGCTCTCTTCTCTCCCCGCCATCCGCTCTCTCTCCATCTCTTTCTCTCACATCATGCTCCACCCTTTCCTGCCGCATCTGTATATTTGCTACTCCCACTCTACCTCTCCCACCCATCCCTTCTCCCCCTCCCAACTCTTCCGCACATCTCCCTTCCGTCCCCATCGCTACAGCAGCATTAACCACTCCATACATCAAATAACCCGTTGCAGCAAGGAAATCCTGTCTCTCACCCTGGGCCCCCTCCTGCCATTCCTCCTTCCCTTTCTCCTGCCTTTTCTCCTGCTGTTCCTCCTGCCCTTTCTCCTGCACCCCATACCTCAAATATCCCGTTTTCTCTATGCAAGCACCCATCCCATCCACCACTCCGTCCTTCCTCCCCTCTTGCCTCCCCTCCTGCCACCCCTCTTGCACTCCTGCCCCATACCCCCCTCTCCCCCACGTGTCCCCTCGGCCTATTCCAGTTCCCATTAGACGACCCTCCTCCTCTCCTGCTGCTCCACCTGCCTGCCCGTCCCTTGCCCTAAAGGGCTGCTCTACCCAGCTCTCCCTGTGTGCTTCTGCCGCCTCCACCTTCCTCTCACCCCTCACTGCTGCTGGAGCATATCCCCCTTGGGCATCCCCTCTTTCTCCCTCCCCCTTCCCCGTCCTCTCACCCCTCACTGCTAGTGGAACATACCCCCCTTGTGCGTCCCCTCTCTCTTCCTCCCTATCTTCCCCCCTCTCTCCTTCATTCCCCCACCCCCTCACCATGTCCCCTTCCCTCCCCCCCTGCCACCTTCCACGCACCTTCCTTCCTCCCTTAGCTCCTCCCACTGGCCCTCCCACACACCTACTTGCAGCAGCAAGGGAGTCCGAGCCTGCAGGTGCGTGAATTGCCGAACCCGCTGCGTCAGGTATGGAAACAGCTGGGACTGCTTTCATCCCAGCAAACCCCCTTGCAGCAGCAGCACCACTACCCACAGCAGACAGAGCAAAAGTAGCAGAAACAGCAGCAGCAGGAGCTGCAGAAGCAGCACCAGCAGCGACAGCAGCAGCAGCAGCATCGCCACTACCACCACCACCCATCACTGCACTTGCACCAACACCAGCACTAACTGTCTGCCTGCCCAAGTCAGGCCCAGCAATCGGATTAGGGTTTTGCAACTGGCCCGAACCCGAATTAGGGTTTGGGATTGACCAAGGCCTTAAGGTCAAATTAGGGTTTGTCCTGGGGCTCAAATTAGGATTTCCAGCCGATCCCAGCATAGCAGCTCCTGAAACGGCTACTCCCGCCGTTACTCCCGGCATAACTGCTGCAGCTGCCCTTCCTGCTGCAGCCAAACCCACTGTTGCTCCTGGCGTAGGTACCGCGACAGCTGGCCTTCCTGCTACAGACCTTGCTGCCAAGGCCGGGAGCCTCTGATACTGAAGGAGGGAGAGAGGACTGGGGGAGACTGCACGGGACTCTGGACATTCTGCTCCCTGTCTGTCCGCCCTGTCCGCCCCCTCAGCTCTGTCCACCCTCTCAGCCCTATCAGCCCTCTCAGCCCTATCAACCCTATCAGCTTTATCAGCCCTTGCTGACGAGGACGAGTGTTTCTGATACTGAAGAAGAGTAAGGGGACTGGGAGAGGCTTTGAGGGGTTGACACTGAGAAATCCCAGGAGATTCCGGGATCTGTGATCCTCCTCTGCCTGCTCCTCCCTTTCCTATGATCCTATTCGCTCCCACGGAAGCCTTAGGCTTGATCAGCCGTGCGAACCACTGCCCCCCAGGGGTCGAACTCACTCCTTTGAAACCACTTCCTTTGGAAGCATCCCCCTCAAAAGTAGATCCTTTGAAGGCATCCCCGTTATAAGCACTTCCTTTAGAAGCACCCTCTTTAAAAGCACCTGGATACAGTTGACTTCCCTTGGTTTCGATCCTGGGTGGTCGGGGAGAAACATCCCGACCTGTTGCTGAGCTAACCAGAGGCCGAGGTCCGGCACCGAACCTGTCCTCGGTTCGGCCCAGGCCTCGAGGAAAGGTTTGGGGGCATGGAGGCAGGGAGGCAGGCATGATTTGTGCTTTAAGGTGTGTTCGCGTGGCAATGGCTACTTGCACCCCTGTTAATCCAGCTTCAGGTCCTATCAGCCTGCCTTGCTGCGTCTGCTGCCGTGTATCTTCCAGTTGCTGCTGCTGCTGCTGCTCCAGCTGGTGCTGCTGATGCTGATGCTTATGCTGCTGCTGATGCACCTGACCAGATTCACCTTGCTGCAAGCTTAGCATCTTAGATCCCTCTGCCCGTACCTCCTGCTGCTGGAGTGACTGCTGCTGTTGCCCGCCCCTTCCTTCCCTCCCCTCATCTCCTTCCTCCCCTTCCCTCTGTTCCCTCACTTCCCACTCCTCCCCTTCCCTCTCCTCCCCCTCTCCCCTCTCTTCCCTCTCCTCCCTCTCCTCCCTCCCTCCTCGCACTTCCCTCCCGTCCCTCCTCCAATCCCTCCCTTCCCTCATCTCTCTCCCCCACTCAAGCCCATGCAGAGACGACCCGCGACCCAGGAAAGGCAGCTGAGAGGCAAGGGAGGAAGCAGGGGATGAGACAGACACCCCAGCAGCAACAGTAGACGTGGGAGAAGACACACGGGCAGCCACAGCTGCAGAGACAGATGCAAGCCCACCCCTAGCAGCTATAGCAGCTGTCACACCTGCATGGAAATCCAGAGTGGAGGTTTCTTGAGGGTTTCTCCTTTCTGCTTGGAACAATGCCGAACCTGGCTCCAGGGCGACTCCCAGACCTAGTTCCAGGCCTAGACCCGGACCTCCTGCCGAGCCTGCGCCTGGCTTGGCTCGATTTCTGCCTGTGGATTTCCAGAGCGAAAACTGCTTAGGTATGGGAGACCGGGCCCGAGGAAACCCATTCCCCCTCTCTGTTTGTGCTTCTCCCCCCTCTCCTCCTACTCCTCCTCCCCCTCCCCCTCCTCCCCCTCCCCCTCCTCCCCCTCCTCCTCCTCCCCCTCCTCCTCCTCCTTCCTCCTCTGATTTACACCCTTCACCCCGTCCATGGCCACCAACTGTACCTGGTCTCTCCCTACCCCTCCACACACAACGCTCCTCCTGGCTGAACCCTGCAACAGCCTCCTCCTCCTCCCCCTCCTCCTCCGCCTCTTCTCCTCCCCCTCCTCTCCCTCCTCTCCCTCCCCTCCGCCACAGCAACCCAGCGTCTCCCCAATCACCTCTCAAACCCTCCCACTGCCTGTCAAACCTTAACATTTCCGCTCCTCCCCATCTCCCTTCCCTCGCCCCCACTCTCCCTTCCTCTGATGCTCTTATCACTTCCCCTGCATTTTCCACCCCTGTCCCTCTCCCCGCCCATACCCCACTTTCCACCCCTACCCCGCTCCCTAACCCAACCCCTCTACCTGCTTCCAACGCACTCTCCCCTCGCAGCCCTCTTTGCGCCTCTACCCCTCTCTCCATCCCGGTACCTCTTTCGACCCCTCCTCTCTCCGCCTCTCCTCTCGCTATCCCCCCTCTCTCCTCCCCTCTGTTCTCCCCTCCTCTCCTCTCACCCCCTCCTCTCTCCTCCCTGACCATACCAGTCCGCAGGTCACTAGCCTCCCCGTCCTCAGTCCCGCCTTCCCCAGTTCCACCCTCCCCGAGGCTCCCCCTCAGGCTCAGGAGCAGGGAGCCTGCAGGTACGACCTGTAGCACCTCCCTTCCCCTCCACACTTGCCCCTCAGGAGCGTGCTGACCCGGCTGCAGGTGCTGTTGGGGGTGCTGCTGCTGCTGCTGCAATTGATGGTGTTGCTGTTGTTGCTGCTGCTGTTGCTGAAATTGATGGTGGTGCTGTTGCCGCTGCTGTTGCTGCAATTGATGGTACTGCTGTTGCTGCTGCTGTTGCTGCAGCTGGTGCTGCTGCCGCTGCTGCAGGAATTCGTAGGGTGGACGATTTTCATGATGCTGCTGGTGCTGATGCTGATCCTGGTGTTGCAGCCAGGATGGGTGCTGCTGCTGATTCCGATGATCGTGAGGATGTCGACGGTGCTGATCGTGCCACATGTGCCAGGGTTGTGGGAACTGACTCGGCAGCTGCTGGTGATGAGCTGGCAGCTGCATATGACGTGGCAGTTCCTGTTGACGAGGACTGGGAAGCTGCTGCCGCTGCTGCTGCTGCTGCTGCTGCTGACGTGGCAGTGTGATTCCAATTGCGAGGCGATCATCGGAATCTGATTGGCCCAGGAGGATCCTATCCTCTGTCCCGCAGCTCCCACTGTTCAACCCGCTGTGTAGTGCTGGCACCAGCAGTGCGTCCTCTGACCTCTCTGCAACACCCGCCGCAACAAAAGCAGCTCTAGAAGCAGCAGCAGCAGCAGCAGAAACACCCGCAGCACCAGAAGGAGCAGCAACAGCAGCAGCAGCACTACCAGTACCACCAGCAGCACCAGTAGCAGCGGTGTTCGCAGTTGCAATGGCAGTGGAAGCAGCAGGAGCAGCAGTGGCGGCGCCAGCGGCGGCAGCGGCGGCAGCAGCAGCAGCAGTAGCAGCATCAGTGGCAGTGGCATTGGCAGTGGCAGCAGAAGCAGCAGGATTTGAGGCAGCGCTTGGAGTTAAATAAGCAGCAGGGGCAGATTCTGAGATTGGGTTCAGAGCAGCAGCAGGAGCTGGGTCAACGTTCAAAGTCAGACCAGCAGCAGAAATGGAGCCAACGTTTGAGGCTAGACCGGCAGCAGCAAGATGCAAGGCGAGCCACCCACCAGCTCCTCCCACCCTCGCCGATCTCCCTGGTCCCCCCCCACGGCCACTCCTGGCTGATGCATGCCTCCCTCCTAGGCTGCCTCTCTCCGTTGGATGAGCCTGTCCTGGTTTGTTCCTAGCCGTCGGATTTCCTCTGTCAGGCTCAGCTGCCACGCCTGTTTCGCAGAGTGTTCTGCCTCTGGTTACCACTCCATCTCTGGTTACCACTGTACCTCCAATTTCCATTTGACCTTTGGTAACCTCCGCACCTGTGGTTACCGCCACCGCGTTTGCGGTTACCACAGTGCTTTGCAGCTCACCCAGGTTGTGAGAGCTGCCCGGTTCAAGTCCGGCTGGAAGCCTAAAACCTGCAGAGCTAATTGCTCGGCGTTGGCTTGCGCCACTATAACATGTAACGGGGCGTGCACTACAGGATGAGAGTGGGCCTGCGCGCTTGTGCGCCTGGGCTTGCGGGTCTGCTGCACAGCATGAGGGCGAGCCTGCAGGATTGTAAGAAACTCCTAAAGGTCTACCCTCCAGGTAATCATGCGTCAGCTGCTTTTCCACCTGCTGCTGCTCCTCCTGCTGTTCCTGTTGCTCCTCCTGTTGCGCCTTTTCCTGCTGCTGTTCTTCCTGCTCCTCCCGCTGCTCCTCCTGCGGCTGACGGGGCGAATCACTAAATCTCCTCTCCGTGCTCCTCTCTCCTGACATAGCCTGAGGCTTTTCCAAAACGTCAAATTCGCCTTCAATTTCCCTCCCACATTCCGGTCCTCCTCCTTCTTCCGCTACCCCTCTTCCTCCTAATCTTCCAGCTCTGAGACTGCACTCGCCATCCCCGATATAAGCGTATTCTCGAACTCTCACTGCATCGCATCGTTCCTGAGACTCGAACGAGGAACCACCGCCAGCCGTGGTTACAGTCTTATCCTTCAACCCAATTCTTCAGAATCTTGTTCTATTTAATCACTACAGCCTTTGTAACGCCTCCCTTCTTTCCCACGCGTTGCGTTGTCGCGACCAAATTTCCTAACTTTCAAATCAGCCGCTGCTTCTTACCGCTGGTCCTCGAAACGTCGCGTGCTCTGATTGGTCATTCGCAACAGCCGTTGCTACTTCTCGTAATCGCTCTGTACGGCATAGATGCCGAGCGAACATATAACTAATGATATGTCTCAAACAGTAATTGAAACAAACGAACTCCAGTATAAGCTCCAAAACGACACAGCCGAGATTCTACCAGACAGAAAAAAGCGCCTGGAATATACGCGCTGTAAAATAACATAAAAGAACAATTCACCAGAGAAAAGCGTATGCTATCCCTCCGCACTAGAATCGTCGTGTCTAAACGCCAGAAACTCACAGCTTCCGTCTCGTTTCCGACGTCCACTCGCCTAAGCTCGCTCTAACCTTCCCATTTTATAACATGCCTGACCAACGCTTCCATTGCTCTGTTCCATCGGCAAACTTTAAATCCTGAAAGCAACTGATGTCTGTCGGTTGGGTACCTGGAATATCTAGGGAAAAGCTTGGAGGTCCAATGAAGAAAGTTGCCTGTTCGGCTTTTGTTTCTGTGCACCTCGATATTTTCGACCGAGTGCCAGCCAGGCTACTGGGTGGGCCTGAGGAGAGTATCCTTCGATATTCCCCAGCGGAGTATCCGGTCCCGATGGTCCCGACTATGACGTTTCTCTAATAAGAAATGCAGTATCTTATAGATACATGAACTAGCATCCATTAGTTTCCAACTTGGGAAAACAAATGCAAAATAGTGATGCAAGAAATTATGTTAATCATGTGGTATTAATGATTTAATTTATGTAGATTTAACAAAATTAATTCATCAAATTATAGCAACAAATAATTTCACAACCCTCCCAAGCTCGTTTTCCCGACCCCAATAAATTATCCTTGGCCCCCCACAATCAGTTTAGCTTGTCGAGTGCTCATTTGACATCCTGCTACATGAATCTAAGTGCAATTCACTCACCACCTTGCGAGCCTACCGTTTTTGTGCCATGAATATGAGAAGATGGTTGCTGATAACGTAACATGGATTCAGGTGCAGACATGGGTAGGATGTTCTTCACTTGACCATGTCTACTGACATCGCCACCCACAGATGTCTGCTGGAAGAGACAAATTCTTCCCGAGTCACCCTCACGTTTCAAACCATTGACAAGGTTTTGGTCCACTCCAGTTTGTTCCCGACCCGATGCTCACATCAGATCTAGCTCCAGGCAGGCCTTGATGACACCCACTCGTACTCCCCTTTCCTTCTAGCTGTGCATCTGCTGAAGGAATCTCACTCCCCCTTAAGCGTCCCAAAAATCACGGAGACAAGGGCAAAGGAACACGTCTTGATTATCCTTAGCTGGACCAGCACAAGTGCAATATTGATGGGAAGCAATGAACATTTTTTATAAGAGGGAAGTTAGTAAGGAATGCTTCAGGAACCGCCTGGCCTGTTGTTTCCTCAATCATGCCCCCGTTGCCATTCCGGCGTACATTAAGGAGCCAGTGGAACTAGAAAATGTCGGGGCAGCAGCAGCCACAGCAGCAGAAGGAGCAGGAAGAATAGCAGCAATAGCAGGAGCAGAAGCAGCAGCATTGGCTGCAGCAGCAGGAGCAAGGACAGCAGGAGCAGGGGCAGCAGCAGCAGCAGCAAGTGCAGAAGCAATAGCAACAGAAGCATCAGCAGTAGGAACAGCAGCAGCAGCAGCAGCAGTAGCAGAAGGAAGAGCAGAAACAGCAGGAGCAACAGCAGGTGCAGCAGCAGCAGGAGCAGGAGCAGAGGCAACAGCATCAGCATCAGAAGCAGAAGCAGAAGCAGAAGCAGAAGGAGCAGCAGCAGCAGCAGCAGCAGCAGGAACACAAGCAGGAGCAGGTGCAGGTGCAACAGCACCAGAAGCAGCAGCTTAAGGAGAAGCAACATAAGCAGGAGACGGAGATGAAATGCAGGAACAGCAGCAGGTGCAGCAGCAAGAACAGCAGCATCAGAAGGTGTGCAGAGAGGAGGCGTAGGAGGAGGCAGGAAAGGAAATCCAGGGTACCATCTGGGGCAATAGGTTGGTGAGGAAGGAAGAGGACGGTTGAAGAGGGGAGAGGATGGGAGACGAGCAGTGACGAGGAGTGAGGAGGAATGAGGAGGATTGAGGGGAGGAGAAGAGAGATGATGGGTGGAATGGAAGAAGAGCAGTGCAACGAAGTGAAGTGTATCTCTTAGGGTTGAACTTCCAAAAGCAAAGACGGATTGAGGGCAATACGCCCTAAAAGAGACAGAGGCACGTGTTTTATACACTCTACTACAGAAATCTCATCGGAGGAATATGGAATAGCAAGAGGGGGTAAGAGTTTGAAAATCCATATGTGCGGGCACGAGGTCTAATCAGAGTCCCAACACATCCATTCTGGTTATTCTTAGGCCATAGCACACCACGTTTGAGTCGAATCAAAAGTCTGATACCGAAAGTCTGACCACAGCTTCAACACATGTATATATGCATATGCAGGTCATTCTGATGCTACAGCACACCAATTTAGTCCACTTAGAATTTGCCTCAGTTTGGTCAGAGCATTTATACATCTACACCCACCATTCTCATGTTGCAGCACACGATTTTTTAGACTCAGGTTTTACATCAGTTTGGTAAGAGCACTGGTACATGCATGCCTATCATTCTCAAGTCACAGCGCACCACTACTGAGTTGACTCAGAAGTCACCTCAGTTTGGCCTGAGCTTTTAGATAAAACATATGCGGTTATCATTCTCCTGTCACAGCACACCGCATTTTAGTCGACTCAAAAGCCGCTTCGGTTTGATAAGGGCTTCAAAACATATCCCGCAAGAACACTCTGAAGATGACGGTGTATACAGGTGGACCGATTGACAATATATGAAAGGAAGACATAAACCATACGATTCAATACAATGCAATACAATCCATGTACAAATATGAATGAAACACATGATCACAATCACAATCAAACTAATGTTACAAATTGAACACTTCAGCCTCTTCCATTCCTGTGCCACATGCGCAATCACCCTGCGGGTTGCACCGAACGAAGAAGCAGCAGCTTCTATTCCTAAATCAGGTACCCCACAAATATCTCCTGCTGCCACACCTTATCCATCGGCATCAGCAGTAGCAGCAGCAGCAAAACCATCGGCAGCAGCAGCAGTAGCAACAGCAGCAGCAGAACAATCGGCAGCAGCAGGAGTAGCAGGAGGAGCAGAACCATCAGCCGCCGCAGCAGGAGTAGCAGGAGGAGCAGAACCATCAGCCGCCGCAGCAGCGGCAGTGGCAGCGGCACCAGCACAGCAGCAGCACAGCAGCAGGAGAGAATGCTTTCATAGCAACAGGACCTACATCTGCAACACCAGACCTCTGCTGCACCACCAGATTCACTCACTGCCACTGATCCTTCCAAATCTGCCACTGCTCCTCCCGTACCTTCCACTGATCCTCCCATACCTGCAGCTGCTCCTCCCGTATCTCCTACTGCTCCTCCCATACCTGCCACCGCTCCTCCCGCGCCTTCCACTGCTCCTCTCGTAACTGCCTCTGCCAGTTTTCTCTTGCGCCTACAGCCCAGCCGCAGTAGCTGCCACTGCTCCTCCCATACCTGAATCTGCTCCTCCCGTAACTCCCACTGCTCATCCCATACCTGAATCTGCTCCTCCCGTACCTCCCACTGCTCCTCCCATACCTGCATCTGCTCCTCCCGTACCTCCCACTGCTCCTCCCATTCCTGCCACCGCTCCTCCCGCGCCTTCCACTGCTCCTCCCGTACCTGAATCTGCCATTTTTCTCTTGCGCCTACAGCCCAGCCGCAGTAGCTGCCACTGCTCCTCCCATACCTGCATCTGCTCCTCCCATACCAGTCACCGCTTCTCCCGTACCTGCGTCTGCTCCCCCCCACACCTGCCACTACCTGCCACTGCTCCTCCGTTCCTGAATCTGCCAGTTTCTTGCCCCTACATCCCATCCGCAGAAGCTGCCACTGCCCCTCCCGCACCTGCTGCTGCACTCTCCGCCGAAGCACCAGTTCTGAGGCGCCTCAAAAGACTACCTCCCACCTGCTCCTACCTTACCCACCGAAGCACTGTTTGTCCCTTGCACCTACAGCACCTTGTCCTTTGCACCTACAGCACCTTTTCCTTTGCACCTACAGCACCTTTTCCTTTGCACCTACAGCACCTTTTCCTTTGCACCTACAGCACCAGTCCTCTTTTGCACCTACAGCACCAGTCCTCCTTTGCACCTACAGCACCAGTCCTCCTTTGCACCTACAGCACCAGTCCTCCTTTGCACCTACAGCACCAGTCCTCCTTTGCACCTACAGCACCAGTCCTCCTTTGCACCTACAGCACCACTCCTCCTTTGCACCTACAGCACCACTCCTCCTTTGCACCTACAGCACCAGTCCTCCTTTGCACCTACAGCACCAGTCCTCCTTTGCACCTACAGCACCACTCCTCCTTTGCACCTACAGCACCAGTCCTCCTTTGCACCTACAGCACCACTCCTCCTTTGCACCTACAGCACCACTCCTCCTTTGCACCTACAGCACCACTCCTCCTTTGCACCTACAGCACCACTCCTCCTTTGCACCTACAGCACCAGACCTCCTTTGCACCTACAGCACCAGTCCTCCTTTGCACCTACAGCACACACACAGCTACATCTACTTCTGTTCACTGCGGCCCATCCCATGCCTGCTTCTACACTCTCTGCTGCTGCCTCTGACCTTCCTTTGCCGCTTCTGAACCTGCCCCCCCTCCTCTCTGCCTCTACGCTGTTCACTGCTGCTGCCCCTCCCGCATCTGCTTCTGCTCTGCCTGCCGCTGCCGCTGACCTTCCTGAGCCACTTCTGCACCCGGAAGCAGCTGCTGCAGCACCTGCCCCTCCTATCTGCCTCTACTGCCTCTACGCTGTTCACTGCTGCTGCCCCTCCCATGCCTGCTTCTATACAGTCTGCTGCTACCACTGGTTTTCTTTTGCCGCTTCTGTACCTGCTGCAGCAGCTGCCGCCGCTGCTCCTCCTGCATCCGTGTCCATATCCCTTGCGGCTTCCACTGCTGTTGCTCTATATCCCGCTACTGCTGCTGCGCCTTGTGACACCACTGCTGCTGCATACCCTCAGGTGTTTTCTCAGGTGGAATCACCAGTGATGTGTCAGGTGGATTTCCAGGTAGATTCTCAGGTGGATTTCGATTCCCGTCCTTTGCTGCCACATCAGCATCGCCCTAAAGTCCCACATGGCCTCATCATAGTCACACTCAACATAAGGAGCATTAGTCAGGGAACACACCCCAGATCTTGCCTTCCCCTCTATCTTTGGCTCTCCCTTTTCCCCTCCCTTTCTCCCTCCCGTTCACTCTCCCTTTCCCTCTCCCTTTCCCTCTCCCTTTCCCTCTCCCTTTCCCTCTCCCTTTCCCTCTCCCTTTCCCTCTCCCTTTCCCTCTCCCTTTCCCTCTCCCTTTCCCTCTCCCTTTCCCTCTCCCTTTCCCTCTCCCTTTCCCTCTCCCTTTCCCTCTTCCTTTCCCTCTTCCTTACCCTCTGCTGCCACAGTCCCACTACCGCTGTCGCCCCACCCATTTCTTCCCCATAGATCACATTACCCCCTGCAATTGCTTCTCTGTCTGACCTGGCAACAATGCCAGCAACACCCACGTGTGACCTTGCACCAGCTGCCACGTAACCAGTACCTGCCACGTCAGCCTTTCTTGCTATAAGTCACCATCCCGCCGCGACCCTCCCGAGCCGCCACATCATCAAGCATGCCTTGGCATGCCACGTCAGTAGCAGGTGCACGTGGCATTGCGGTGGCGCAGTGCTGACTCAGCAACATCAGCGCACTGGAAACAGCTGCCTGCCGCCCCTCATCATCAGGGAAGGTTCCGGGAAGCAGCGCGTCTCCACCACCCTCCACCTTTGATGCTCCAAGCCACTTCCTCTTCCGCTTCCTCCGTCCTTCTGCTGTTGCTGCTGCTGCTGCTGCTGCTGCTGCTGCTGCTGCTGCTGCTGCTGCTGCTGCTGCTGCTGCTGCTGCTGCTTGTGGTGGTAATGGTGCTTCTGGTGGTGCTGCTGCTTGTGGTGGTAACGGTGCTTCTGGTGGTGCTGCTGCTTGTGCTGGTAATGGTGCCTCTGGTGGTGGTGCTGCTTGTGCTGGTAATGGTGCCTCTGGTGCTGCTGCTGCTTGTGGTGGTAATGGTGCTTCTGGTGGTGGTGGTGCTGCTGCTGCTGCTGCTTGTGGTACTAGTGGTGGCGGTGCTGCTGCTGCGACATCTGTCAAGGTTGCTGTTCTTCCACCTGTTCCCACGGATGAATGGTTGCTACCACTGCTTGATAGGTGACTTTTGAGCCGACTCAAAAGTGGTGGTGGTGGTGGTGGTGGTGGTGGTGCTGCTGCTGCTGCTGCTGCTGCTGCTGCTGCTGCTGCTGCTGCTGCTGCTGCTGCTGCAACATCAGACAAGAGTGTGACTCTTCTAGCTGCTGCTGTAACATCAGACCACACTCTTCTACCTGTTCCCAAAAGTGGTGGTGGTGGTGCTGATGCTGCTCTATCTCTTCCAGCTGTTCCCAACGATGAGCGGTTACCATCATCACTCATGAGTGTATCACTGGTTGGGGGGTTTGCCGAACCCACAACCGCACCGCCCTTTACAATCACCTCCACTTCCACCACACCTGCTGTAGTCACTCTATCAGTCAAACCCCCTTCAATCACACCCACTTCCACCCCACCCCCTTCAGTCACACATGCATCATCACGATAACCACCAGGAGCAGCACGGCTGCTGGTCACGGCTGCTGCCATTTGTGCTGCTGCTGCTGCTGCTGTTGCTGTTGCTAGTGCTGCTGCTTTTGCTTGTGCTGCTGCTGCTGCTGGTTGTGCTGCTGATGCTGCTGATGGTGCTGCGGGTGGTGATTGTACTGGTGCTGGTTGTGCTGATGTTGGTTGCTGTGCTCTTGCTGCCAATGTTTCTGCTGCTGCTGCTGATGGTGGTTGTGCTGCTGCTTTCTGTGGTGATGCTGGTGCTGTTGCAACCGCCTCTGCCTCCGCTCCCCAGAACCCAGCGTCTGCTATGCCCTCACCAGCTTGCATTTGAGTTCCCAATGCTCCCACAGCTGAGCCTTCACCTGTTACGCCTCCCCCTTCAGCTGCTGCTTTTGCGGGTAACCCCCCCCTTCCCTGTGCTGCTGCCTTTGTTCCACAAGCTTGCATAGGAACTTCAAATCCAGCAACACTTGCTACCGCTGCTGCTGCTGCTTGTGGCGGTGCTGGTTCTGCTGCTGCTCCTGCTGTTGATTCCCCGCTTCCTCGTGCTGCTGTCTCTGCTCCACAAGCTTGCATAGGAACTTTGAATCCAGCCACACTTACTGCTGCTGCTGCTGCTGCTGCTGCTGCTGCTAGTGCTGCTGTTTGTGGTTGTGCTGGTGATGCTTGTGGTGCTGCTACTGCTGTTACTGATACTGCTGCTGCTGCAGCTGCTGCTTGTGGTTGTGCTGGTGATGCTTGTGTTACTGTTTGTGGTGGCAGTGGCGATGGTTCTGCTGCCACATCCCCTGCAGCAGCATCACCTGCAGCATCCCCTGCCACACCCCCAGTAGCATCACCTGCAGCATCCCCTGCAGCAACCCCTGCAGCAACCCCTGCAGCAACCCCTGCAGCAACCCCTGCACCATCACCTGCTGCCGCTGCTGCTCCTGCTGCAGTTGATGGTGGTGCTGCTGCTGGTTGTGTTGCGTCTTGTGGTGGCAACGGCGATGCTTCTACTGCCACATCACCTGCAGCGCCACCTGCAGCATCACCTGTAGCGCCACCTGCCACACCCCCTGCTGGTTCTACTGCCACATCACCTGTAACATCACCTGCAGCATCCCGATCACGTGCAAGCATAGCAGAACGGCTGCTAGTCATTGCCAGCATTGGTGGTGGTGCTGCTGCTGCTGCTGATGATGCTGGTTGTGCTGCTGCTGCGTCGGCTCTTAATTCTCCCACTGCCGCGGCTTCTGCTCTCTGTGCTCCCTTTGCAGCAGATTCTGCAGTTGGAATTTCCACCCCAGCAGCAGCAGCAGCAGCAGCAGCAGCAGTGGCTGTTTCCCCCCTCCCTTTCTCCTCTTGATCCTGCTTTCTGTCCCTCTCCTTGCTCGCTTCTGTCTCCTTCTCCTTCTTTTTCTCCCTCCCCCTGGTTTCTTTTGCCTCGTACGTCTCATCCAACTCCTCCCACTTATCCCTCTCCCACTTATCTCTCTCCTCCCTCTCCTCCCTCTTATCTCTCTCCTCCCTCTTATCCCTCTCCTCCCTCTTCTTCCTCTCCTCCCTCTCTTCCGTCTCTTCCGTCTCTTTCCTCTCCTCCCTCTCCTTCCTCTCCTCCTCCTCCTTCCTCTCCTCCCTCTCCTCCCTCTTATCCCTCTCGTCCGTCTTCTCCCTCTCCTCCGTCTCCTTCCTCTCCTTCCTCTCTTCCCTCTCTTCCCTCTCCTCCCTCTCCTCCCTCTCCTCCCTCTCCTCCCTCTCCTCCCTCTCCTCCCTCTCCTCCCTCTCCTCCCTCTCCTCCCTCTCACCCCTCTCCTCCCTCTCCCTCTCCTCCCTCTCCTCCCTCTCCTCCCTCTCCTCCCTCTCCTCCCTCTCCTTTCTCTCATCCCTCTCCTTTCTCTCCTTCCTCTCCTTCCTGTCCTCCCTCTCCTCCCTCTCCTCCCTCTCCTTCCTCTCTTCCCTCTCTTTCCTCTTCTCCCTCTCCTCCCTCACCTTCCTCTCCTTCCTCTCCTCCCTCACCTTCCTCTCCTCCCTCTCCTCCCTCTCCTTCCTCTCCTCCCTCTCCTCCCTCTCCTCCCTCTCCTTCCTCTCCTCCTTCTCCCTCACCTTCCAATGCTTCAGACGTCTCTTACCCCCTTTGACAACTCTGCCCTCCTCACACTCCCTCCACTTCCTCTTCCCTCTTGTGGCTCCTCTTCCTCCCTCGCTTCCTCTCTCTCCTCCACTATCTCTTCCTCCCTCTCCTCCTCCTCTCCCTCCTCCCGGCTCTCTTCCTTCAGCTTCTTCTCTGCTCCCGTTCCCCCTTTCCTCCCCTCCCCGCACCCCGTTCTCCACACCAACCTTCCTCACTTCCTCCCTCCCTTCCGTCCCCTCCTCCTTCCCCCTTTCCTTCCCCTCCTCCTCCTCCTCCTCCTCCTCCTCCTCCTCCTCCTCCTCCTCCTCCTCCTCCTCCTCCTCCTCCGCCCCCTCCTCCTCCTCCTCCTCCCTCCCCTCTGCCTTTCCTGCTGCTGATCCCCTTTTTGCCGCTGACGCCTTCATAGCTGCTGCCGCCATTCTTGCATTTGCCAATTTTGTCACCACTGACAACTGCTTTCCTGCGGCTGCGGCCTTCTTCCAGCCATGATTCCCATGTGCCTTCTGACTCGAATCAAAAGTCACCCAGCCATGATTCCCATGTGCCTTCTGACTCGACTCAAAAGTCACCCAGCCATGCTTTCCACTTGCCTTCGCGTCTGCTTCATTGCTCCCGTCGCTTGCCGCAGCACTGCCTGCAGCAGCATTCCCTGCTTCCGCATTGCCTGCAGCACCAGTCCCTGCTGCACTGCCCCTTCCCCGCAATCGCCCGGCCCATCCTGCCCCATAACTCCTTCCCTCCTCTTCCCCAATCTCCTTCTGATTCCACTTGGCGTTCCCTTTCCCTTTCCCTTTCCCTTTCCCCTTACCCTTCCCCTTCCCATTTCCCTGCATTTTCTTCCCCCAACGCCCTTTTCCCCCACTCACTTTCCCCCAACCCCCCTTTCCCCCATTCCCCTTCCCCGCAATCCCTTTCTTCTTGTACTTCTTCCTCCACCATACGACCCTCTTCCCCACTGCTGACGTGGCACTGAGCAGCTCCCTCACACTCCGCGCTCTCCCCCACTTCCTCCTCACTCCCTCTCCTGCTACCCACTCCTCCTCCTCCTCAGGTCCGTCCAAAGCTCGCCACCACCAGGAGGAATCTTCCTCGCGCTTTCTCTTCCTTGTCGTATCGCCTCCGCCCCCATCCTCACTGTCCTCCTCCTCCTCCTCTTCTTCTGCCTCCTTATCGCACCCCTGCTCTGCCTCCCCCTCTTTCTTTTCTTCCTTCTTTTCCTCTCCTTCCTTCACTCCCCCCTGCTTCTCTTCGCCCTGTTGCTTCCTCTCATCTTGTTCCAATCCCATCTTCCCGTCGTCCTTCTCTTCCTCTCCTTCCTTCTCTCCCTTCTTCTCTGCCTCCTCCTTCCTTTCCTCATCCTTCCCCTCCTCCTTCCCCTTCTCCTTCCCTTCCTCATCCTTCCCCTCCTCCTTCCCCTTCTCCTTCCCTTCCTCATCCTTCCCCTCCTCCTTCCCCTTCTCCTTCCCTTCCTCATCCTTCCCCTCCTCCTTCCCCTTCTCCTTCCCTTCCTCATCCTTCCCCTCCTCCTTCCCCTTCTTCTTCCCTTCCTCATCCTTCCCCTCCTCCTGATCCACCTCCGTCTTCATCTCGTCTTCCATTCGTCCCTCCTCTTCTTTCTCGTCCTCCTCCTCCTTGCCTCCACCAGGAGGAACCTTCCTCCCACTTTTTTTCCCTACCTCCCCTCTCCCCCCCCTTTCCTCCTCCTCCTCTTGCTCCTCTCCTCTCTCGCCTCCTCCCGCACCTACCCTCTTATCCCTTCCGTCCAAATTGACGCCTCCTCCCTCATCCCTACGATCCAGCCGTTCATATCTCCCACACGCCGAATCACCACCACCCACTCCTTCCCTCCCTCCTTCCCTCACCTCCGCAGCACCACTCTTCGCCCCTCCCCGCACACCTTCCTGCTGCAACCGCTCCTGCCGATTTTCATACAATCTGTCCCCCACGATGCAATCAACCCCCTCCCTCTCCTCTATTCCCACATTAGCACCGAAAGCATCACTCAGAATCTTCGCCAGACTCTGATTGAAACTCTCACCTGGACGATCCTTCAGACCATCACCCAAACCACGATCCAAACCACCACCCGGACCGCGATCCAAACCACTGCTCGGACCACCACCCAAGAGACCGCCTGGACATTTGCCTCGCTGAGCGCTTAGCTGAGTGAAATTGTTAGTAGTACGACTTTCTTGCTGCCATGCGCTTTGCGTCACACCAATACCTTCATCTTGAACGACACTTACTAGACGATCAGTGCCGCCTTGAGCTGCAGCAGTACTTAACTGAGCAGCGGCACATAGCTGAGCAGTGGAACTTAGCTGAGCAGCGGCACTTAGCTGAGCAGCAGCACCGTCATCCCAACTGGCACTTAATTTTGCAGAGCCACATTGGGCCGGATTGGCAGTACTCAGCATCTTAGCTGGAACAGCACTTAGCTGAGCAACGACCTCGTCAGCAGGCCCCCAAGGGGCGCTTAGCTGAGCAGTGACACTCTTATCTATATTGTCGCTTGAATGAGCAGTGGCGCTTCGAGCTAGGTTGGCGCTTAGCTGAGAAACTACTTCTTCCACACTCCTATGCCTTCTCATATTCCTTGAGATCCCAGCGCCAGCAGTTTCCAGTATTCCCCTCCTCTCATCATCAGCCGCTCCTCTCTCATTCAAGAAGCTAGTGGCAGGCCTAGTACTATCGCTGACGCTTGTGCCGAGCCTAGGATCACCGAAGCTCTTGTCATTCAGCCACGGCCCGTGCAACCGGTTTTCAGGCCGGTTTTGCCCCACAGCAGTGGCAGCTTCCCTTGCACAGTACTGGTGGTGGTTCTGGGGCTTCCCCTTTCGCCTCTTTGCACCTCTCCTCTCCGCACTCCCACTTTCCTCCCCAATCTTCTCCCAATCTTGCCCCGCATTCTTCCCTTCCCCTTTCTTCCCCTTCTTCCCCTTCTGCCCCTTCTTTCCCTTTTGCCCCCTCACCCCTTTCTTCCCTTTCCCCGCTTTCTTCCCCTTCTCCCCCTTCTTCCCCTTCTCCTCCTCCTCCTCCTCCTCCTCCTCCTCCATCCCCTTACCCCCCTTCAACTCCTCTTTTCCCTTCCCCACGCCGCCGTCTATCCCCTCCCTTTTGCTTACCTCTTTAAGTGGATACCACGCAATGGCCTCATCATTGCTTTTTTTCGCGCAAGGGAAGGGTGGAGCGGAGAAATCGGAGGAAGCGGGGGCAGGGGGAAGAGGATCGGCGGACTCCGGCGCCAGGTGCGCAGAGGCGGCGGCAGAGGGGGTGTTTGGGAGAAAAACGTGCGCGCCCGGCGCTTGCAACCGCTGGAGTAAGGCTTTCGCGAATGCCATTTGCGACGAGTCCTGCGACTGGCCACGCGTCTCCTGCGACTGGTCATGCGACCGTGAGAGAGAAAATGATGACTCTAGCTGCGGCAAACAGGTTGCTTGCAGCTGATCAGTTCTTAGCGATCCACAGTCGCCCTGAGGCGCAAGCATCATGGTGATCCCTGATTCTGAGGTCATTTCAACCGAATTTTGAGACGTCTCAAAGAAATGAATGCCTGTGACACCAGGAGCTGGTTACATCGTAACAAATGCCGCAAAATCACTTTCCACCATGCCTCTGGTGGCTAGGTAACAGTGGTAGTAATAAAAGCATTTTTTGAAGTAACACCCTAGTACCACTAGCTCAAGTGGTACTACGGCAATCCCAGGGTATGTGGTGTGGTCACGTCTGTCTCGGCTCTCCTGTACCAAAATCGCCTTATTGGGTTCTCGAGGCTACACCGCCTTATCAAGCCCACACAAACAGTCAAGGCAGGCAGATGTCTGGTTTTGGTTCACGCGTGAATGGCAGGAGATCGGCAATATCAAGGAATGTAGATGCGATAATATGTGCCTCGTTAGTTATGGAAACACCGCACCACCTGAATGGATGAGCGACTTTTTGTATCCTGACGCGGGAATTCCAACTTAATAATAACACCAACAAAAATCCATACTCTTCGTTAAGATCTTATTTTATGACAGTAGCAGACACATACTGGTAAGTGATCTAAATACAGCTTGATTCTAACAAATTGAGCCGTCTGTAGCAATTCCGAGCCCAATACAACTATCTTAGAACAACTAAAGGAAATGTACAAAAATGCATCTCGCACAACGAGGGGTTGTGCAAGGCTACCATGTATGTACACTGATCACCCTCTCACTATAGAGTACGAAATACTAAGCATCTCCTAGCCTGCACAGCACATGGAAAATGGTGGGGGGGGTGGGGAGAATGGGGGAAGGAAGAGGGGGGGTTGAAGAGAAGTGGGAAGAGGGAAAATAGAGGGGGTGTTAATAGAGATGGTAACAAATGCCACATATGGACACAATGGCGATGTTTGGCAGTGGTGAGTGTGAGTGTGAGTGTGAGTGGTGTATGTGAGTGTGAGTGTGAGTGTGAGTGTGAGTGTGAGTGCGAGTGCGAGTGAGAGTATGCGCCTCAGAGAATTGGGTGTTCCCATCCCCAGGCGACAGCCGCACCATGCCCTTGAGCCGACTGCCTATCTTGATGGTGAGGTGCGACAGTGGTGAACGGTGAGATAGAGTGTGGGTGTGAGTGTGAGTGTGAGTGTGAGTGTGAGTGCGAGTGAGAGTATGCACCTCAGGAAACTGGGTGTTGCCGTCCCCAGGCGACAGCCGCACCATGCCCTTGGGCCCACTGCCTATCTTCATGGCGAGGTTGTGGGTGGTGACTGTGAGTGTGAGGTGAGTGCGAGGTGAGTGCGGGTGGTGAGTGCGAGGTGCGTGCGGGTGGTGAGTGCGAGTGGTGAACGTGCTTGTGAATGTAAACTCCGTGTGAGCATGAGCACTTACCTCGGGAAACTGCGTGTTGCCGTCCCCAGGCGACAGCCGCACCATGCCTTTAGGCCCGCTGCCTATCTTGATGGTGAGGGTTGACAGGTGCACCGTGAAGCATGCCCCGCTGTATGCCTGATGGGCATCAGGAGCAAGGGTGGAAGAAGGTAGGATAGATCAATGGGAGGGGGTTGTGCCCACCGCCTATCTTGAAGAGAAAGCAGATAGCCACTTGATAAAGGAGAGCTTTTTCAGACGTCTCAAAAGATCCATGGGAGGGGGTTGTACCCACCACCTATCTTCTTGTCGGTAAGGTGGGACAGGTGCACCGTGAAGCACACCACGTGTGTGTACGAGTGTATGGGTTGGTTTACCTTTATATATATATGTATATATATATATATGTATACGTATATATATATGTGTATATGTATATGTATATGTATATGTATATATATCACAAAAAGTGCCTGGGAAGCACAGCACATGAGTGTGCAAGCATATGGGTTTGCCAAGATGGGCCATTCATAGGCTGCAGTGGATACTTACGGGAGTCCGACTTCTGATCTGAGGCACCTAAAAGATGGATACTTACTCACAGGAGTCCGTTTAGGGTTTAGGGTGGTGGTTGGTGGTGAGCGGTGTGAGTCATGCTTGATTTGCACCCACTCACTCACGTAAACACTTACGGGCGTCAACTGAGGCTCACACTCACTCACTCACGGGTATCCGTTTGACGTCCAGGGTCGTGGTGGCGGGGCGGATAGAGGAGCAAGGTGGGATGGAGGGCAGGGAGGTGTGAGTCACAACTGTGCAGGCCTGAGTGTGATTATCTGCACTCACTTCACTCTCTCACTCACTCCCTTACTCCCTCACAGACTCACTCCCTCACTCACTCACCGGTATCCGTTTGACGTTCAGGGTGGTGGTGACGAGGCGAATGGAGGGGCAGGGAGGAATGAGGGGTTTCTTGGGGTTGCGTGTTGAGGAGGGAGGCACGACCACGAAGGCAGGGCACTTGCGTAGTTTCATCTGCAAGGGAAGGGAGGGAGAGGAGGGGCAGAAAGGGGAGGAAAGGATGGAAGGGCAGAACGGGAAGGGTTTGTTTCGTGGCCAAGGGTTTCGGGCTTTGTCATACATCCGTTTGATGGATGTGGGGTGCTAATCGTGTGGTGAGAGTGGGTGCTTGCACACAGAATGGTGAGGGTGGGTGCACTGTGGTGAGAGTGGGTGTTTGCACACAGAATGGTGAGAGTGTGTCGGTTCTCACATTGAGAAAGTTGACCGCATTGGGTCTTACATGAAGGGCAAGTTGGGAAGCCTGGTTAGGAGTCGATTGGGTAGGTGAAGCACAGGTGCACGAGCAAGCGCACAAGCACATGCACGGGGTACAAGGCATGGGGTACAAGCACAGGCACAGGTGTATGGGCTGTAAGCACGTACCTGTGCAACACGGCTAGTGTGAAGGGCACGTTGGGAAGCATGGTGACGAGCAGGGCGACAGGGGAAAGGTTTGGGGTATAAGCATCAAGCACAGGAGGGGGGGAGGGGAGGAGACAAGCATGTTCCTGTGCAATACGCCCTGTGTGAAGGGCACGTTGGGAAGCATAGTGACGAGCAGGGCGACAGGGCAGGGACAAGCACAGGGTGGACGGGGCAAGGGCCACAAGGTATGGGCTACGAGCACGTACCTGTGCAATACGCCCTGTGTGAAGGGCACGTTGGGGAGCATAGAGACGAGTGCTACACGCACACGCACAAGCATATACTAGCACAGGGAGGGTTTGGGAGAGTTACAAGCACGTACCTGTGCAATACGCCCTGCTTGAAGGGCACGTTGGGGAGCATAGAGACGAGTGCTACACGCACACGCACAAGCATATACTAGCACAGGGAGGGTTTGGGAGAGTTACAAGCACGTACCTGTGCAATACGCCCTGCTTGAAGGGCACGTTGGGGAGCATAGAGACGAGTGCTACACGCACACGCACAAGCATATACTAGCACAGGGAGGGTTTGGGAGAGTTACAAGCACGTACCTGTGCAATACGCCCTGCTTGAAGGGCACGTTGGGGAGCATAGAGACGAGTGCTACACGCACACGCACAAGCATATACTAGCACAGGGAGGGTTTGGGAGAGTTACAAGCACGTACCTGTGCAATACGCCCTGCTTGAAGGGCACGTTGAGAAGCATAGAGACGAGCAGGGCGACGGGAACGGGACAAGCACAGGGTGCACGGGCACAAGCACAGGAACGGTCACTGACACAAGGTATGGGCTACAAGCACGTACCTGTGCAATACGCCTTGGGTGAAGGGCACGTTGGGAAGCATAGAGACGAGCAGGGCGACAGGGACAAAGCCGAGGCTGTTGTTGAAGGAGAGATCGCACTTCTGATGGGTTGGGGAGGGGAGAGCGGAGGAGGGGCTTAAGGGGACATGCACGGAGACTGGGGGGAGAGCGCGTTGAGGTGACGAGCAGGACGACAGGCACGAAGCCAAGGCTGTTGTTGAACGAGAGATGGCACTTCTGGTGTGGGGTGGGGGGGGGGGAAGAGGGGAGAAGCTGATGGAGGGGCATGAGGGGCATGAGGAGTGGTGGGGGGGACGAAGCCAAGGCTGTTGTTGAACGAGATATGGCACTTCTGGTGTGAGGAGAAGAGGGGGAGGGAGAGAGGGGGAGAAAGGGAGAGGGGAGGAGAGAGGGAGGGAAAGAGGGTTGAAAAGTGACATGGGGAGAAAGGGTTTTGTGGGGAGATTCGTTGAGGTGGCGAGGAGGGCGACAGGGACAAAGCTGGGACCGTTGTTGCGAGATCGCACTTTTGGTGGGAGCAGCGTGGGGATTGGGGGAGAGGGATAAGGGGGGAGGTTGGGGGAGGGATGGGGTGGGAGGTTGGGGGAGGGTTTCAAGAATTCTCAAAAGTGAGAGGAGGGTGAGAGGGTGAGAGGGTGAGAGGGCAGAGGGGGAGAGGGGAGAGGGGGAGAGGGGGAGAGGGGAGATGGAGGGAGGCTGAAACGACGCATGACAAAGCTGCAAACCCTTGGGCACGAAACAAGCACCTTCAATGCACCATGCCCCATCCACCCAAACTCCCATCCACCCAATAACCCACCCACAACCCCATGCACCCACAACCCCATCCATCCCCCCACCCCCACCCACCCCCATCCACCCACCAGGCTGGAGCGGAAGCAGGAGGGGGGCAGCAGCGTGAGAGCAGCCGCTTCCCCCATTGCTGACTCTTGACTCGACTCATAAGTCCACCCAACCACCCGTCCACCCATTCTCCCATCCACCCACCCACCACCCCATCCGCGCAACCCCCCATCCACCCAACCCCCCATCCACCCACCAGGCCGGAGAGGAAGCACGAGGGGGGCAGCAGCGTGAGAGCAGCCGCTTTCCCCAATTACGGAGTTAGCGCGCCGCCATGGCTGGGCGGCAGATGGGTGAGAGTGAAACCCTGGGCCCGAAACACACCCCTTCAATCTACCATGCCTCATCCACCCACCCGCCCGCCCACCCAACCCATCCATCCATACACCCACCAGGCTGGAGAGGAAGCACGAGGCGGGCAGCAGCGTGAGAGCAGTCGCTTTCCCCAATGATGGAGTTAAACGAGCCGCCATGGCTGGCCGGCAGACGGGTGAGAGCGAGTTGGATACGAGGAGGAGGAAGAGGAGGAGGCGGTGGAGGTGGAGGGAGGAGAGGTTGAGAGAGGGGAGGTGGAAGGAGGGAAGGTTGAGAGATAAGTGTTGTTGCGTGGGAACCTTTGAACCACGCTTGCAGGGTGAGAGAGAGTTGGATAAAAGGAGGAGGGGAACGAGAGAGACGTGGGAGACGGGGAGGCGGGAGAGGGGGAGGCGGGATGATGGGGGTCGATGGTCTTCGCACTGGTGGAAACTGGAACGAGGGTGATAGTGTGAGCTTTGCGTCTCCTGCTGACGTGGATGCTGACGTGGATTCTGGCGTGGATGCGAACACGAGCAGCGCGCTACTCTGTGCCTGCAACGATTCGTCGCCGCATCTGTCCGTCCAGTCGCTTCAAACGCCGTCATCAGCTCGTCATGATGTGATTCTATCGAAAATCCGTCTGCTTGCTGTGCTACTAACAGATGTGGCTCTACTGAAAGCCCGCCGCGGTGACAGTAGAAGTAATCGTCACGCGCTTCGACGGTTGCTGACGTGGTAGGCGAGACCCGCCCGCCTTCTACTACTGCTGCCGAGGGATGCGCCGCATCTCGCGGCGGCGTCCGGACGCAAAGCTCTTCCAGCTCTCCTACGCACCCGCAGGGTTTCGTTCTTGCCGCAGGGACGCGAAGCTCTTCCGACGGCGCGGCGTTGCAACTTCCTATGCCTTCCAGCCCTAGGCTACTACTACGCCGCGGCGTTATGCAGTCTGGTAGTAAATAATTAATCGGCTCGCCATCTAGCCTACTACTAGTATCATCATGATGCTGAATCCTGCGCATCGTCTCTATCCCCTCGACTGCGCACGCCGCGCCTTGCGAGTCTACTATGGCGCCTAGGCTGAAGACCGAGGCCGCAAACAACGGCGTGTCTTGCCAAATATGCGTCATTACTATGTTTTTTACGCAATCATGACGTTTTTCTTTTCGATAGGTACTATAGTGCTACCGTTTTCCATCAAAACCAGAACGAGAGTCGTCGTCGGCCCACTGTGACTAAATCACGAACGAAACTGTCATCTCTACTGAAAGCCCTTGAACAAAGAGATTAAAAGGATCACCTTTGCGGCGCCTCGCGACTTGTATTATCACTAACTGCTATCGCAAAATGACGGTGGCAATCTTCTTTCTCGGGGTACTGCGTCCAGGTTCAACTGGGAGTGAGTGTGGCGTGTGATGGGAAGAGGGGAGAAGAACGGAGAGTCGACAATCTCGAAGTAGGGGGTTTCTAGGGCGCGGTTACAGAGGTGTCGCCTCGCCGCGCTTGACAGGAAGAAGCCAAAGGTCGCAAGAGGGACGACGATTAGTACCCCTGTCAGTCACAGACCATACTAGAAAACACCTCGAAAATGTCGTGAGTGGGACGCTGGGGCAAGAACGGGAGCCACGCCGAGTTAATCCAAGCCGACGTGACGTCACGCGTACTAAGCTTCACAAAAGCCTCGCCTTAGTGTTTCTGGTCTGGTCCTCGGACACTGCCGGGTGGCGCGGTGCGGAGAAATAACGGCGCGGAGAAGCGGAGTTGGATTGGGAGAAAAGGAAGACGAATGTAGAAAACGATTGTGGAGGCGGGGGGGGGGGAGGGACGCGGGGGGCAGGTAGGTCTGGCTGGAATATGCACCAGTCAACCAGGATTAGGGAGGGAGGGAGGGCGAGATGGAAATGAAGCAGGAATTTATGAACATGCTAAGTGTTTCTAAGTGTCAGCGCGAACATGGTTCTAAGCGACCGCGTAGGGTTGAAGTCATCGTCGAAACGGGTTCCGCGGTTAACACTTGCCGCAAGCGGGGTTATTTTTCATGGCGTTTGTCGATGGTGGGGTATTTAGATTTTCCTCGAGAAGATCACGCCCAGCTGTGTCAGATACGGGTAAGCGGTGCGCCGAAACCGTAGCCCCGCCGACAACACCCTCGAGGTTGTCGGTGAGGGAGGTAAACTGAGGTAAAACGGATAACCGTGTACAGAAGTCATACCATTAGATAAACACGCAGCTATTGTTCACTACACATTTTTTTGTTCCAATTAAAACTATATTTTTCACCCATCCGTTCTCTCCATTGTCTCCACTTTTTGAAACCCGGGCTCCATACACATTTCATGAGTAAAACTATATATCCACAAATTTCTAGCGTGTTCGTAGAAGGCCCGACTACAGAGCTGGAATTTTATGGTAAATTGCATTAGTCTGAATGGATGATATTAACCAAGTCGACGAGGAAGCGAAATGCATCTGCAGCCCAAAGAAAAGGCATTAGAGGTGAGAGATGCGAACAAAAATACAAAGCTTTGGTGGAGCAGGCAACAGAGATTTGCTTGGGAGGAGAGAGAGGAAAGGGGAGAGACGTGACAACCCCCCTTCCCCTTCTCACCCCCTTCATCCTCCCTCCCTCCCCCCCTCCTCCTCATCCCATGGAAAAGAAAAATAAAGCAAAAAAGAAAGCGCATTCACCTCTGAGGGATAATAAGCTCCACTTCTCACATCAACTTGCAGATGCTGCCTTTGAGATGTCTCAAAAGTCCTCCACTTCTCACATCAACTTGCAGATGCTGCCTTTGAGATGTCTCAAAAAGTCCTCCACTTCTCACATCAACTTGCAGATGCTGCTGCCCCCTGTAGCTGTCACTATTGCTGGGCTGCAATTGGTGCCACAGCTGCTGGTATGGCTGCTGCTGCAGAGCAATGCACAACATCACTCCTCCTCATCACCCTCGCCAAAAAACAGCTTCAGCACAGGAGCAGGATACTCAAGAGCAGGCACTCTGGCAGCAATGGTGGTTGCTGTCGGTGCCACTGCTGCTGGTGGTGCTCTGCGCTAACACACAGCGTCACTCCTCCTCATCACCCTCACCGAAAAACAGCTTCAGCACAGGAGCAGGATACTCAAGAGCAGGCTCTCTAGGAGCAGGCCCTTCAACGCGTGAAGCAGTGGTAGCAACGGGAGCAGGAGGAGCAGAGGGAGCAGGAGGAGCAGGGGGAGGAAGCCAAGGCTGAGGAGCGTTGTGAAAATGGGGGGGTTGGTGAGGGTGATGGGCATGGTGAGAGTTATGAGCATTGTGGGGCTGATAAGTGTTGTGAGGGTGAAAAGCGTTGTGAGGGTGGTTAGGGTTGTGGGGGTGATAAGCGTTGTGAGGGTGATAAGCAGTGTGATGCTGATAAGCGTTGTGCTGAATAATAGAGTGGCGAGGTGCGCCATAAGAGGGCGGAAGAGGAGCAACTGGGAACCCATGAAGGAAAGGGGGAGGAGGAGCAGCAGCAGTCTGAGCCACACGGAAACCAGGACGGTGAAAAGCATACCATCCTGCGTTAAGCGCCAGAGACCCAGCAGCAGCGGCAGCGGCAGCGGCAGCAGGTGGAGGGAGGAGAGGCGGACATGGAACGGCAGTTTGCAGTGCCCCGCTTGCTGCATTAGATGAACCAGCAGTAGAACGAGCAGGGGCAGGAGGAGGAGGAGCATTAGATGAAGCACCCTTCTCCTGTACGGTATTCGCGAATGACAAATATGCAGCCAGGGAAGTTGGAGGAGAAGGAGGAGGAGAATCAGGGGGAGGAGCATCAGGAGGAGGAGGAGCAGCTGGAGGAGAAGCATCAGGAGGAGGAAGCGCAGGAGCAGCAGGAGGAACAGGAGAAGCAGGAGCATCAGGAGGAGATGAAGCAGAAGCAGGAGCAGAAAGAGCAGCAGCAGGAGCATCAGCAGAAGGAGCATCAGCAGGAGCATCAGGAGCAGGAGCCGCAGGAGCAGGAGCAGCAGGAGGAGGAGCAGGGGGAGGAGGAGGTACGGTGTGGGGTGCCTCACTTGCGAACAGGGTAGCAGCAGGAGCGCCGGCAGGAATAGCAGCAGGAGCCGCAGCAGGAGTAGCAGCAGCAGCAGCAGCAGGAGCAGCAGCAACAGCAGTAGCAGCAGCAGCAGTAGCAGCAGGGGGGACAGCAGTGGCATCTTGTAGAGCTACGGTGTCTGTTGCCTCGCTAGCAGCCAGTTCACACGTCTCAGCAGCAGCAAGGGGGGCAGCAGCGGCAGCAAGCGGGGCAGCAGTAGCATCATCAGGAGCTACGGTGTCTGTTGCTTCTCTAGCAGCCAGTTCACACGTCTCAGCCGCCTCCTCCATCTGCTCCACCTCGCCATCTCGCCTCAATCCCTCTAGTTTCCCCACCTCTTCTATCTGCCTCGTCTCCTCAAACCGCATCATCTCCTCCTGCTGCCGCATCTCCTCTTGTCGCCGCATCTCCCGCCGCCGCGCCTTGTACCTTATCCGCTTGCGCTCCTTGCGGCTCAGGTGGGAGATATCCACCCCATCCACAATCATGCTCGCCTCATATCGAGCCTCGCGTTCGGCCCTCTTTCTCGCCTCCTCGTCCTCTTCCTCTTCTGCAAAGTACCGGCCCGCAACACGAGGCTTGGTGGGCAAAACAGCATGAGGCTTGGTGGTCGAGGTTTGGGCCGCCTCGAAAACGCCAAGAGCAGCAACGCGAGGTTTGGCGGCCTGCACACTGCTTTGCAGCAGCACCACACTGCCATTCGCCACAGACGTACCTTCCCCAGGTCTACCTGCCCCACATCCGCCTCCACCACCTAATGAATCATCCCCTCCTTTCACCACCCTACTAGTGCCATCCCCTTCCCCCCCATCCTTTGCCTCCCCATATTTACTCACTCCATTTGTGTCCTCCCCAATCCCTGTCCCCTGACCCCTTATCTCCCCATCTCCTCCCCCACCATCCCCCGCCCCTCCGCCTTTCCCCTGTCCACCCCCATCCGCTTCTGCTCCAACCTCTGCGCCCTCGCCCCCCACTCCCGCACTCCCCATGCCCTCGCCCCCCTTTGCCACTTTCAGCCTCCTCACAAAGTCTATGAAAGATTTCTTCTTGGGTCGAGCGCCCTGAGCAACCTGCCCGCCAGCCTGCCCGCCAGCAACAGCTGAACTTGGAGAATCAGCAGCAGGGCTTGGCACAGCAACACAGGTCCGATCAGCAGTTGCAGCAGTAACATCAGTAGGGGCATCAGCAAGAGCATTAGCAGCAGCAGCAGCAGAATCAGCAGCATTAACAGCAACGGCATCAGCATCGGAAGCAGCAGCAGCAGCAGCCTTGGCAGCAGCATCGACAGCATCGGAACTCGTGAGTTCAGTCCCACCACCAGCCTTCCGCTTCTTGTACTTGCCCTTGCTCTTTGCTGCTGGTAAAATTACCTCCACATCAGCTGTTGCCTCTGCTTCCCCCTCTGGAGCCTCTGTTACTTTCTCCACTTCACAGGAGCTAGGAGCATCAGCAGCATCGGTAACAGCAGCAGCTGCTGCAGTACAACTATCAAGCTCAGACTCAGCAACAACCTTCCTCCCCTTCTTCTTGCCCTTCCTCTTAGGCGCCTCTGAAACCACCTCCACATCGGCTGCTGCCTCTGCTTCCGCCTCTCGCGCTTCTGAAACCACCTCCACATCAGCAGCAGAACTTTCAAGCCCAGATTCATCACCAGCTTTCCTCTTCCTCTTCTTGCCCTTGCGCTTTGGCTCAGGTGAAACCACCTCCACATCACAGGGGCTTTGAGTATCAGCAGCAGCACCATCGGCAACAGCAGCAGCAGCAGAACTCTCAAGCTCAGACTCGTCACCAGCCTTCCTCTTCCTCTTCTTACCCTTGCTCTTCTGTTCTGAGGCTGCTTCTGCATCCAAGGAGTTTGAAACAGCAGGAGTTTCCGCATCATCATTATCATCATCAGCAGCATCAGCATCGGCAGCAGGTTCGGCAGCAGCCTTTTTCACCTTCTTCTGCTTCTTCCCCTTGCCTCTGGCTCTTGCTGCTGGGGCTGCATCAGCATCAGAAGGCGTAATTTCCAAGTCAGGAGGACTTGCAGCAGCAGCAGCAGCAGCAGCTGCAGGAGGAGGAGGAGGAGAAACCGGCACTTCAGGTTCAAAAGCCACCCTCCTCTTTTTCTTACCCTTACCCTTGCCCTTGCCCTTGCCCTTCACTGCAGGACCCAGCTCGGCAAGCACGGGGCTTGAGTCTGTAGTGGCAGCAGCAGCAATAGCAGCAGTAGCAGCAGGAGTGTCAGAGAGTCTATTCTCAGGCTCAGGCACAGGCTGAGGCTCAGGAGCCTCTTTCCTTCCCTTCTTACCCTTGCCCTTCTGTGTGCTTGAGGCAGGGTCTACACCAGACGAAAAGGGAGCAGCAACAGGCACCTCCATATCGGCATCACGAGCAGCAGTAGCAGCAGCAGCAGCAGCAGCAGCAGCAGCATCATTAGCAGCAGCGGCCGCTGCCGCTGCCACAGCTGCCAAGACAAGCTTCTCCTCTTTTCTATTCTCTCGCCGCCTCCTCCTCGCCTCTCTCCTCTCCTCTCTCTCCCCCCCTTTGCTCCCTAGTGCCTCAAGATGTTCCTCCATCTCCTGATCTGCCTCCTCCACCCCTTCTACCCGTTCATCCTCTTCTCCTGCTTCCCTTCCGTCCTCTTCTCCTTCTTCCCTTTCCTCCTCCTCACCTTCCTCCCTTTCCTCCTCCTCCCCTTCTTCCCTTTCCTCCTCCTCTCCTTCCTCCCTTTCCTCCTCCTCCCCTTCATCCCTTTCCTCCTCCTCCCCTTCCTCCCTTTCCTCCTCTTCCCCTTCATCCCTTTCCTCCTCCACCCCTTCCTCCCTTTCCTCCTCATGCCTTCTCTTGAACCTTTTCCCTTTCTTCTTCCCTCTATCCTTGCTTCCCTTCTTCCCTCCCTCTTCAGCCATATCCTCCTCCCTTTCCTCCTCACTTCTCTCCTCCTCCCTCTCAACCTTCTGACCTTTCTTCTTCCCGATCTTCTTTCCTTTCTTCTTCCCTCCCCGTCCACCCTCCTCCTCCTCCACCTCCTCCATCCCCTCCTCATTTTCCTCATTCTCTCCACCATTCCTTTCCACCTGCCTTCCTTTCTTCATCCCTTTCTTATTACTTCCGTTCTTCCTCCTCTCTCCACCCGCCTCCATTTCCCTTTCCTCCTCACTCTCCTCCCCTATAAACACCACCTTCTTTCCTTTCTTCACCCGCTTATCCCTACTTCCCTTCTTCTCTTGCAACTTAACCCTCACCTCCTCCCTCTCATCCTCCTCCCTTTCCTCCTGACATGCCTCCTCCATTTCCTCCTCCTTTTCCTCCTCCCTATCCTCCTCCCTATCCTGATCACCATCCCCACCTCTCCTACTCCCCTTTCGTCCTTTCTTCATCCTTTTACTCTCACTTCCCTTCTTCTTTCTCTCTCCACCCGTCTCCTCCTCCCTCTCCTCATCAACCTCCTCATTCTTCCTCTCCACCCCTTTACCTTTCTTTCTCCCGGTTTTCTGTCTTCCCTTTTTCCCTTCCTCCCCACCGCCCACCTCTTCCCATATCTCCTCAACCTCCTCCCCTTCCTCCTCGATCGTCTCACCTCTCGTTTCCAGCTTTTCATCTCCCTTCTTCCCTTTCTTCCTTCTCCCCTTCTCCTCCTTCTCCCCATCCCTCTCCTCGTTCGATTCCTTTTCCCTTTCCCCTTCACTATCCTCACCTGTCCCCTCCACCCTTTTTCCTCTCTTCACCCCTTTATTCCCTTTTCCCTTCTTCCCACCCACTCCACCCCTCTCCTCCCACGCTTCCTCCCTCTCCTGCTCACTCTCCTCACTTCTTACCTCCACCTTTTTCCCTCCCTTCATCAATCTCAACCTTCTTCCCTTCTTCCCTCCCCCTACATCCCTCTCCTCCTCCCATACCTCCTCCATCTCTTCACCTCTCCTCTCCACCTGCTTACTTGTCTTCATCCCTTTATTCCCTTTTCCCATCTTTCCTCCCTCTCCACCCTTCTCCTCTTCCCTTTCTTCTTCCCTTCCCTCCCAAAACTCTTCTCCCCCATTCTCACGCTCCCCCACCCTCTCTTCCCCTCCCTCCTCACTCCCCGCTCTCTCCTCGCCCCCTTCTCTTTCCTCCTCGTTCTCCTCCCTCTCATGCTCCTCTTTCTCCTCTACTCTCTCCTCTTCTCTCTCCTCTTCATCTTCTTCCTCACTATCCCCACCAATGACATTCAAAGCAGTTTTCTGACTGCTCTTCCTACCCTTGCTTTTCTTTTCCTCGTCACTCCCTTCTTCTTTTTCCTCCCCACTCCTCTCTTCATTCTCCTCCCCACTCCCCACTTCCGTCTCCTCCCCCTCCCCACCATCCCACTCCTCACTCTCCTCTTCATTCTCCGGTTTATACTCATCCTCGCTCTCCTTCTCACTCTCTTCACTCCCCTCGCCCTCCTCACTCTCTTCACTCCCCTCACCCTTCTCACTCTCCTCACTCACCTCACCCTCCTTCTCACTCTCCTCTTCCTCCTCCTCGTCACTATCCCCACCAAACAACTTCAACAGACTTTTCACTCTACGTTTCCCACCCTTGCTCTTATTTTCTTCCTCTTCCCTCTCCTCCTCCTCTTCCTCATCCCTCTCCTTCTCCCTCTCCTTCTCCCTCTCCTTCTCCCTCTCCTCCCTCTCTTCCTCACTCTCCTCCTCACCCTCCTCTTCCTTCTCCTCCTCCCTCTCCTCCTCACCCTCCTCCCTCTCCTCCTCACTATCACCACCAAACAGCTTCAGAATGTTTTTTCCTCTGCTCTTCCCAACCTTCTGCTTCTTTTCTTCCTCCACACCAGCCTCTTCCATCTCCTCACTCTCCACCCCTCTCTCATTCTCACTCTCCTCTTCACTCCCCTCCTCCCTCTCCTCCGCACTCTCCTCACTATCACCACCAAAAAACCTCAGAACGTTTTTCCCTCTGCCCTTCCCAACCCTCCTCTTATTCCCTCCCTTCCCCTTCCTCCTCCCTCCTTTCTCCCCCTCCCCTTCACTCCCCTCACTCTCTTCCCTCCCCTCGCCTTCCTCCCCCTCTATTCCCCCTAGCTTCACGCTTTTCTTCTGGCCACCTGCTTCCCCCTCCACTTCCTCCTCCTCTTCCCTCTCTTCCTCTTCCCAGTACCGTTTCTTTCTCTTCTTCCCCACCTTGCCGCTCCCCTCATCTGCCTTCTTCCTGTGCCAAAGCCTGCACTTCTTGCCGGCAGCGCAATCCCCTTTAGAAGAAAACTCGGGACACTCATACGTGTGCTGCTGTGTGCACGCCAGCCCTTTCTCGCAGAATCCTCTGAGATAAGCAGAGCAGACGGGGGTGCCTGGAGGCAGCTTCACGTGGCGATACACACACGGCTTGTTGCTGCACGTGCCTGGTGTGTGATTGGGGGGGTTGGGGTGGTGCAGGTGAAAGGGGTCAGGGGATTGGGTGGGTAAGGAGAGAGAGCAAGTGAGTTTGCGATACACGCACGGCTTGTTGCTGCACGTGCCTGGTGGGTGTGGGTGCGGGGGAGGGAGGGGAGGGGAAGAGCGAATGGTGGTGGGTCGGGGTGAGAAATGCCGAGCACATGGGATGGGGGTGCCTGGTGGAAGCTTCACGTGGCGATACACGCACGGCTTGTTGCTGCACGTGCCTGGTGTGTGATGGGGGGGGTTGGGGTGGTGCAGGTGAAAGGGGTCAGGGGATTGGTTGGGTAAGGAGAGAGAGCAGGTGAGTTGAGGAGGATAGCAGGACACACGGGGGTGCCTACTGACAGATTCACATGGCGATACACGCACGGCTTGTTGCTGCACGTGCCTGGGAAAAACGTGGCGAAAGAAGGAGAGACGCAGGCCCAAAAATGGGTGAGTTCTTGTGTGCGCCTCAATCTAAGAAATGGGGTGTAAAGAGGAAGAAACGCGGACCCAGAACGGGGAAACGAGAGCCGGGCAAATGCGTAGCCAAGCAAGTGCATCTACGAGTGACTAAGCTAGCAGGCTATATCCAAACAGGCTCACTCACCCTTGGGGAAGAATGAAAGTGCAATCGGGCATTGGCTGTGGGCACACAGGGTTGGATTGGATCGGGACTCACCGAGAACGGTACACCCTGAACTGAACGACTTTTGAGGCGCCTTTTGAGGCGCCTCATGAGGCACCTTTTGAGGCGCGTCAAACGTGGGCACACAGGGTTGGATCGGATCGAGACTCACCGAGAACGGTACACCCTGAACTGAACGACTTTTGAGGCGCCTTTTGAGGCGCCTCATGAGGCACCTTTTGAGGCGCGTCAAACGTGGGCACACAGGGTTGGATTGGATCGAGACTCACCTAGAAGGGTACACCCTGAACTGAACGACCCGACTCACTCACCCTTGGAGAAGAAAGTGCAATCGGGCATTCGCTCTTTTGAGGCACCTCCAAGTACGACTTTTGAGACGCCTCAAACAACGACCTGACCACTCACCCTTGGAGAAGAAAGTGCAATCAGGCATTCGCTCTGGGATGATCTGCAAAGGGAGAAAGGGCGAGGAGAGTGGTAAGGAGGAGGGTATGATAACCGTTGGGAAGGGGAACGGCGAGGAGATTGGTAAGGTGGGGAGTACGATAACCGTTGGGAAGAGGCACGGCGAGGAGATTGGTAAGGTGGGGAGTACGATAACTGTTGGGAAGGGGCAGCCAGGCAGCATATGCTCTTGGATCACCGGTTCAGTCAGTTTGAACACGGTTTTTTAGGCGCCTCTAAAGAAGGGGCAGTCAGGCAGCATATGCTCTTGGATCACTGGTTTGGTTCGAACACCTTCGTGGTTGGAAAAACGGGGAGCTTTGGTTTGGTGTGAGGCGAACCAGACCAAATCTTCACACCACCTTGATTTTACTTCTGAGAATTGGGGAGAATTCTCAAAAGTAAAATCAATCAAAGGGAGGTCTGGTTTGGTGAGGCGACCCAGACTGGATCTTCACACCATCTTTGGTACCCAACTGCTTTCAGCACACTCCATCCCCATTATAAAATTCAGACACAGTGCTGCAACCCTTTTTCCCACCTATCGAATTAGTGCACAGCACATGTAGCAGCTGCAAAAACACAGCATTCACACTTACCTTGTGAGTCAGCTTGCATCGAGACTCGTCGCACTCCATCCCCCTTATAAACCGCACACATAACGCCACTTTGCTCGCATCGTGCAGAAAACGGCAGTCCTTCTTGTTGCATTGCCCCAGCCGAGTGAAGTACTGGCACAGCTGCTGCTGCTGCTTCTGCCGCCTGTAGCGCGCGTTTTGAAGGCTGTAGCGCACTCGAGCCCTGTACACGAGGGAGAGAGGGTGAAGGTGGGGGAAGGCGGTGGTGTAAAGAAAGGCAGTCTTTTTTGCTGCACTGCCCCAGTCTAGTGAAGTACTGGCACAGCTGCTGCTGTTGCTTCTGCCGCCTGTAGCGCGCGTTCTGAAAGCTGTAGCACACTCGGGCCCTGATGTGAGAAGAGGGAGAAGGGTTGAGGAAGGAAAAGAGGGGAAGGACGGGGGGATGGCAGTCGGAGAGCGGGAGGGGAGGGGGGATGGCAGTTGGAGAGCGGGAGGGGAGGGGGGATGGCAGTTGGAGAGCGGGAGGGGAGGGGGGATGGCAGTTGGAGAGCGGGAGGGGAGGGGGGATGGCAGTTGGAGAGCGGGAGGGGAGGGTGGATGGCAGTTGGAGAGCGGGAGGGGAGGGGGGATGGCAGTTGGAGAGCGGGAGGGGAGGGGGGATGGCAGTTGGAGAGCGGGAGGGGAGGGTGGATGGCAGTTGGAGAGCGGGAGGGGAGGGGGGATGGCAGTTGGAGAGCCGGAGGGGAGGGGGGATGGCAGTTGGAGAGCGGGAGGGGAGGGGGGATGGTCAAAGGAAAGGGACGACCGAAGGCAGAGCAGAGCGGGGTGGGTGGAAGGAAGGGAGAAGAGCGGGGAGGGGGGAGAGGCGGGTTGCAATGTACGCTCCCCTTCCCAGCTCCCCGCTCGGCATGCGTGTGGAGCGTGGTGTGAGAACACAACCACTCTCCACCCCACCCCGTGCTATTGCCCCACCCCACCCCATGCTGCTGCCCCACCACAAAGGCCTTTGAGTCCTGAAACAGCTGGTTGCCCTGCCTGCCCACACGCCGGTAGCAGGTGCTCGTGAGAGCTGCAGTGAGAGGCACGAAGGTGTGCTCTGTTTGTGCCCTGCCTGCCCGCACGCGGGTAGCTGGTGGCTGTAGTAAGAGGCACTCACCCAACCCAACTCACGCACCCGGCAGCAGTGCGCATGGCAGCTTTGGAGTCCCGCACCAGCTGGTTGCCTTGCCTGCCCACACGTTGGTAGCTGGTGGCAGCGATAGCAGCAGTGAGAGGCACCGGCAGGTGTGCCTTGTGATGTGATTCGACACGGGGGTACTACCCACAGACTCAGCCACTCACCCAGCAGCGGTTCGCATGACAGCCTTGGAGTCTCGAACCAGCTGGTTGCCCTGCCTGCCCACCCGCCGGTAGGGTAGCTAGGGGCAACGAGTGCAATGCAGCAGTGACCACCCACTCACCCAGCAGCCGTGCGCATGGCAGCCTTGGAGTCCCGCACCAGGTGGTTGCCCTGCCTGCCCACACGCCTGTTGCTAGTGGCAGCAAGAGCTGCAGTGAGAGGCACTGGCAGGTGTGCGTGTGATTTGAGCAACTCACCCGGCAGCCGTTCGCATGGCAGCTTTAGAGTCGCGCACCAGGTGGTTGCCCTGCCTGCCCACACGCCGGTAGCTCGTGGCTGCGAGAGCAGCAGTGAGAGGCACCGGCAGGTGCGTGTGCTTAATCGCCCGGTGCGTGTAATTCAACTCACCCGGCAGCGGTGCGCATGGCCGCCTTTGAGTCGCGCACCAGCTGGTTGCCCTGCCTGCCCACACGCCGGTAGCTGGTGGCTGCTAGCGCTGCAGTGAGCGGCACAGGCAGGTGTGCGTGTGCATGTGCCTTGCCCCGTGGCGACTTGTCCTTAGTTGAACCGCCTGCTGGGAAATGAGAAAGGAAAACAGAAACACGCCGGTAGCTGGCAGCTGTGAGAGCAGCAGTGAGAGGCACGGGCGGGTGCGCATGTGCGTGTGCCTTGCCACGTGGCGACTTGTCCTTTGTTGAACCGCCTGCTGGGAAAAGAGGAAAGATTCAATGGACGGGTGGCCAAGTCGAGCAAGACTCAGGTGCAACACACACATTATCAACATCAGCAGCGCAGGCAGGTGCTGTGAGCTGCCTTCCAAAATCCATTTCAAAATGCACTTTATTTCTTCAAACAAAAACAACCCCAAAACCCTCAACCCCCGGCCCATACCCCTCCCCTACTAACCATTGCTCGAGCGCACAAGAGAACCCCTTGACGCATCTCAAGACCGTTTGCCCCAACCCCCCTGAACTCGAATTCCCTAGCCCCCCCCACCTCAAAGCATCCCACCCACAACCCAGCATCCCTCTGCAACCCCCTGCATCCCCCGTTTACTCACTGCTGAGGCGCACAAGCGAGCGGCCCTTGGCTGCCAGTCGATATACTGAGGACCCCTGGAACACCGTGGCTGCAGGGGTGGAGAGGTGTGAGGAGGGGTGGAGAGGTAATAGGAGGCCCTTGGCTGCCAGTCGATACACAGAGGACCCCTGCGATACCGTGGCTGCAGGGGTCGAGAGGTGTGCGGAGGGGTGGAGAGGTGTGAGGAGGGGTGGAGAAGTGTGAGAAGGGGTCAGAGCAGCAAATCGAATCCATACAGCTGCTGAACAAATTCCTTCTACAATAGTTCACACCTATGCAGCCACCACCACCCTCCCCCCAACACCCGCTCCCAGCAAATGCAGCCACAACCCTTTACACCTCACTCCTTCTCCAACATATGCACTTACAACATTTTACACCTAACTCCCTTCCATCCCAACAGATGCAGCCTCCCCTTCCCTTCTCCTCCCCCCACCACACCACACACTCACTCTGCTGCCGCCTTGCTGCCAGAATAGCAGCACCAGCTTTTCAAGTCGACTCAAGGGTCAACCCCCCTCCCCCTCGCATCGCTCCCTCCCCCTCGCATCGCTCCCTCCCCCTCGCATCGCTCCCTCCCCCTCGCATCGCTCCCTCCCCCCCTCCCCCCTACAAACTTACTCTGCTGCCTTCGTGCCGCCAGAATAGCAGCACCAGCTTTTTTCGCCGCCGACCTAACAGCCATCCGGGCAGCTTTAACTTTTGCGTTCTCTGCCCGGATGCGCTCTTTTTCTGCCCGTCTCTTAGCCCGCTGCTCCGCCTGACTCCTCGCAATCGCCTTCTTTGCTTTCTCCACTGCCTCCTTGCGCTGCCGCTGCTTCCTGGATGCTTCCGCTGCTGCCTTAGTGGCCTCCTGAGAGGTACAAAGGAGAGGAGAGAAAGGGTTTAGGGTTTTGCAACAGTACAGCGGAATGGAAGAAAGAAAGAAAGAAAGGGTTTAGGGTTCTTTAGCATTAGAGTAGAAAGGAAAACAAGAAAGAGCGGATGTATCCTTGCTATCGCCTTCTGTGCTTTCTCCACTGAATCGATGTGCTGCCGCTGCTTTCTGGATGCTTCTGCTGCTGCCTCCTCAGGTAGAGAATTAAAATGTGGGAGAACGAAAGTGTGAGAGGAAGGAGAGGAGAAGGAGAGGAGAGGAGGAGAGAGGAGAGGAGAAGTGAGAAAAGGAGGAGAGAAGAAAAGAGGGGAGGAGAGGGGAGGAGAGGAGAGGAGAAGAGAGAGGAGAGGAGTGGAGAGGAGAGGAAAGGAGAGGAGAGGAGAGGAGAAGAGAGGAAAGGAGAAGAGAAGAAAAGAGGAGAGGAGAGGAGAGGAGCGGAGAAGAGAGAGGAGAGGAGAGGAGAGGGTTCCTCTTCTCTCAATTCTCTCTCGCTTCCTCTCTCCTCTCTCTCGCTTCCTCCCCTTTCTCTCGCTTCCTCTCCCCTCTCTCGCTTCCTCTCCACTCTCTCACTTCCTCTCCTCTCCCTCACCTTCTCTAACCTCTCTCACTTCCTCTCCTCTCGCTCGCTTCTTCTCCCCTCTCTTCCTCTCACCTCACTCTCTCCTCTCACCTCTCTCGCTTTCTTCTCCTGCTCCTGCTGCTCCTTGTTCCACTGCAGGCTCTTCGCACCACTTGCCACCTCTCTCCCTTCTCTCACCTCACCCTCTTCTCTCACCTCTCTATATTCCTCTCACATCTCTCTCTTCCTCTCACCTCTCTCTCTTCCTCTCACCTCACTCTCTCCTCTCACCTCTCTCGCTTTCTTCTCCTGCTCCTGCTGCTCCTTGTTCCACTGCAGGCTCTTCGCGCCACGGGCCGCCCGCACACCTGCAACAGCAGCAGCCAATCAAAGAAACACACTTTGAGCACCCCCAATCGTTGGAAAGGTCGGAAATATGCAGACAGCAGCAAACACCCTGCTGCACTGCACAGTCTTCGCACCACGGGCCGCCCGCACACCTGCAACAGATGCAGCCATTCATAAAAAGGTCTTAAAGAATGTCACAGAAAGTCTTCACAGTAAAGTTATACACGGTCATACGCAGTCACTTTTGAGAGGCCTCGAAAGGCGCTTGCAAAGGAACATTCGAGAGAGAGTTCCCACCTTTGAGACGTCTCGAAAAGCGAGCAGGAGAAAGAGAGTGCGCACCTGAACGATTTTTGAAACGCCTCAAAAGTCAAAAGCGAGCGGGAGAAAGAGAGTGCACACCTGAACGCCGAAGCGAGAAGCCTGACGAGGAACGAGTGTAAAGCTGTTGTGCCACAAGCCTGAAAAGTTAGCGAGTGATGGAGTGAGGGGGACGAGACAGTAAGAGAGCTGTTAGGCCACGAATCTGCCCGAGTGGGAGAGGAGGGGGATGAGGCACGAGGCAGCTTGGGAAGAGAACGAATGAAGCGCCAGAGAGAAAATACGCGGAACTGGGAGAGGCGCAATGTGTGGTACCAACACCTTACACCACCAAAATTCCGGGAGAGAAAGCATGCAGTACGGTACCTCCAGTTGAAGGCTGCGGCACCCTGTTGTTTTTGAGAATTCTCGAGGTGTTTTTGAGAATTCTCGAGGTGTTTTTGAGAATTCTCAAGGTGTTTTTGAGAATTCTCGAGGTGTTTTTGAGAATTCTCGAGGTGTTTTTGAGAATTCTCGAGGTGTTTTTGAGAATTCTCAAGGTGTTTTTGAGAATTCTCGAGGTGTTTTTGAGAATTCTCGAGGTGTTTTTGAGAATTCTCGAGGTGTTTTTGAGAATTCTCGAGGTGTTTTTGAGAATTCTCAAGGTGTTTTTGAGAATTCTCGAGGTGTTTTTGAGAATTCTCGAGGTGTTTTTGAGAATTCTCGAGGTGTTTTTGAGAATTCTCAAGGTGTTTTTGAGAATTCTCGAGGTGTTTTTGAGAATTCTCGAGGTGTTTTTGAGAATTCTCAAGGTGTTTTTGAGAATTCTCGAGGTGTTTTTGAGAATTCTCAAGGTGTTTTTGAGAATTCTCGAGGTGTTTTTGAGAATTCTCGAGGTGTTTTTGAGAATTCTCGAGGTGTTTTTGAGAATTCTCAAGGTGTTTTTGAGAATTCTCGAGGTGTTTTTGAGAATTCTCGAGGTGTTTTTGAGAATTCTCGAGGTGTTTTTGAGAATTCTCAAGGTGTTTTTGAGAATTCTCGAGGTGTTTTTGAGAATTCTCGAGGTGTTTTTGAGAATTCTCGAGGTGTTTTTGAGAATTCTCGAGGTGTTTTTGAGAATTCTCAAGGTGTTTTTGAGAATTCTCGAGGTGTTTTTGAGAATTCTCGAGGTGTTTTTGAGAATTCTCGAGGTGTTTTTGAGAATTCTCAAGGTGTTTTTGAGAATTCTCGAGGTGTTTTTGAGAATTCTCGAGGTGTTTTTGAGAATTCTCAAGGTGTTTTTGAGAATTCTCGAGGTGTTTTTGAGAATTCTCAAGGTGTTTTTGAGAATTCTCGAGGTGTTTTTGAGAATTCTCGAGGTGTTTTTGAGAATTCTCGAGGTGTTTTTGAGAATTCTCAAGGTGTTTTTGAGAATTCTCGAGGTGTTTTTGAGAATTCTCGAGGTGTTTTTGAGAATTCTCGAGGTGTTTTTGAGAATTCTCGAGGTGTTTTTGAGAATTCTCGAGGTGTTTTTGAGAATTCTCAAGGTGTTTTTGAGAATTCTCGAGGTGTTTTTGAGAATTCTCAAGGTGTTTTTGAGAATTCTCGAGGTGTTTTTGAGAATTCTCGAGGTGTTTTTGAGAATTCTCGAGGTGTTTTTGAGAATTCTCAAGGTGTTTTTGAGAATTCTCGAGGTGTTTTTGAGAATTCTCGAGGTGTTTTTGAGAATTCTCGAGGTGTTTTTGAGAATTCTCGAGGTGTTTTTGAGAATTCTCAAGGTGTTTTTGAGAATTCTCGAGGTGTTTTTGAGAATTCTCAAGGTGTTTTTGAGAATTCTCGAGGTGTTTTTGAGAATTCTCGAGGTGTTTTTGAGAATTCTCGAGGTGTTTTTGAGAATTCTCAAGGTGTTTTTGAGAATTCTCGAGGTGTTTTTGAGAATTCTCGAGGTGTTTTTGAGAATTCTCGAGGTGTTTTTGAGAATTCTCAAGGTGTTTTTGAGAATTCTCGAGGTGTTTTTGAGAATTCTCGAGGTGTTTTTGAGAATTCTCGAGGTGTTTTTGAGAATTCTCAAGGTGTTTTTGAGAATTCTCGAGGTGTTTTTGAGAATTCTCGAGGTGTTTTTGAGAATTCTCAAGGTGTTTTTGAGAATTCTCGAGGTGTTTTTGAGAATTCTCGAGGTGTTTTTGAGAATTCTCGAGGTGTTTTTGAGAATTCTCAAGGTGTTTTTGAGAATTCTCGAGGTGTTTTTGAGAATTCTCGAGGTGTTTTTGAGAATTCTCGAGGTGTTTTTGAGAATTCTCAAGGTGTTTTTGAGAATTCTCGAGGTGTTTTTGAGAATTCTCGAGGTGTTTTTGAGAATTCTCGAGGTGTTTTTGAGAATTCTCAAGGTGTTTTTGAGAATTCTCGAGGTGTTTTTGAGAATTCTCGAGGTGTTTTTGAGAATTCTCGAGGTGTTTTTGAGAATTCTCAAGGTGTTTTTGAGAATTCTCGAGGTGTTTTTTGAGAATTCTCGAGGTGTTTTTGAGAATTCTCAAGGTGTTTTTGAGAATTCTCGAGGTGTTTTTGAGAATTCTCGAGGTGTTTTTGAGAATTCTCGAGGTGTTTTTGAGAATTCTCAAGGTGTTTTTGAGAATTCTCGAGGTGTTTTTGAGAATTCTCGAGGTGTTTTTGAGAATTCTCGAGGTGTTTTTGAGAATTCTCAAGGTGTTTTTGAGAATTCTCGAGGTGTTTTTGAGAATTCTCGAGGTGTTTTTGAGAATTCTCGAGGTGTTTTTGAGAATTCTCAAGGTGTTTTTGAGAATTCTCGAGGTGTTTTTGAGAATTCTCGAGGTGTTTTTGAGAATTCTCGAGGTGTTTTTGAGAATTCTCGAGGACACCCTGCAGCATTCCGGGAGAGAAAGCATGCGGTACGGCACCTCCAGTTGAAGGCTGCGGCACCCACAGAAGCTGCAATGGAAGCAGCAGTGGAGTGGCAGGAGATGAAGGCTGACGAGGTGACAGTCGTGACGGGAGATGGCTTTTTGGGGAGTCACCAAATGTTAAAGCCAGTGGTGCTGCACATACGTACGTACCTGCGGTTGAAGGCCGCAGCACCGACTGATGCAGCAATGGAGGCAGCAGTGGAGCGGCGGGAGGCGAAGGCTGACGAGGAGACAGTCGTGAAGGGAGACGCCTTTTTCGGGGTTGGTGGGGCAGGAGAGGGATACTTTTCCGGGGTTGATGGGGCAGGCGATGGGCCTTCCTTTGCAGGGAGGGCAGTAGCAGCCTTAGCCGCCGCAGCAGCAGCCTCAACTGCAGCAATAGCAGCAGCAGGACCAGCAGCACCAGCACTGGCAGCAGCACCAGCACCAGCAGCACCACCAGCACTGGCAGCACCAGCAGCACCACCAGCACTGGCAGCACCAGCAGCACCACCAGCACTGGCAGCACCACCAGTGCCCTTGCCAGCCCTGGCAGGCACGAGCCGCCTAACGACCAGCTTAGGCCGGCCCACAGATATGCCCGCATGCCCAGCTGTAGCGGCTGCTACAGCTGTAGTTCCCCCAGTAAGGGTGCCTACAGAGGTTGACTTGCCAGAAGTGGCTGCAGAGGTAAGCTTTGCACCTGCTGCAACTGGAGAAGCACCTGTAGCGGCTGTAGCAGCCGTAGCGGCAGCAAGAGTGTACGTGAGCTTCTTGCTAGCAGCAGGAAATTCAGGCCTGTTATATGCACCAGCAGGAGCAGCACTAGAGGCACTTGCACCAGCACCACCACCAGCACCAGCACCAGCACCCGCATTGGCTGCAGCATTCCGGTTCCACACAAGGCCCCCTCTGCCCCTCCCCCCAACCCTTCCTCCTGCCCGCCCACTCACCAGTCCCCTTCCTCTCCCTGCTAACAACACCCCACCTGCTCCCATCACAACCCCTCGCCCCCTCCCTCCCACAACCATCCCTCGTCCCCTCCCCCATACATTCATTCCTGCTCTTGGCACAGCCACCTGAGTTGCAGTGGCAGGTACAGTGGCAGGTACAGTGGCAGGTACAGTGGCAGGTACAGTGGCAGGTACAGTGGCAGGTACAGTGGCAGGTACAGTGGCAGGTACAGTGGCAGGTACAGTGGCAGGTACAGTGGCAGGTACAGTGGCAGATACACCTCCCTTGGTTACACCTGCAGTTCCTGTAATTCCCACAGCTGCAGATACACCTCCCTTTCCTGCTGCAACAGATACACCTGCCTTCCCTGTTGCTACAGGTACACCTGCCTTCCCTGCAGCTACAGATACACCTGTCCCAAATGCACCTGTATCACTTGCTGCCACAGGAACATTGCCCCCTCCTTCTCTCACTCCCTCTTCTCCCCCTTTCGATCTCGCATCAGCACCAAGCCCCTCTTGACTTGCACTCGCACCACCCCCTGCCTTCTTCCTTGAATACGTCAGCAAATTTGGCTGTTCTTTGGTCGCCAACTGGAGCACGCCACGTGGCGCATCAGCACTGGCTGCAGTAGCTCCAGCCGTTGCTACAGTTGCACCACTTGAAACACCAGCAGGGAATTTCTCAGGTAGATCCTCAGGTGGATTCTCAGGTGACCTCTCAGGAAGTTTCTCAGCACCTGTAACTTCACCAGTTGAACCTTCATCACCAGCAACAGCAGCTTCGGCACTTGATTCAGTTGTATCAGATGCAAGATCGATAAACGAATCCCCACCACTCATATCCGCACCACTTGCGTCCTTACTATAAGCACTTTCCCCGTTAGAACTCTCCTCACGCACACTCTCACCACCATCAGTTGTACCTTCACCACTCAAACCAGCATCCCTTGCATTACCTAAATCCCTTGCATTTGCATCGCCAGCCTCCACTACTGCTGCAACCTCCTCCTCCTGCTCCCTCCCCATTCCCTCCCCTCCTTCCTTCGCCTTACTCCCATCTCTGCCTCCTCCCCTGGTAACTGCGCTCCCTTTCCCTACTCCTCTATTTGCCACACCACCTGCACCTGCTATGTCAGCCACACCTGCCACGTCAGCCACACCTGCCACGTCACCACACGGCAGCGATTCCAGGCTCCAAGGATCCGCATCCTCCTCATCATCCTCCTCATCATCCTCCTCAGCATCAGAACCACCACCAGCACCTCCCCTCCCGCCCTTCTCCGGCGTTGGCTCAAAAGTTGCAATCTCTGGTCTCGGAAGCTCGAACACGCCCTGCAGCACTGGTAACTCCTCCAGCACCCCCCCAGACACAGTTGACTTTTGAATCGACTGAAAAGTCTCGCCCTGCAGCAGCACTGGTAACTCCTCCAGCACCCCGGGCACAGTTCCCCCCTCCTCTACCCCCCTCTCTCCCCTTCTCTTCCCCTCGTCCTCTCCCCCTCCTTCACTCCCAGAGTCCGATCCAGAAGATGCATGCACGTTCAGAATCAGGTCCCACGGGTTCTCAAACTGTGTTTCCTCCTCCTCTTCCTCCTCCTCCCCATTACCCTCTGCTTCCTCCTTCACCTCCATTTCCTTCTCTTCCTCTTCCCTCTCCTCCTCCCCATTCCCCTCTGCTTCCTCCCCCATCTCTTCCTTCTCCTCCTGAGGGGCCTCAAACAACAGGGAACGCTTAGCCAGACGTCCAGGAGAAGATTCCGAAGCAGGTTCTAGTGCAGACACGGGTTTGGGTAGAGCTGAGGAGGCAGCAGGCTCGGCAGGAGAAGCGGATTCCAAAATCGGGGCCAGCTTCGGAGGAGGTGTATGTCCGGCAAGAAACGCAGGTCCGGAGGGAAACGCAGGTTCGGCAGTATCAGACGCGGTGTGAGCTAGGTTCGCGAGAGACAGCAGTGCCAGCATCGGGGAATCCTGAGAGTGCATTCCCTCAGACCCAAGAGAGTCCTGTGAGAGTAGTAATCCTCTATCATTTGCATCTCCCTCTTGTGATGGATCTATTCCTCTCTCACTCACTTCCTCCCCTCCTCCCCTCTCCTCCATCTGCTCCTGCTCCTCCCCCTTCCCCCAGCTTTCCTCCCCTCTCCATTCCCCCCACCTCCTTGCCCCACCGGCCACACCCATCCATCCACCCCGCCCATCCACCCCACCCGCGCTCTCCCCTCCCACTCTTCCTCTCTCCCTCCCCATTCCGCCACTTTCCCCTCCCACACGTATGCCATTGCCACCCCCCCCATCAGCCCACTCACTCTCAGCAGCAGCAACAGCCAGCACTTGCAGCAGACTCGGGGCAGGAGGGTCACTCAAGACACAGTCGGCCTCAGCCTGTGACTCAAACGGGTGTGACTCTAACGGGTTTGACTGTAACGAGTGTGACTCTAACTCTAGCCTCTGCTCGTTCTGCAGCACCACTAGACGATGAGGTCCCAAAAGCGATTCACTGCTCTGATACTCCACGCCACAACGCAGCTGCAGCTGCGGCTGCTCCCCCTCCTCTTCTTCCTGCTGCTGCTGCTGCTGCTGCTGCTGCTGCTGCTGCTGCTGCTGCTCTTCATCCTGCTGCTGATGAGGCCCCAAAAGCGATTCACTGCTCTGATACTCCACGCCACAACGCAGCTGCAACTGCTCCTGCTGCTCCTGCTGCTCCCCCTCCTCTTCTTCCTGCTGCTGCTCCTGCTGCTGCTGCACCTCCTCCTTCCCCTTCTCCTCCTGCTGCTGCTGTAAGAATCCCCCTTCTGGGGACTCCGAAAGGCGGCCTGGGGACAGTGAGAGAGCAAGTCTGCGAGTGACCCGACTGGACCGCGGCCTGACGTGCTGCCGCGCCTGCCGCATCACCCTCTCGATACTGTCACCCCCCACCTTCGCCCCTAAAGCTGCAACGTTCTTATAGCGAATCGAACTAGGCCCCTCAACACCACCACCACCGCTCGTGCCATAGACACCACCGCCAACGCCATGACTTCCGCTGCCACCGTCCCCACTGTTTTCATTCCCAGAAGCAGCAGAAGCAGCAGCAGCAGCAGCAGCGCTCTTATCCGCACCACCGATCGATGCTTTTGTCCCTGCGGTTTCCCTCGGTGCCAAGATCTTGAGCTGGGTTTTCTTGAGGACTATCGTCTTGTGTTTCCTCGTGTCTGCTGCACCTATCCCTTGCTTCGGCCCTTTGACCACTAAAGACTTGCGTTGACTTGATTTCTCTGCTACAGTTGCTTGCTTTGCCCCCTTGCCAACTGAAGACTTGCGTTGACTCATGTCTTCTGCTACAGTTGCTCGCTCAGTCTCTTCTGCTAAACTTGCTCGCTCCGTCCCTTCGACAGCTGAAACAATCCGTTCACTCTCCTCTCCTGCGACAGCCTTTTGCTGACTCTCCTCCTCAACTACACCCTCTCGTTGAATCCCCTCCCCTGCTATAGACTTCTGTTGGATCCCCTCCGCTGCTGCTGCAGACTTGAGTTGACTCTCCTTCGCTGCTACAAACTGTGGCTGATTCTCCTCCCCGGCTACAGCCTTCCCTTGACTCTCTTCCTCCGCTGCTACAGCTGTTTGTTGCCTCTCCTCTCCTGCTACAGCCTTCTGTTGACTCTCCTCCGCTGCTACAGCCTTTTGTTGACTCTCCTCCGCTGCTACAGCCTTCTGTTGACTCTCCCCCCCTGCTACAGCCGTTTTTTGCCTCTCCTCTCCTGCTACAGACTTCCCTTGACTCCCAGTCCCCTTACCCACTGCCCCCTCCACTGCTGCCGCTACAACCCCTTGCCCAATCCCCTTACCCACTGCCCCCTCCACTGCTGCCGCTGCACCCCCTGAGCCAGTCCCCTTGACTACCGCTGCAGCATTGGCTTGCTTCCTCCGCATCACCGACGGAGGGACAAACGCCAGGTGCGCGGCATGAGCAGAGGCAGGCGCAGAGGCAGGCGCAGGGACAGGTGGTACGTGAAGGGCAGGAGGAGCATCGGTGGGAACAGCAGATGGTGCATTAGCAGCAGTAGGAGCAGGTGTAGGGGGCACAGGAGACCACCGAGACTTCCGCAGAGATTTGGATTCGGCAGTGGCACCGGTGCCCATCGCAGTAGCAGCAGTCGCAGCAGTCGCAGCGGCATCGGCAGCATCAGCACCAGTGGCACCTGCGCCCGTCGCAGTGGCAGCAGTTGCAGCACCAGCAGCATCAGCACCAGTGACACCAGCGCCAGTCGCAGTAGCAGCAATAGCAGCAGGTGACCCAGCGGCACCAGTGCCCATCGCAGTAGCTGCCGCTGACACAGCAGCACGATCAACACCAACACAACCAGCGGCTTCAGCGCCAATGGTAACAGCACTCGCACCAGCGCCATCACCAGCAGCAGCAGCAGCAGCAGCAGCAGCTGAGCCACCATCGACATCAGCAGCAGGAGACGCACCAGGCGCACCACTGCTCTTAGCAGTAGCATGAGCCGCAGTAGCTGACTCAACAGCACCACCAGCAGCAGCAGCTGAACCACCATCGACATCAGCAGGAGCAGCAGCAGGAGCAGCACCAGGAGCACCACTGCCCTTAGCAGTAGCATGAGCCGCAATAGCTGACTCAACAGCACCATTGGCAGCAGTAGCAGCACCAGCTGCACTTGGAGCAACAGCATCGGAGGCTAAACCACCATCGGCATCAACAGCCGGAGCAGCAGGAGCAGCACCATCAGAACCAGCAGCATCAGAACTGACAGAAACGCCAGCAGCATCACCAGTGGCATCACCAGCACCACCACCGCTAACAGCAGCAACACGGCCAGCAGCAGCAACACGGCCAGCAGCAGCAGAAGCAGCAGCAGTAGATGCAGCAGCACCACCACCAGCAGCAATACCACCACCGCTCACAGCAGCAGCAACAGCAGCTCTGGCAGCAGCAGCAACACCGCCACCGCTCACAGCAGCAGCAGCAGCAGCAGGCTGTGCCTTGAACGACACAGGCTTTCTGTGCATCACAAACAGACCCTCCAGCCCCTTCGGAATCCCTGCCTTCTCCAATCCACCCCCAGCTCGTTTCCCCCCATCTTTACCAGCCGACTTTTTAGAGGAAACGAGCTTGAAGGTTACAGGCTTCTTCTGCTCCTGAAATGTGGGCTTCGCAGGTTCAGGGGCAGCAGGCTGTAGCAGGCCCTCCGGCTGTAGCTGTAGCAGGCCCTCCGACTGTAGCTGTAGCAGGCCCTCCGGCTGTAGCTGTAACAGGCCCTCCGGCTGTAGCTGTAACAGGCCCTCCGGCTGTAGCTGTAACGGGCCCTCCGGCTGTAACAGACTCTCAGATTGCAATTGACTTTCCGATTGCAACCGGCTGTCCGGCTGTGCTTGCCTCTCGGGCTGTGGCGGATTTTCTGGCTGCACGTCAGCATCTGCGCCAGAGGCAGCACGATCCACATCAGCATCGGCATGAGCAGCTGCAACAGCAGTAGCAGCAGCAGGAGCTACAACATCAGCAGCGACGGCATCAGCAGCAGCAACAACATTAGGAGGTGCGGCAGTATCACTATCAGCGGCAGGACACACGAGAGGAACAGCTTCGGAAGGCGGCATCACCTTCTCACTCCTCTTCTCCTCACTGCTTCCATCTCTCCCTCCTCCCTCCACCACTTTCTCACTCCTCCTCCCCTCACTGCCTCCATCTCTCCCTCCTTCCCCCACGACCTTCTCACATCTCCTCTCCTCGCTGTCTCCAGCTCTCCCTCTCCCCTCCTTCCTCGTCCTCCTCCCAGATCCACTCTCCTCTCGTGAAGCCCCTCCCGTCCTGTCCATGCCAGAAGATTCTGCACGAGGAAGCTTCAAAGCCTTTCCTTTTTTCGAAATCAGCTCCTCTTTGCTCCTCCTGCCGCTCCGGCTGCTGCTCCTGCTCCTACTGCTGCTGCTGCTGCTCCTTCCACTCTTGCTGCCTCTAATCCTACTGCTGCTCCTGCTCCTGCTCCTGCTGCTGCTGCTGCTGCTGCTTCTGTAGCTACTACTTGTAGCACTCGTTCCTTTACTCCTCCTCTCGCCTCTTCTGCTGCTCCTCCTCTTGCTCCTTTCCATGCTCCTGCTGCTACTCCTGCTCCTCCTACTGCTGCTGGTTCTACTGCTGCAGCTGCTGCTTCTGTTTCTGCTGCTTCTGCTTCTGCTTCTGCTGCTGCTGCTGCTGTCCCGGCTATACCTCCTGCCACTACTACCACTAGTACTCGCACTCATCTCCTTACCCCTGCTTCTGTCTCCACCATCACTCTTCCTAAAAGTCCGTCCTTTGGTGCAAGGCCTGCTGCTAATCCTCTCCCTATCACCACTGCTACTTCTACTCCTTTCCTTGCCCCTGCTTCTGTCTCCACCACCCCTCTTCCTAAAGGTCTGTCTTTTTCTATCACTGGTGGTGTGTGTCCCACTGCTACTACTCTCTCTGCCACCACTACTGCTTCTTCTTCTCTCACTGCCTCGGATGCTGTCTCTCTTTCTGCTGCTCCTTCCTCTTCCCCCTCCGCTGCCACTCCTCTTCGCCCTGCTCAGTGTCTCACTGCTGCCACTCTTTCCCCCACTCTTGCTTCGGCTCCTACCGCTGCTTCTCCTATCGCTGCTTTCCCTAACACTGCTTCTGCTCCTGTTGTCATTGCCGCTCCTTCCTCTATTATGGTCTGTGCTCGAGTTAACACTTCGACTTTCATCACTGCTGCTTCTGCTCCTACCCTTGCTCTTGCTCCTGCTCCTGTCAGAGCTTCTGCTGCTTCTCCTGCTACTTCCGCTGCTATTGCTATGACTGTACAGTCTCCTGCTGCTGCTGCTTCTACTGCTGCTGTTTCTACTGCTGCTACCGCTGTCTTCATCACGTTTCTCCCTTCTCCTAACCCTCTCGCCTTTCTCACCCCTGCTCCTGCTTCTTCTGTGGCCGTCACTTGATTGGCTGCTGCTCCTGATCCTGCTCCTCCTGCTGCTTCTGCTGCTGCTTCCTCTCCCGCTCTTGCTGCTGCTGCTGCTGCCTCTGCCACTGCTCCCGCTTCTCCTTCTCCTTCTGGTTCTATCGCTCCTGCCTCTGCTCCTACTCCTGCCCCTCCTCCTGCTGCTACTTCTGCTTCTACTGCTGCTGGCAACCCTCCGACCTCCTGCTTTTCTCCCCGCACTTCCTTCTCCTCGAACCCTACTCTCTCTTCCTTCTCCTCCTCCTCTTCCCTCTCTCCCTTCTCCTCCTCCTCTCCCCAATCTTCCTACTACTCCTTTCCTCTCTCTTCCTTCTCTTCCTCTCCCCTCTCTTCCTTCTTCTCCTCTCCCCTCTCTTCCTGCTTCCCCTCTCCCCTCTCTTCCTTCTTCTCCTCTCCCCTCTCTTCCTTCGTCTCCTCTCCCCTCTCTTCCTTCTCCTCCTCTCCCCACTCTTCCTTCCCCACCTCTTCCACCGTCATACGAGCTCCTCCCTCCGTCCCTTGTGCTCCTACTAACCAGCCCATTTGAGCCTTGCCCATGCCACCTCTGCCTCTCGTCTCCCCTCGGTTCCCCAAGAGCCGCCTCATCAGCAATCTGTCTTATCCTCTCCTCACCAGCACCAGCTACTCCCACACGGTCACTTCTTCTCCCCTCATCTCGCTTCTCCTTCCCCTCCTGCTGCAGCTTCTGCATCTCCTCCCCAAGAGACGTCTCATCAGCAGTCTGTCTCAACCTCTCCTCTCCGGCACCAGCTACCACCTCTCGGCTCACTCGACCTCTCGCCCTCCCATCACCCTTTTCCGCCCCATCATCACCTTTTACACCCCTCTCATTAATCGGTCTCAACATCTCCTCTACAGCACCAGCTACCACCGCTCCGCCACTCGCCCTGCCAGCACCCTTTCCCAACCCATCAAACCCTTCCACGTCCTTCTCTTGCACCTCACTGCTTCTTATCTCCTCAGCCCCTCGGCACTGCACTCCCTCGGGCTCACCTCTTCTCCTCACATCCCCATCCGCTCCTCTCCTCACCTCTTTATTCTCCCCCAAAACACCCAGCACCTGCGCATCTTCCTCTCCTCTCCTCACTTCCTCACACTCCCCACCACTTTCTCGCCCCTCTGTCGCTACCACTGCTCGCCTCCTCAATTCCTCACCCTCTCCACCTCTTCCCCTCACCTCTGTTTGATTCACCCGCCTCAAGTTCTCCTCGCCCTGCTCCTCCCCAACCTCCTCCTCCTCTCCTCCAACCTCCCCCTCCTCTCCTCCAATCTCCCCTTCCTCCAACTCAGCCGTCTCTTCACGGCCCACAGGCACGTGACCCGATCCCTCCGCTGTTTCACCTGCACCTGCCCCTTCACCTTGCCCTGACTTGGACCCAGCAGCTGCTTCACGTGGGTCTGACTCGCGAGTCAACTCCAAAGCCCTTCTCTTCCCCACCGCCGGCTCCTGAATTGGCTTTGCAGCCACTTCGTCTCCTAAGAATCTCCGAAGCAGGGCAGAGAGACTGGTTAGGGGGCGACGTGGGGCAGAAAGAGTGGCTGTCGGGCGATGCGCGGCAGCGAGAGTGGCTGAGGGGCGATGTGTAGGAGTATGGTCAGCATTGGCAGTTGATGGCATGGGAAGTTGTGATGGTATGGGTGCCAAACTGATGGCCGCAGCAGCAGCAGCAGAAGGAGCACCAGCAGCAGCAGCAGCAGGAGGAGGAGGAGGAACAGCAGCAGCACTACCGATTGACGATGGAACGGCAATTCGTGAAGGTATGGGTGTCACACTGCTCCCACGAAAAGCAGCAGCGGGAGCAGCAGCAGGAGCAACAGAAGGAGCAGCATCAGGAGCAGCAGCAGAAGGAGCATGGTCAGCAGCACTAGCAGTGAATGCTGCAATGCCGCCTCGTGATGCTATGGGTGTCAGGTTGTCAGCATAGACAGCAGCACCAGCAGCAGCAGGAGCAGCAGCACGAGTAGCAGCAGCTGCAGCAGGAGGAGCAACGGCAGCAGCAGCAGCAGAAGGAAAAAGGTCAGCATTAGCAGGTAAACCAGAAGCATCCTCCCTTTCATCCATGCCAACATCAGCATAGCTCACAACTCTCCTTCTCTGAAAGCCGTTCGCTGCAGCAGGCGAAGGTTGACCAGGCCAAATGTTGCCCACCAAGCCAGGCACCTCCTCCCCCCTTGTTCCCGCCTCAATGTCCCCATAGCTCACAACTCTCCTTCTCTGGATGGCGTTTGCTGCAACAGGCGAAGGGTGATCAGGCCAACCACTAACCACCATGCCAGGCACCTCCTCCCCCCTTGTTTCCGCCTCAATGTCCCCATAGCTCACAACTCTCCTTCTCTGGATGGCGTTTGCTGCAACAGGCGAAGGGTGATCAGGCCAACCACTAACCACCATGCCAGGCACCTCCTCCCCCCTTGTTTCCGCCTCAATGTCCCCATAGCTCACAACTCTCCTTCTCTGGATGGCGTTCGCTGCAACAGGCGAAGGGTGACCAGGCCAGCCATTAACCACCGTGCCAGGCAACTCCACCCCCCTTGTTTCCGTCTGGAAGTCCCCATGGCTCGCAACTCTCCTTCCTCCAACCCCGTTTCCTGCAGCATCCCAGTCAGGAAGATTTCCGCCTGACAGCGCATGCGAGATGTTACCACGCAGACTGTTACCAGGCGAAACGCTGACAGGGCAAAGGTCATCATTCGACGGCATACCAGAAGGGCATGGGACTCGCTCCCCTTCTTCTGGCTCAGCCTTCACAGCCTGCTGCAATCGCATTACAGCTCCACCCCCCCCATCACCACCGTTTTTCTTCTTTTTCTTCTTCTTCTTGCCTCCAGCTGCTGCTCTGGCTGTGCTTGCAGCTTCTCCTGCTCCTGACGTCACTCCAGCTGTTGCTGACGAGGGCACTCCGCCTGCTGCTAAAGCTGCAGCGTACCCCTTTCTTCCAATCGCAGAAGTCCGGGCACATCCACTTCCCTGCTCTTCCTCTCCTCCTCCCCCTCCTCCTCCTCCTCCTCTTCGTCCATACTCTCTTCCCTCTCTTCCTCGTTCCTCAACCTCTCCTTCTTCCCCTCCTTCTTCCGCCTCCCTTCCTATTCCCCCGTCTTCTCTCCCTCCTCTTCCGCCCTCGTCACCGCCCCGCCCCACTCCTCCATCCCCCATTAACCCTTCGCCTCCTCCTCCCACGTCTGGCATATCCCCATCTTCGCCACGCCAGAGACCCTCCCTCCACGCCTCGATCTCCCTCTCTCTCTGCCCCCCAGCCCCTCGCGTCTCCACACCGTCCCAGTCCCACGCCTGAACCGTCCTGGGTCGCGGTTCCCTCCTCTCAGGCGCATCCTCGAACGTTTGCTGCACAAACTGCCCGTTCTGCTGCTGCCCAAACTCGTGTGTTTGCTGCGCAAACTGCCCGTTCTGCTGCTGCCCAAGATAATGCATTTGCTGCGCAAACTGCCCGTTCTGCTGCTGCCCAAACTCGCACGTTTGCTGCGCAAACTGCCCGTTCTGCTGCTGAACGTGCTCCCACGTTTGCTGCACAAACTGCCCGTTTTGCTGCTGCCCGTGCTCCCACGTTTGCTGCACAAACTGCCTGTTCTGCTGCTGCCCAAACTCGTGCGTTTGCTGCGCAAACTGCCCGTTTTGCTGCTGCCCGTGCTCCCACGTTTGCTGCGCAAACTGCCCGTTCTGCTGCTGCCCGTGCTCCCACGTTTGCTGCGCAAACTGCCGGTTCTGCTGCTGCCCGTGCTCCCACGTTTGCTGCGCAAACTGCCCGTTCTGCTGCTGCCTGTGCGCGGGTCCTTCCTGAGCATGCTCCCGCCAGGCTTCGTGACAAAGCGACGCAGCATGCCCGGAGCCACCGCCGCCATCAGGGGCAGCAGGAGCAAAAGGGGCAGCAGCAGCAGCAAAAGGGGCAGCAGGAGCAAAAGGAGCCGCAGGAGTAAACGGAGCAGCAGGAGCAATAGGAGCAATAGGAGCAATACGAGCAGCAGGAGTAACAGGATCAACAGCAACAGCAGGAGAAACAGGAATAGCAGGAGCAGCAGCAACAGCAGGAGAAACAGAAACAGCAGGAGGAGCAGCAGCGAGAGAAGCCGCAGGAGCAGCAGGAGCAGCTTGGGCGTGAGGAGGGGGAGCGTAAGGACCAAGGATTGAGGCATGCGAAGCTGTTGCAGCACCAGGCGTATGAGAAGCGGGAGCAAAAGAATGCGATGCTACACTGGCGAGGGGTTGGCGATGCACCTGGTAACCAGATAAGGAATCTGCATTTTGCCAGGCTGACTGAGGCGAAGGGTAAGGATAAGGGGTGACTTGAGAGGTAGGGGGAGTAGGTAGATTAGGAGCAGGAGAGTAAGATGGTAGAGGAGTGGGAGCAGATGCCCGAGCTTGTTCACCAGGTACGGAAAAAAGTTGAGGTTCGGCATGCACACCATAACTGTGGCTCGGAGTTTGGTTTGGGTGTGATCCAGTGGCAGATTGAAACGCATGGGGTGCAGATCGGTTAAAAAGCACTGTAGCTGATACGGGAGTTGGCGTTGGTGAGAAGTATACAGGATGAGAATAGGACTGTTGTTGAGGGTAATATTGAGGATGAAACGAGTGAGGCGGAAAGTATTGAGGAAGAACATACTGAGGAGGAAACGACTGAGGAGGACCATACTGAGGAGCAAACGACTGGGGAGGAAGCGACTGGGGAGGTAATGACTGGGGAGGTAAAGACCTTGGAAGTAAGGGCTTAGGCAGTATCGACTTCAGAGGTAAAGATTGTTTAGTTAATGACTGAGAAGCAGCAGCTCCAGGTGGTATAGTACTAGTAGCACTTAATCCTTGCACCTGCGCTACCTGTGGCTTTGATCCCTGCATCTGCGCATCCTGTGCTTCCTGAACTTGAGGGTTCAAGCTTGTAGTAGCAGGTCGACGGTAAACCGCCGGATAGCCGACTGCAACAGGCGGCGTTTGTGACGGTTCACCAGCTGACCGGTTAGAATTAACGTTTGATGTGTGTCCTGATGAGTCGTTCGTCCCCTGGTTGGGATTGACGACGCGCGGTAGCAGATGGGAGGATCTGGAATCCATCACCTGGTGGAGACGTTAACGGGACGTTAACGGATAGAATCCGAAACGGATCTGGTGTTTCTTTGTTAACCCACGCACGAAAAGGGGGGTGGGAGAAACGGGAACAGGATGAAAATTATGCAAAGAATTATTAACAATTTTCCCGCGATGCGAACTTTCTATGCAAACCAATAATAACCAATAATAACAGCAATTCCTGAATACCAGACCTGACAACTGAAAGGAAACAAGACACATGAGCAAGACGGTGACGCAGTAGCAAACGCAACGGTCTATAATAACACACCAGTGACACAGAGGACGACTGGTGTAGCAGGGAGGGAGGTGAGTCAGCAAGAAAGAGGGTTGCGAGAGGAGGGCGAGGCGCTTTGCGGAGGCTGGAGGGGAGTCCGTTGGGGAGTTCTGATGCGGAATTTTGCAGCTGGGGTTTGCGGGGGGAGTCTGGGGGGTGGCTGAGTAAGGCGGCGGTGGGGAAAAGCCTGCGGAGAACCTCCAGTGTCCAGTGAAATCCGCTTGGGTGGGGGGGGCCAAGGGGAATACTTCCGCGGGGAGTCCGTTGGGAATGTGCTCGAGGTTTTGGATGTGACGAGATGATCCCTGAGTGGGTCTGTGTTGGCGGGAAACTGCTGTCAGAGCAGCAGAAATTTGTAATTGGTTCTCTAAAAAACTGAAGGTCGACGGAAACACTCCGTAGACATCGCAGAGAAAGGTGAATCACTTATAAGGAAACAAACATTTTACACATCAAGTTAACATGAATTTCAGAGGGTACAAGCAGAATATCAATCAGTTGTTTCTCTGAAGGTTCACGTTACTATGAGAACATGCTATCTTCATGAACTATATAACCTGTTCAGCCAGCCATTCCTAGAGTGTTCGGAAGACAATACATCTCCGGTTCTGCAAACACAGCAGCAGTAACAAAAACGCCGCTGATAAGCTGCATCGGCAGAAGCAAAATGACTGCAGCAGAAGTCAAAATCCAAATATGAAGTGCACTCATTCTTCATCCCCTTCAATTTACCTCTGGAAATTGTGTATTGCCATCCCCTGATGTCAACTTCAGTATACCCTTGGGACCGCTCCCTAGCTTCACCAACAATTGCGAGAAACTCATGGTGAAGCATGCTCCGCTGTACCCCTGTGTGTTGCAGAAGACACGAACAGACAAGCCAGTCAGCAACGCTGTTCCCGAAATGACGGTAACAAAACCAAAAAGGAAAGGAAAAAAACAAACAAACAAACAAACAAACAAACAAAAAAACAATGCCAGCAACATTGAGAGGTCACTCACAATTCCCGACACTTGTCCTTTAGCTGCAAAGCGAATGCTTGGAGAAGATGAGCTGGAAGGTTGTACCACTGAGATTGGCGGACACTTGAGCACTTTGAACTGGCAGCCAAGAAAATAGGGGGAAGAGAGAATGAGGAAATGAAGAAAATGAGAACGTGTGGGAAGGTTGATATATTGTATGAGAATACGGGGCCATTAAAGTTCTGGTAGAGCTGGTGGAAGGAGCGCTGCAGAATCAAGAACACACTACAGCAATAGGCAGAGACATATAATCCGAGAGAGGAACACAGCAGGAGATAATCCAGCTTATAATATCAACCACTTAAGGTGCCACGTTCCAGGCTTGAGTTGTGGTGGAAAATAACACGATGCGTTATGGTGTAGCAAAAAGGGTGTAGATTGCACCTCACCCTCCAGACGCTCACAGCTTTGCACTGCGGCTTGAGCTTTCCCGAGATTGCCGGCGCCGATCGTTTGCTGCCAGAACGCAGGGTGATCAAAGGGACAACGAAAAAAGACAAAGGAAAGGGAAAACCAAGGTTGGTTCCGGGCACTTTTGCACAATTATCTCGACAAACGCGCACCCCCACGCATGTACGCACGCACGCACGCACACACGCGTGTACGCACACAGTTATGGACAAAAGGGTAGCGGCGGACATGTGGGAATAAGCGGTGCTGTCATCAGCTTGTGCAAAATTCCCTGCGTGAATGGCACGTCGGGCTGCATGACGGAGAGCGCGCATGTACGCACACGGTCACGGAGAGACGACTCTTGAGTAGCGTAGCCTCAGCATCCTACCTAAATCGGTACTCTATGATTGCTGACGGACCTGTGCAGAATTCCCTGCGTGAATGGCACGTCGGGCTGCATGACTGAGAGCGCGTAGAGCGGCACGAAGCCGAGCGAGTTGTTGAAGGCAAAGTCACACGCCTGGAGGGGAGAGAGGGGAGCAACACACGGGACAAGGGGAAGGAGGGTGAGGACGGAGTGAGAAGCAACGGAGAGGTCGCGAGTGGGTAGAGCGGCACAAAGCCGAGCGAGTTGTTGAAGGCAAAGTCGCACGCATGGGACGAGAGAGAGGGGAGGGGAGAGCGTCGCGGGGGATGATTAGTCTACGACACACGGAACGGGCTGTGAAAAAAAAAAGCTTTCGTAAGCTAAGGGAGAACGGGAGAGAGGGAGAAGGGGAGAGACGGATGAAGGGGAGAGAGGGAGGAAGAGGAGAGAAGGAGGAAGAGGAGAGAGGATCAGAAGGAGGAGGAAGGGAGGGGAAGGGAGCGAGGAAGTGAGGAGGGAGGAAGGGAGGAAGCGAGGGAGGAAGGGGGAGGAAGGGAGGTGGAGCAAAGGCCAAGCCAATCTGCGCTCGGCACCCGAACCTTCCCCACCTGCGGAACCCACCCACGCGGAGGCGCCTTGCGACCCACCCACGCCTTGGCGCCTTCTTCCCGCAGGGTGCCGACTGGCGGGGAATTTGAGCTCGACTGCCCGCCCAGCCCGTCACTAAACGCGCTCGTGTAACCGGGCCTTTCGCAGTGATCCCTACACCCCACGCCTCACACCCAACCCCCCTTTTTTCCCCCCTCGCCCCCCACGGCCCGTTGTTCCTGTTCAACCGACCGCGAAAATCCCCCTTGCTTCACCCGCTTCCCCCAGCTTACCCCAGCTTCCCCCAGCTTACCCCACTGGAGCCTTTTACTCCCTTCCCCGTTTCCCCGGCCTGATGCAGCGCGGGCTCTATTGATCCCTCCCACTACTTGCGCCGAAGTCTAATCGTCACAGCTTCCCCCCCACGGTTTCCCCCCACGGTATCCCCCCACGGTTTCCCCCCAAGGTTTCCCCCATGGTTCCCCCCCACGATTTCCCCCCATGGTTCCCCCCCACGGTTCCCCCCCACGGTTTTCGCCCGTTTTCCCCCACGATTTTCCCCTACGGATTTCCCTTGCAGCTCCCCTCACCCCCCGGAAAACAGTGACTCTTGAGTCGCCTTACGATCCACTCGCTCAGACACTGTAGACCATTCCCCTCCCACCCCCAAGCCCGTTGCGCGGAAACCTAATACGGGTAACTATTCACGCGAAACCGTTTGCGAAAGTTACCTGGAGCGCGAAGAAGCAGGAGGCCGGCAAAACACTCGGCTGGTTCGCCGGCGGTGGAGCGGGTTTGGCGGCGGCTTTGGCGGCTGCTTTGGCGGCGGCAAGGTAGGACGCCGCGGAGGAGCACGAAACGAAGCTAACAAGGCAGATTATAGCGAGTACGGAACCACAGGATCGGTACATCCCTCCGTACGGTGGCACCACGTATCTATGCGTTCGCCGGCGGGGGCCTTGGGAAGCTGAAGATGAAACGGCGAGCTTGGGGGCGGTTTCATATAAAGACGGATGATGAAACGAGCTGCGAACGGCTCGTCGGCATGACGAAGGCACCGTGGCGCGCTCGTGCGATTCCGCGACGATCGCATGGCTGCTGCGAGACGACCCTGCGACGGAATCCCGAGACGACGCATCTGCGACGACTTGCGACTCCCTACGGCGACTACAAGCCCGCTCGACGACCATATTTACTCCGTCGTTCCGTTCCGCATCCTCGCTCCCCCTCTGCTGCTCGCGCGCCCTCGCGCTCCCTTCTGTTCCCACTCCATCTCTCAGCTCCGAGTCCCCTACGTGGCTCGCGACTCGACGGTTTCGATACTTAAAGTCGACGCGCGATCGACCGCAACCCGACCCCGCTGGTTCCAAGCGACTCGAAGCTTCTGAAGACGCTGGTTCCCTTAAGCATGATACTTCTCGGGACGCGGAGGCAATGAGTGACGTGTCATGTTTCGCATGTTCATAGAACGGTATTCTGAGAGACGTTGCACGGAGAGAAGGTTCAGACGACGCGGCTTCGAGAAACGACGCTTCTTGGAGCGACGAGACGGAGGAAGGGGGTTGAGAAGACGCGGGCTCGGAACACGATGCCGCGAGGGCCGCCATGGACGCTGCTCTGACGCGGTAACGGTCATCATCGGCGTGAAGAGGCCTGGCCGCGAGATCCGACGCAGGAGGTTGGCCTTGCCGTCTGGCCATAGCTAGTATGTGTCTATCTATGCTGATCAGGGTATCTGTCTATGCTGATCAGGGTACCTGACTATTTATCTGTGATTGGAATGTCCGTTGTTATAGAGACGCGCGGTTGGAGGGATGTCGGTAGTAGTGTCTGATTCAGCTATGGAGTGGAGATGCTAATGAATTTCGTAGTCTGCTGTTGAACGTATTAGAATACCTGGTGCGTTGGTTGCCAAGAGACTTGGGAAAGAAGAAGAACTTCCGTCGTTCCTAAATATAGCCGTGATTTAGGGTGGCACCTCCTAGCGTGCGAACCACGCTGCTTTCCGCGCTGCGAAAATCATGATACTACAGCAGTTACCTGTGAGATGTTCAGACCAAGGAACAGAGCAGCCAAGGCCGACAACCCTAATGCTCGTGCTTGCATTGCAATCACAAAACTGAACAGTTCAGAGGTTCCACATATATTTCTAGTCGACCAGACCGATTTTCCTGCCCGAAAATCGCCTTTGCGCCAATGGGGGTCTCGATCGATTCGCTTTTCCAATTGAGCACAGTACACTGTTTTTAATAAAAACAACATGGATGCGATTGGTATGGTGGATGCGCCTGCCTCTAAAGTCTGGGGGACGAGAACTGAGAGTCGAGACAAGCCGACAATCACGAGTGCAGCGGCGAGCGCAAAGCGGGAATCCAAGGGTAACGAAAGGAAGTGACCCTGCTCAGTGTAACCGGCATGAGGAAACGCGTTATGGGTGGAACTGTACAAAATAACAACCTGTTCAGGTCGGTCGGTGCGAGCGAGCAAGTCTGTGCGGCAAACAGGGAAACGTCCCCACCCCATGACGTGCTGGGGCGCGGCCTTGTTCTGGCAGGGAATGGCATGTTAATTCGGCTTAGATCGGTTGACAACTTTCTTCGGTGGTCAACAACGCATGGCTGGACACAATCTGCGCGAGGAATGGAAGGAAAGGCGGAAGGAAGTTACGCAAGGGGGAGGGAGAGTACGGGCAGAGGGGGGAACGGACATGCGAGGAGAGGGGAATTCTGCCTCCTTGCCCAGCGGGGGGAAGAGTGGGTGATCCCATCCCACCCATGCCATGACACGTCACAGCGGAGTGATGCCAGTCAAGGGGAGGGACGAACGGGAGGGAGAAAAACGGCGTGCGCGGCGAGTGGTGGTGGAATGGAATGGAGTCGCATTTGTGAGTGGTCGGCTCAGTTCTTGCTCCAAGCGGACCCTCTTGTCGCATTCCGATCAGGTCAGCAATCAGTCGAGGGGAATTTCCCAGTCTAGTGAGGGCTTTTCACCGACACCTAGATTCAGCATTTTCCCTCATCAAAATTCGTCGATCTGCAGCATTTCCCCCAAATTCTGTGAAATACTGACTGCAAATGCCCAGAAACATGTGGAACTGTCACCTCTTGGAGGGAGGTAGGTTCCATCGTACTGTATTTGCTTACAGGGATAACACCGTCACTTGTGCCGAACCATCACCCGCGTTTCTCCCTCCCAGCTTACGGTTGTCAGGTGGAGCTGGTGCAATCATCGATACAGATTTGTCGGCGGGCAGCATGGTTCAACTCCACGCTCCCCTGACCCAAACTTCGAAGAGGGAGCGACTAGCCACTGGAAACGTGCCTTCTGGACGCGTTCTTTTCGCCTCATTTCATCAAACTCGAAGACAGGGTTCGGTCGATTCGGCCGTGAGCAATGTCAGCGCATTCGGTGCTTGCCGCGGCTCGCTGGAATGAGCTGACATGGGTAGTCGGGTCAGAATGGCGGTCGTTCGTGATATCTACACGAGCTTTCCACCGTATCATATATAGACGTATAAAGAAAGCATCAATAGTGATGTCTTTTGATTGAGAAAATGCTCACAATTGGGAGGTTGTGACCAGACATTGCGATTGATAAAATTACTTTGCAGTGCATATGGAGTACACTAGTACTAAGCTTTGATTGTAACAACCATAGCGTAACCACCTTATTGTGAAACAATCTTGTCCCTCTCACTTAGCACAAATCCTTTGTGACCCGGGTACCTGCCATCTTTATCTGGCCGTGCAATGTCAAACAGGTGGGATACAAAGCCATATGTGTTTCCCCCAAGTCTGCACATAGGACGAAGCTTTGCTGCAAGTCAAACGAAGAGGCAAGCACGCAAAAAACAAAGCAGAATTGAAACGAGTCCAAGATAGGCACAGATGACAAAACACTAGCAAATAAATGAACCAGGTGACAAACAACTAGTTACGATCGCAATCTAGGCGGTCTTTTCGACAGTAACGACAACACATTTGCGGGTACAAACAAACTCACCTGGGTCAACAATCAGTTTTCCAGTGTTAGGGGTGCGTGTAACCACATGCTCAGAGAAATGGAACATCACCACCTCCACAAGCACAATCGTTGTTGTCACACTTCCATCCCTGACAGGTTGAATGCATAGTGAAATAGAGGCAAAAGCCACACAGCAAAGAAACAGGCAAATAATCCAAAAAAATGTTTTTTTTTTCTAAAGTGAAGTGGAGATCCTGAAGGAGAGTGTCCTGCATGACCTCTTCTGGTGAATGAAAATGGCACCACTCATTCTGCCCTCTTCTGTGCCCTCTTCTGCCTCTGACGTTAATCCCTTCCCTTCACCACGACATCCCTACTAGTACTACACCCACACGCACTTTCACATCAGCACAAACGGGTCCAGCCTGTCTGTGACATCAGCATTAACAGGTCCAACCTGTCTGTGACGTCAGCATTAACAGGTCCAACCTGTGTGACGTCAGCACTAACAGGACCAATCTGTCTATGACGTCAGCACAGCAGGTCTCACCTGTCAGTGACGTCATATGTGTATCTGACAACGCACTCCATGTTGACTGCTGACTCAGCAACTCGGGGTGGCTTCACCTGGGGCAGGAGGGAAGTGGGAGGACGGAGGCAGGAGGGGGGAGGTGGGAGGGGGGAGGTGTGAGGGGGCAGGTGGGAGGGGGGAGGTGGGATGTGGGGTGTTAGAGTTGGGGAGTGGGACTAATAATGGAAGGGGGAATGAGTACTGAAAAATAAAATATGGCAAACGAGTTGACATGCATGGCGAAACGACTGGCATGCAACACAAGCTCGTGCAACACGACAGACGGCACAGGGGTGAGGCCAGCCTGCTCCATCTCATGCACCTCGGGGGGGAACGGCACTACAGCAGGGCACAATGCATCAAGCACACCCCTCTTTCCACCGCAACAGACGGCACAATGTGCTACGGAAGTGCAACGCTCGTCTCTCACCGCTTCATCACATCCACATCGGGAGGAACGGCACTACAGGGGGGCACAATGCATCAAGCACGTCCCTCATCCGACAACAAGGCACAGAGCATCAACCGTGTCCCTCTTCTCACCACAACGGACGGCACGGGGGTGAGCCCAGCCCGCTCCATCTCATCCACATCAGGGGGGCACGGCATGGCACTACAGGGGGGCACAGAGCATCAACCACATCTCTCATCCGACATCAAGGCACAGAGTATCACATCCCTCTTCTCACCACAACAGACGACACGGGGGTGAGCCCAGCCCGCTCCATCTCATCCACATCGGGAGGGAACGGCACTACTGGGGGAACGGCACTACTGGGGGAACGGCACTACTGGGGGAACGGCACTACTGGGGGCACGGCACTACTGGGGGAACGGCACTACTGGGGGAACGGCACTACTGGGGGCACGGCACTACTGGGGGAACGGCACTACTGGGGGAACAGCACTACTGGGGGAACGGCACTACTGGGGGAATGGCACTACTGGGGGAACGGCACTACTGGGGGAACGGCACTACTGGGGGAACGGCACTACTGGGGGAACGGCACTACTGGGGGAACGGCACTACTGGGGGAACGGCACTACTGGGGGAACGGCACTACTGGGGGAACGGCACTACTGGGGGAACGGCACTACTGGGGGAACGGCACTACTGGGGGAACGGCACTACTGGGGGAACGGCACTACTGGGGGCACGGCACTACCGGGGGAACGGCACTACTGGGGGAACGGCACTACTGGGGGAACGGCACTACTGGGGGAACGGCACTACTGGGGGAACGGCACTAACTGGGGGAACGGCACTACTGGGGGAACGGCACTACTGGGGGAACGGCACTACTGGGGGAACGGCACTACTGGGGGAACGGCACTACTGGGGGAACGGCACTACTGGGGGAACGGCACTACTGGGGGAACGGCACTACTGGGGGAACGGCACTACTGGGGGAACGGCACTACTGGGGGAACGGCACTACTGGGGGAACGGCACTACTGGGGGAACGGCACTACTGGGGGAACGGCACTACTGGGGGAACGGCACTACTGGGGGAACGGCACTACTGGGGGAACGGCACTACTGGGGGAACGGCACTACTGGGGGAACGGCACTACTGGGGGAACGGCACTACTGGGGGAACGGCACTACTGGGGGAACGGCACTACTGGGGGAACGGCACTACTGGGGGAACGGCACTACTGGGGGAACGGCACTACTGGGGGAACGGCACTACTGGGGGAACGGCACTACTGGGGGAACGGCACTACTGGGGGAACTGGCACTACTGGGGGAACGGCACTACTGGGGGAACAGCACTACTGGGGGAACGGCACTACTGGGGGAACGGCACTACTGGGGGAACGGCACTACTGGGGGAACGGCACTACTGGGGGAACGGCACTACTGGGGGAACGGCACTACTGGGGGAACGGCACTACTGGGGGAACGGCACTACTGGGGGAACGGCACTACTGGGGGAACGGCACTACTGGGGGAACGGCACTACTGGGGGAACGGCACTACTGGGGGAACGGCACTACTGGGGGAACGGCACTACTGGGGGAACGGCACTACAGGGGGGCACAGCACTACAGGGGGGCACAGCACTACAGGGGGGCACAGCACTACAGGGGGGCACAGCACTACAGGGGGGCGAAGAGTAACGCTCGTCTCTCACCACAACGGATGGCACGGGCGTGAGCCCAGCGCGCTCCATCTCATCCACTTCGGGGGGGAAAGGCCCGCACGTGTGATTGGCTGCTTCCACGAACCAATCGCTGATCAGCGCCACCACCAGCTCTCTGGAACAGTACACCCATGAACAGTGGAAACAGGATGTTCGCAGTGCACTTATAAACATGTGTAACAGGTTAAACTGATCGCTTGCACGAACCAATCGCTCATCAGCGCCACCACCAGCTCTCTGAAGCATCACACGAGAAGGGCAAAAGGAGGTGATTTTTCGGGTAACTAGAAAACACGAGAAAAAAACTAGAAAAACACAAGCTCCACTTGGAAGAGTACACCCATGAACAGTTCAGAACTGCTTTTCCTCAGTACACACACGGACAGGTGAAGCAACACTGAGAGCTTCAGGGCACTTATAACGGATCCTTTGCCGTTGTAACACATTTGCTGCCGTTGTGACGAATTTGTTGCGTTGTAATGAATTTGTTGCCACTGTGACGAAGCTGTTGCCGTTGTAACAAAAGTTGCCGTTGATACGAGGTTGCAAAGCACCCACCACTCGGAACCCATTCTCTAAGCACAATAAACTAAATTTTGAGTATAGGATGACTCTTGAACCTAAATAGTGGATTACCTTGTATCAAGTATGTTTGTGAGCGAGTCCTTGGGCTTCCCACTGGACCAGCAATGACCAATCGCAAGCATGGGCGGATTGTGCGCCACAGCGTTGAAATAGGAGTAGGGAGAGAGATTCCCCACGCCAGCCTGGATGGAGAGGAAGGGGAGAGCAGCACAGGCGAGGCGGGGTGAAGTGAAGGGACGAAGGAGAGGGGATAGCACGCTTGCATTGGGGGGGTTGTGTGCCACAGCGTTGCAATGGGAGGGGAAGGGGAGAGCAGCACAGGCGAGGGGAAAGAATGAAGGAAAAGAGACAGGAAGCAAGCATAGCAGGGTTGTGAGGCAAGGCGTTGAATTAGGAGTAGGGAGAAGGGCTTCCCGCGCCAGTCTGGAGAAGACAGGGGGGGGGTTGTGAAGCAAGGCGTTGAGATAAGGATAGCGAGAGAGAGGATCGCCACAGGCTGAAATGACGGAGAGGAGGCTGGGAGCAAGCATGGGGGGGGTGTGAGGCAAGGCGCTGAAGTGAGGAGAGAGGGGGGGGGCAGTATGGGAGAGAGGGGGTGAAGGGACGAAGAGCAAGGATAAGGAAGCAAGCATGAGAGCTAGTATGGGAGAATTGTGCGCCATCGGATTGTGATGTCAACATCTGAAGGGCCAGGAGAGTCAGAATGCATTAAAATGCTTTTATCACGATCAGAATAATTTATCAGGGATTGAGAGTCAGGATGCGATGTTTTATTTGCTTGCAACCCTGGTCCCTACCTTGGAAAGTGTAGAGATGAAGGCTATAGGTCGAGGAACCACTGTGCTTATAACGAGAGGATACAGCACACTGCTGCTGCAATCTGCTACCCGCACACTCACCACCCCCACCCCCCCTCCTCCCTCTCCCGCCTTCCCCTCCTCTCTCCCAAGCTCCTCTCCCCCATCCTTCCCACCCGCACTGTCAGCCGCTGAGGGAACAGGGAAGGGTGGCAGCAGCCGATCAGGAGCCTGCCAATCAGGGTGCGGTGGACGGATCCACGTCACTGCCACGTCAGCAAGGTCCGTGTCTGTGAATTTAGAAACTGCTGCTGCTGCTTCTGGTGCTGCTTGTGCGTTTGCTTGTGCTGGTGGTGGTTCTTGTGCACCCGCCGCTGCTGCTGCTGCTGCTGCTGCTTCTGGCTGTTGTGCAGAAGGGGGGGACAGAAACCGACCTGGGGAGGGCAAAGAGAGGGAGTGAGGGGAGCTTGGTGTGAGAGGGGTGCTGCTTGTGCGCCCGCTGCTGCTGCTGCTGCTGCTGCCGGTTGTGGTGCAGGAGCGGGAGACAGGAAGCGACCTGAGGAGCGGCAAGTGACAGGTGGGGGAAGGGGCACGGGTGAGTGACAGGAAGGGGGGAGGAGGGGGGGGTTGTGGGGGGGGATTGGGAGGGGAGAGAGGAAGAGGAGACGACGGAAACGGGGAGCGTGGGTGGGGAAGCTAAGGAGGAAAAACTCTCACACACACCAAAGGAGGAAGTGAATCGACAGGGAAGGTTCGCTGCACACCCACCAAAAGCGCCTCTTAGTTGCCGGCCGACCAATGGCAGCAGAGCTCCGGCCACCAGACCGACAACTCCAGCGCACGCCACCGAACCTGCGCCTAATTGTGACGAACCTGAACCGGACCTCCCCGAAGCTGATGTGGTTTGGGTTCGGTCCATCTCAGGTTCCCGCAGGATTCGACCGAACCTCGTTTGAGTCCGATATGATAATAGGAACTCAACAAATTCGTTCTTAATTGGTGTAATCTGTATGTCGTATCTATCGAACAGTTGTACTTGCGGTGCGCTGGTTTGCTACGGGAGCGGACCGACTAAAACGGCCTACAGGAGGGTCACCCTAAGTGCGTTTGTCCTAGCAGGAACACTGAGAAAGGCGTTCATAAAATATCGAAGGAAATTGAGCCAGCCGTAAAGCGAAATGACGTTTCGATTCTCTGTAACAGCTGACCTAACGCGCTTTACCCGCTAAGGACTACGACCAGCTTCAGCATCCGTGCAACTACCTTGAACGAACGGACAACGGCTTCGTCATACGACATGACTCGTTACATGTCATGATATAACGCAAGTGAATTTGCTTCCAGCGAAAACGAGAGCCTGTTGGGTCTTATTTCATAAGAAATAAACGTGTAAAGCCTGCGGTGTAGTGCTTCCGTTCAAGGATGGCATCGAGTGTCCCGTTCCTTCGCACGTGCTCTCTACAGACAACTGTGGCCCACAGCAACGCGGAATTGCCACATCGATCCCGATTCGCACTCCCCATCAAATCAGCAATGAAGTGAGATCGAGTTTGCTCAAGCATCAGGTATGATGAAGTGTGACCATCTCCTCTGCCCTTTACTGAAGCATCCATTACACATCTGGGCTTCACAAAAGCGTTTTCATACCAGTACCTAGCATTTTAAAACCCGGAGCCACGAACTTCAACTTATGAAGGCTGGTTGGGGCGAGCAATGGAATTGGCCAGAAATTCGGGTGTCAGGGTCACACTCAACCATAGGTAGGACGCTTGAACCAATTTGGGCTTTCTTGACCCACGGGTTTTAACTCCGAGACTACCACATGTTGCTACTAGGAATCTGTATAGAGTCTCAAATACACCTGCTTGATTTACAATTTCAAAGGGTAATTACCCAAGAAGCATCAGATCGAGGTGGCAATCAGGAAATCTCAAGTGCACTTGTTTTGGGCTGGAAGACACGGACGGAACGGACACGAAATGACACCGCCCCAGTCCACCACTCGCCATCAAATCTCCTCCCTGTCATCCTGAAAAGAGACCCAGGCCGCAAAAAAGGGACCCCAATGCCAATTTGTGGGGTGGAGAAAGCAGTCTGCCACCATGTGCCACCTCCCACCAGGGAAAATCGCCCAGCAGGGAAAATAATTCCACTGAAATGCCACCCGAGCTGCTGCAAGGTGCGCTGTGAGTCACCGTTCACCACCCCACCCCACCCACTCTCCCCCTTCCATTATTTCCGAGCTGTTCCACCCCACCCCACCTCCTCGTCGTCTCCCTCGATCCCCGCACCTCAGTCCACCCCACCCCACCACCCGCTGCCAATTCTTTCATTGGTCTGCTTTGATGACAACAGGAGCCCAATCGAGGGGCGAATCGCGGTGTAACCAATGCTTCCTCTGCACGTTGCTTGCTTCCTCTGCTCATCTGCTTCTTCTTCCTCTGCGTCTTCTGCCTCCCCCATCATGCCTCTCGAGTCTGTATCCTTCACAGTACATCACACAGCTGCGTTTGCATTTGCACCCGTGTGAACAGATTCACTCGAACATCCCGCCTTCCTGATTCTCGAAGTCCCATATTGTTCCCCCTCCCCCCCCCCCCCTTGATTTTCCTACCAATATCAGACACTCCTTTACGGTTCAAGCACAGATCATACTATCGCTGTCCTTCCTAACACTGACGCACGAGGCGCGCGTTAGGAGATTCATACATATAACTCCGTTTTCGGGACGGGAGCCAAATTTGACGCTGCCCGAAAATGGGAGTTACCCCGGCGACGGCTGGCGACGCCGCCATGCGACGAGTCATCGAATGGCGGGAAAAGCACGCTACAGCATTTGCACGCGACGTCACTGACGACCTCGCGAGGCTCGCAAGAACTTCGCGATGGGAAGTGGAATTTCGTGCAACCAGAAACCTGTGCGACAAGGACTGGCGACAGCCTGACGGATATCATTCGTTGCACAGATTTGCTGAGATTTCCGCAAAAGGTAAGACTTTCTGTCTGTATAGCAAGGACATGCTGATGTGAGTGCAGCTTGATCTATAACTCGGGTCTGAGTGGCTTGCAATATAAGTCGTGTGGCTGTCTGGATATTTTTGCTGAGATTATTCATGTTTTTTTCCTCCTCCTTATTCCACAGAAGCTCGCGAAGCTGTGAGCGAAGAGCAACTAGCTGGTATGCGAAGAATCATTCACCAATCAGCGTACGACATGTGGATCGCAGATGACATGTTGGTGAGCACGCTCAAGGACGCCCTATCGCATCAGACAGCCCAATATAAGGAGTTTCGAGACAGTCTTAATCCCTCCAGCAAGAGAAGGGTGAGGAAATCAAGGCGGAGCAGCAAGAAAGGCAGCAGCAATATTGACAGCTGCAGCGGTATCAGCAGCAGTCTAAATAGTACATATGGGAGAAGCAATGACACATGGAATGGTAATAGGAACTGTAGTAGCAGTGGTAGTCTAGACGCAAGTGACAGATGCAGAAGACCGAGCGGGAAAGCCGTAATGAGATGGCTCAGTAGGAGTATGGTGTGCTTATCCAAGCATGGTTAATCAACGCTTTTTTAACCTCTGTAGTTCTGTACGGGATGGAAGCCCCCCACGCTTCGTGTCAAGAAAGTTTAAACCTTACAAGCATGAAGGAGATTCATCTCCATCTTCTGCAACCATTTCTTCTGATAAACATATCCGTTCAGCCCGACAATGAAAGGAATGGGTAATCTAAGAATTGGAAATCTGCATTATTCCAAATCACAAGAATCTGCTGCCTATAGTGTGCACACAGCACACTAAACATCTACTCCTACCCTCCTGAGAAGACAAACACACATCCATGATCTGCTAAGCTGAAACCTATGCCACTCTGCTTGTTCCTCGCCATTGTGCATGAACAAACAATTAGTATCTTTATTTCATTAGTATTGGGTGTTGTCTTCTGGAAGGGGGATCCGACTTACCTTTGGGTTCCCCACTTCACCTCGCGCTGCTTCGTGTTTCTTGCTCTTCCCCTGCCTCATTCGCGGATTGGTGAACGAGCGAAGCGAGGACGGAGGGTGAGAAGCAGGCCTGTCAAGTTGCTGCCGCACTTGTAACTGGAGGACGGCGGACTAACCAGCTGACCAGCTTCCATCGTCTCCGTGTTTAACGGAAGCTGAACGCATCCCTCTTTCACCCTAATCCCTGCTTATGCGCCGTCTCCCTCGGAGTTCTGCAATTAGGCTGCTACCACACCGCGTAACGATCCACCAGACACGCTGTTTTATTGCTCCACCTTTGCGTTCGCTCTGCAGTCACCAATCCCCCACATCCTTTTTTCACGTTCCGCTCCCGCTTCCTCCATCCGTCTTCCTTTCCCCCTCCTCCCCCTCCCCGCCTTCAGTCCGTCTCCCGCGCTTACACCACGTGTCCGCATTGCAACCGCGCGATTCCTCCGGATCCCTCCACGCACGAACACCGCCTGTAGTCGTCCGCGCTCCCGATATTACCGAACCCTTTAGCAAAGTAACCACCCGCGTAAGGGCACAGGTTTGTCCGCTTTAGCGCTTTGCAGGTTCCCGCGAAAGGGTGTTCTGTCTGGCGCTTCGCGGATTTGTGCGCAACACACGCCATGGGCAGCATCCCCGATATAGGCAGCATGTCCGGACATTGCATCGCGTTATTGTGGCCGAACGAACACTCGGCGCGCTTCAGAACGTACGAATCCGCTCGGTTCTGCCCCACCACGGATGGCTTCTTCATAAGCATCTTCAAATGGCACTGTACCGAACCGTCGCTTAAACCGGGAACGGGGATGTCAATAGAGAAGCCGCGGCAGTCGGGGATCTCGAGGCAGCGTCGCCCGCACGCCTCCGGGGTAGCGGCGGGTTCCACGGTGTCGATGGTGGGAGAATGGTAGAGCGTGTTAGGAGAGTGGAGGAACGCTGACGTGGCATCTGTCAGAGTTTGAATGGGATTAAACGGGCAAAGAGCAGGACACGACAGTTAGTTACAAGAAGATACAATTGAGAAGGCAAACCGAAAGGCGCGTAGATGCAAGATCAAGGGATTGGGGTTGAGGGAAGGGAGAGAGCACAGGAGGAGAGGGAGAGGAGGATATATCGGGAGGTTCCCACGTTTCCAATAGCGGAAGGACTCACTTTGCTTGTGCACTCGCACGTTATCGATAACGGGGCCGTGAATTCCGGGAGTTGTCGACGCGAACAGCAGAGTGACAGCGGCGCCAGGTGCTTCAAACGCGAGCGTGTGCGACCGCCACCCCATCCCTTCGCGACTGCGTTTAGCCTCCTCCGCACCTCCGTGCGAAAACGTGTCGAATTCGTATGTTCGCGCGGTAACCGGAGCCCCATTTTCCTCATCTATGACGCTGACCCGCAGCGATCGCACGGCGCCCTCGTCTTCCAAACCGGGGTCGCCAGCGAGGTCGAAGTGCACGAAGTAGAATTCGCCCGGTCGGGTTACCACACGCTGCGCGAGAGTCGCAGGCCCGTGGCCGTTGAGAGCGATGCTATGATCGCCGGAGGCTGCGGGCCAGTGCTCGAGGCGCACGTACTTAATCGACCCGGAAACTAGGTGCCATGCGGAGGGTAGGCGTTTCCTGTGGCGGCGCGTGAGCGGGCCTGCGACGCTGGCGTCGCCGCGAACCCCGGGTTCTTCCATGTCGCCATTGAGGATGAGATTCGTCGGTGCGTTGTTGTGCGACAAGGCTGCGACTAGCGACACTGCATGGACGATTCGCAGAGGTGGACGGGCGACGCGGAATCGTATGCACCATGAAAGGCGGGAAGTACGAAGCGTGGAGATGATCAGCAACGGAGTACGGGACGGGCTAAGACTAAAAAGAAGAGCGACAGGGGACAAATCACGATGAACGATTGACGATGAGGTTTCTATCGAGGACATAAATCATGGGGATCCCATAAACAAATACAAGACGTACCGAGGAGGAGCGTGAGGGACAGAGACCAGCTTATCCGCCAAAGCATCTTCGTCATCTGTTGAAACGGGGCGTCGCTATTGTTGTATCAGAAGAGCCGCTAGACGCAGCTCGTCGCTTCGGAATGACTCTATGCTCGAAGTCGTGAGAGCTGCCAGATAATGAAAACGGCAGAAGTTGGATGCAGCTCGTGAATCGCAAATTTCAGCTACTACCAACGTGCAGCCTGCGTGGAGAGAGGAAATATTACGGAGCTCTGGAGACTAAATTGACAGGACGACCGTCAAACGCGGCTCAACTTGCGGCAAAGAACGAGGTGACGGGACATGCGCTATACCAGGACAAGCGAAACAGCTGGAGTTGTGGAAGAACCGCCCGAATCGGGAATTGAGAATGAAAATGCTTCGGAAGCGCACACCGACAGAATTTGGATATCTAAATGCTTCGCAGAGGGCAGGCGACGGTATAAGCGACCCACAACGACGCTCCCGGCAAGACTGACAAGCCTTGAGAAAGTCGCAAGCAGCTGGGAGTCTCTCATTCAGCTTCGGAAAGTGATCGCTCACCTTTGCCGAAATTTGCGCGGGTAGCCTCGGAAACGAATGTGCAAATTGGGGAAGGCAGGGACAGCTGGATCCGTGTCGAACTCAAACGGATGAACCAAACGAATTTGCGAAGAAAATGAACAATCCAGCGACTCGTGAGCCCTAAATCACTAGACGGAACGCAGGGAAAACGCATGTGTTACTGTAGCAACGACAAGCGTGCCGAGTGCGACATCGCGAGGGTTCCACGAGTGGCGCGAATTTGCGTTTCCCGAATTTGGCGAACGACTGTTGAAACGGAAAAAGTCAAGACTCCAGCACGGAATGAAACGGAAAAGCTGATTCCAGCGTGAGTCGTCAACATGCGCTGCGACCAATGACGATTACCAGAATATTGTGTCGCACACGCATCGCTCGGGCTGCCCGGGACGAACCCATCCGCCAAACGTTCGAAGGTGGATTATTTCGAAGCAGCCGCGAACCTCTCGCGGGCCGTCACCTTTGGGAAAGTAGCCGTTTGACGCGTCGGCGTCGCCGAAATGTCACGTTGAACAGTCGCTCTGTGACTGTTTCGCTGACAAGAAAGCTGGGACGCAGCCAGGCTCATGTAGCGCGATTCGTCTACATCAGCCACGTCTCTTGATGCTGCAAACCAGCACTCCCTTCAGCTTGCCCGAAAACCCCCCAACGGTTTGTACTGGTGCGGTAGAGTGCCGTACAGGCTCGGCGGGTTCGATAATATGCTATGCGGTACGTGATTTATCGGCCATGATTTGTACACTCATCACCTCCTCTCTCTGGAAGATAGTCAGCAAGCTCCTAATGTACTTTTTACATCACGACAAATGTCACATTTTTCTTACACTCACCACTTCTCTAATTCTCTAATATAGTTTAGTGTACCAGACATAATATCATTCATTTTGCGGATTCGTTATCGCCTCAAAACAGGGTGAAACAAGTAAACATAGGTATACTTCCTTCCTATGCAATGGTAGTATTTTGATCTGGTGGTGATATTTTCGTTCACTCTTTCTTGGAAGTGCAAGCTTTGCTTGTTTCTACCATAAGTTGGGCCACAATTCTATGATGGATTACTAATATCGAGGCACTTGGCAAGCAAGCATGCTTTGCCTAAGATTTGGTGATGTCTTAAAACCGGGGTGCACATTCAGCTGAATGTGCATCAAAGGTTATCCCTTGACTAAGTGGGTTACGAGGTGTGCTTTCAACCCCTTCAAGTCGAAATTCGTTTCCCCCCTCCCCCGCAATTTCGTTTCCCCACGCCCCCGCAATTTCATTTCCCCCTCCCCGGCGAAATTCGTTTCCCCCCTCCCCCGCAATTTTGTTTCCCCCCTCCCCCGCAATTTCGTTTCCCCCCCCTCCCGCCAATCTGTTTCATCCCTCCCGCCATTCGGTTTCACCCACTCCCGCCATTTCACCCCCTCCCGCCACCTACGAAATGCCCGAAGCTCTAGCGGAATCATTTTTTTGTCGCCCCTCGTGAGCCAATCACTGTTTTTCTCCAAACCCCCTTCCCAACATCTCAAGCCGAACCGCGTTGAATGTGCACCCTGGTTTTAACACCAGGTCTAAATATTTGGAGGAACTCCTCCCCTCTAGTGTAGAGGGGGTCCACTAATCGGGCGCTTACGGTATTTCCAGTGAAGGCTGCGTCATGGGAGCATGGGTTCTTCGCACATGTGTCCTGTCATAAAGGTCTTGCAACCATTTCTGCAATTTACATGGTGGACTGCTTGGTAATGGAACGCCTACTGCAAAGTAAGATACCGTAGCATACAGAACAATGTACGAGATATTATTTCCCAAACCCACTCACCAGACAATAAGCAGTTCGTTCTTACATGGTGCAAAACCTGTATAGGGGATGCCACAAAGGAAACCTGTTGGCATGACTGAAACTAACGTCCGTATACATGTATGCCGACTTCGTGGTGAGACATAGGAAGGAGCTGGTCGTGAATGCTAGATCGTGGTAAAGACCACACAGCGGCGAGCCTGCAGTGAAGACAAGCAGGAAAACAAATATGTGCGATGCTTCTAGAACAGTCAAATGCAGGGACGTACGCATAGACCCAAAAGTGGCAGCAGGGAGCACTTCAAACGAAAGTTACGCATGGGATGAGAGGTGCAGACTGTGAGGTGGACCAGCTATAAAGAACAGACGCTTGAAGCAGGTGGTGAGTGACAATTTGCAGTATCTGTTGCCATCGACCAGAACAGAAACACTGATCTGGTAGCTAATTGGAGTATCTGTTCCCCTTAGGGCGTGTAACTTTTTCCGCTTCTGTCAATTGTCCGGACGGAGCCCCCAAATCGTACGAACGGAGCTCCGTCCGGACGGTAGGGGATGTGGTTCGGACGATAGGGCGTCCGTACCACAGTTGTGACACTTTTTTGCAGTTTCGAAATGTGCGAGAAAGTAACGTACATAACCTGCCTCGCCAGAACATCGCCCGCTTCGCGACCAAGCTTCGGCGGCTTGGAAATAGAGTCGCCAAAATTTATGAAAACCCTGCTTCGCGCGCCAATGACATTGCAGGAGTTCCGGACGGTCCGAAATGTTGTCCGGACGGTTTCAGCGGCGTAGAACGGACGATGCTTTGACAAAAAAGTGTCAGTCGTCGTACGGACGATGGCGACGTCGCAAGGGGTCTTGCGAATTCGCTAACGATTTATGGCGAAATCCGTAACCCTACAAAAGTCCGGACGAGGCCTCCGTCCGGACGATGAAGACTGAAAAAGTTACACGCCCTAACGCGAACTCATATTCGGTTGTTGTGATCCGAGCAAGAACCCAAAAGCTTTAATTACATCTGGCGGGCCCTCCTTTAGCTGCCCTTACCTGGGGAAACTTGCGCTTGTTGTCCCCGTTATTGAGCCACCCAGCCCTCGCCAAGAGAGCGTTGTTCATGTACAGGAGAACGCACTGCTGCTTGTATACCTGCAATGAAAAGTGAGCAACAAAGCATGGTTCAACAAGTGCACGCCCTCATACAACGACCACTGCAAATAGATTCAGCTGGTAATCGTGTGCGGCAGGGTACAAGCAAAGGAGTTACCGCAAGGCCAGTGCGTGCGATGGGGTGCTGCCCGATAAAGTTGGTCTTGTTGTAGTCGTTGCCTGGCGGCATGAAGAAGAAACGGTTCTCGCAACTCGCGCCGGAGTTCTGCGAGCGAAAAAACAGGAAGCACGACAACCATAACCGCGGTTAACACTCATTGTGTAACCATCGGGTAACCACAACAAGACTTCATAGTGTAGCTCTCTCCCCACAGACATAATCTCCACCACTTGCGCCTTCTATTTCCATTATGGTAGTTAAGGAAGCCTTGCACACGACTTTTCAAGAAAAGGCTGACTCACCACGAACGTGCAGTCATCTGAAGAAGCAGTGATGACAGGATCCCCGGACCTGCAGCAGTCAACATTACACGATGAGATTATCAGTGCATTGGAATCATCTATCAGCCTCTTATCCGTAAATGAGCAGGGAGCACAGGACCTTCTATCGTACCTCTGAAAACACAACTATAAAACCTCCTCCTCCTTTCATCTCGCTCGGCTGAATTCTAACAGTCACCTCACGTCCATAACTGCTTCACTCATGCTCTAAGCACATAACCTTGTTACATACTTGTGGACGATGGGCGTGCGGCTGAGCAGCTTGTTTCCCAGAAACGACACCACGCGGTACTGTGGTACAACACCTGCACTTCCTTGCACCACGAAATCACAAGGCTGGATCGCGGGGTGGGGGAAAGGAAGGGGAAAGGGGGGAAGGGGGACATTTAAGCTGATGAAGCACTTGCGCAACAGAACAAGGCGTTGTCGCTGACAATGTTCTTCATTCTCAGGACGTCGTTGTAAGCTTTCCATTTTCAACCAGGACACTGGCGTCACATGACGTTTCTCTGTATTGAGATTACTATGATCAGGCGCTGGACAGACGCACCGCGAGAGGCCTGTAGTAGCATCGGACGCTCTGAGACGGGACCGCTTGGAGGCACAGTATAAGTCCGAAGGCTGGAGAGAGACAAGAAGAGAAAGCAGGGAACTTAGATTGCAAGGCTTCAGCATTGGAAATAGGAGAAACTGGCACTATCGCTACGCACTGGAGGAGTATTTGTGCCTAGCAGCAAGCAGTACGCAGTAAGCAGCATAGACGTACTGAGCAGGAGCGCTGTACAAAACCCGCGAGTCGCCATGGTCAGGTTCTGGTCCCTTGTGGAAGAAACAACACTCGCAGTTCGCTAGGAGGGTAAGATGAATGTACTTGATATTGCAAGCTTTCTATAATATCTTCCTCCCAAAGAATGTCTGTCTGATATGTGTCACCTTGTCGTCGTCTAATTCCTCTCGCGAGTCTAATTTTCTGTCATCCTGTCACGCTGCATTGTCGTAGCCCTAGGTATTACCTGCTGTGTCGATCTGTCCTGTGCGTCCTGGCTGGGAATGTCAATCGCATCGGACAGGCCAAATCGTGCGGCGGGGGAAGGCCGCGCCGCGACATCGGGATTCACGAATCGACCAAGGGACACAAGCTCTGCAGTTGGTGGAACACCGCAACTCGAGCTGACACATGTTTGGCACGAAACTGAAAACCTGGGGCGAACTGGACGCCACCATGGTGCAGAACCAGTGGCAAAAGAAAAATAAAGTAAGTGTTTATACGTACCGTACGTATGGTACATGCTGTAAATGTGTAATACATTTTTTCATGAGTAAACGTGTGAAATCAAATATTATCATGCTGTAGATTGTTCTTCCACAACTATTATACTACCAGGTAACAATGTTTCCTACTTCAAACATTTCATACTAAGCTTAGATAAAGCTGATGCTTAACGCTTGGAAGGATCAGAAACACAGCATGTTTACTCTTCTTATGGGTGGGCTTCGCTGGTTATACAAAGAAGAGGAATTGAGAATGTATCTGGCTGAAGTCTCAATAAGCTAGCCAAAGCCTTCGGTTATAAAGTGGCTTGAAATCAAGATTGCTTCGTGCCAGAAATAGGCTGAACAACAGTGCTGCTTTTCCATACGTCCTCAGGACGGACCAAGGAAGCATGTGATTTTGCATAGATGTTGCATGTGATACTTCATAGATTTGGTACAAGAGTGCCGGTAGGTAAGCCAATAATGATGTTTGGGGAAGCCAAAAATATTTGTACATGTATACAGCCCTGCCACACTAAAGCTTAGTCGATATTACCTTATCGTAAGGGAAAATCTATGACCCCATGGAGCAGGTCAAGATTGAAAAGGTGGAGAAGGGGAAAAGGGCAGCAATTCAATGGTTTGTCCGGTGGTTATCCTCTTGTCTACGATGTGCACAAGCACCAACTAGAGAGATGTACCCTCCCACTGCGTGAAGGTGGAAGATTTTGCATGTCTTTTCGTGCAGATACCTTTGTTGGGTTAGTGTTTTGTTGTTGCAAACATTCATGGGCTTAATGGTCACATACATAGCTAAATGGACTGACACGGCTATGACGCAAGTCAGTATGACGATGTAGGCTACGATTAGAAAACAAGTAGGCAACCTAAGTCTAGCAGCCTATGAAGCAATGAGCCAATCTACTCCACGCCACGAAGCGCCTCAAGAATGCTGGTAACGCCAGGTTGCGTTAGGCAGTGCGGAACATCACGCAGCGTCTCCTCTGCAAAGGTCAAGAAGAGTCAGTTAAGAACAAGTGTTGAAGACTCAAACATAAGCTGACCTTAGATTGGAGGCGAATATCATACCTGAGGGTACATGGCCTTCCCATCTCCGTTGTTTACCCAGCCGCCCTTTGCGAGCATGACGTTATCAATAAGCATCTTCACGCACTTGTTCTTGAATTTCTGTGGAACAATGGAACACCCGTTAGCATGGACAAAATCGAATGGTAGCCAAACAACGCCGAAGAAAGGATACTCACGTCCAGGTTCTGCTTGGTGATCATGTGGCTGCCAACAAGAGTCGTTTCGTTCCAGCTGCTGGTTTGGCTCATGAAGTGGAACATGCTCCCGCATGCGGTACGAGCTTTCTGCAAAACATTAAGCGAGATAATGTCAGCCCGTTTGCGATAAGCGAATACAGGTGTTTGCAGCATGTCCATGAGATTACCTTGCCCTTCTCGTTGGGGAAAGTGCACTGGTACGAGTATGCTGTCTTAATGCCCTCGCCAGTCCTGCGTATGCACAAAAATCGAATGTTAAATCATTTGAACGAAACATAATGGGGAAAGACTATGTAGCGATTTCGCAATAGCTTACTTGTAAACAATAGGCTTTCCCGAGAGAATCTTGTTTCCAGAGAAGACTTGAAGGCTCACAGTCGGAACTGCCGTAGACCCTTGGATGAGGAAGTCGCAGTACTGCAAAAGAATGAGATACTTGTTATGTGATGTCTATTGCTTAGCCAACCCTCTGAAGCGCAAAAAGAAGCATCGACGCTGTACCTGAGTAGGCGACGCAGCACAGAAATCCGTTGTTGTCACAGCGTACGAGATACCTACCACTGCATTCAGCAAAAGCTGGTGTCAGTCTATCGTCAAATAGAAAAGCAGACGTCGTGATCACGGGATAGAAGAGGCTATGATGCTATCTTACACGAGGCAAGGAGAGCCACAATGAGAGCCTTTGAAGCCATCGTAGCAAGTCAGATCCAGTCAGGTAGTTCAAAGTGGGTTGAAGAATGAAGATGCACCGAAAGGTTTGAGATTAGGATTCCAACTATCGTGCTGATTATGTAGAGGTTCTGGTGTTTGACGTGGTGGGGGTGTGATCAGACAAATTACACCTCTACTCCCGAAGCACCCAAACGTACGAATCGCACAATCGAATTTTGGTTCCCTCTTTTGTTCCCGCACGCGAGGCCGCTTCGACGGCCGTTTGGTGCATTGCCTCGACAGAGACTGTCCCTCAGTGGTTCGTTTGGCGACTGACCGACAGGCGTATTCGGCACGTTCGCGCGGAAAGATTTTCGCTTGCGCGAGACCACAGAGCTGTTCAAAGTCCTCGTTACTGATGATGCGAGGTTCAAAGTTCATGTGGAAATCGCAATACATAATTTGTTCCAGGCTTCAATACATATATGTCATTTGCCTGCGGTTGAGATAATAAACACATTAAGTTACAATTGTTTTTTAAGTTTTGTTTGAATAACCTGAATTTAATGAATAGCCTAAGAAAAAATTTATGTAAAATTAATACATTCATTAAGTAAATGCCATTACAATATTCGCCATATGAACTTTGAATATGTATTCCGAAATTGCGGACAACATACAGTCGACCATTGACGTTGACGGGGATATCTTTATGGACAACATTTTGCGTTGACGGGGCTGGCGGGCGGACTCTACGAGGACTGTACTTGGCGGGCCAGTTGTCTGTCGTCTAGTGCAAGAGGGGGAAGCGCCTGCGCAGCATTCTTTGATCAGCAACCCAAGCCGAATTCAGCAGCAACCATTCTCCCCCTGCATCCGAAGAACCACCCGCGCCTGTAGTTTCGAATCCCCCTTCCCCTCTCCATTCTCCCAACCCCTTCATAAACTCTTCCCCCCGTCTCCCCTCCACTTCCCCCTTTTCCCCCTACTTCTCCCCCACCTTTCCCCGCTCCTCGCCCCTCCCCTCCACCCGCCCCGCTAACTCACATCCTTTGCTCACATCCTTAGCTTCCTCCCCCAACCTCGCCGCCTTTCCTTTCCACCGCAACCTCTCACACTCTCCGTCTGTTTCGGTCTTCCCCATTCGGTCTGTACGTGCCCCTTCTCGCGATTCTTCTTATCCACCACACGCTTCAGACTTGCTGAATCTGCAGCGCCGAATATCCCGCGAATCTGCTGCTCGCCCGTGCGAGCTAACGAGCTGCTTTGGCTTCTTCTGGTTCCTCCTTCCAGCAACAGCATTCACATTCTGCCTGTGGGCGTTTGTACCCCAACTGTCCGAACTGTAACCACTTCGAGTTGATGCTTCCCAAAACGAGATCAGGAGTTTTGACGCCCACGACAAATATTGTTTTCGCATGCCCCCATTGTTCCTAACCTTCTTCTTGCTGCTGGATCGACACTACATTACTGTACTACGGACGGAGTTTTTTACAGTACTCCCGCACAAAAACAACTAACTTCACAGTATCTGACGACTTATCTGCGATGGGAGGCGCATCGAGCGGACGGCTTCTCCACTTGCGTCGACTGCCGCAACCAGTGCACGAAGGCGGAGCGGTTCTCAATGCTGACTTGCGGAGCAGCAGGACTAGCAGTCTGCTGCTCAACAGAAGCACAAGCAGTCTCCTGAGCAGCCTGCTAATTCTGAGGCGCCTAAGACATGATAAGACCCATGACCATTTGTTTCGCTCCAACTTCTCTTGTCAAGCTCTTGAAGCAGCATCAGAGGGGGTCGACACGTACTAGCCGAAAAGCAATTGACGAGGACGACGTCACTACCCACCGCAGCGCAGCGCGGCAACGATCAGTGTTGAGTCGACTCAAAAGGCAGCATCACGGGGGGACGACGCGGCGCGGATGCCGAAAAGCGATTGACGAGGACGGCGTCACTACGCCATCGCAGCGCAACGAGTAGTACTGTAGTAATTTTACAGCCTGCACAAGCGAGTAACCGTCCCGTCGCGGCACTGTGCTCGTCAAGCGAGCAACCCGCTCCTGCGACTAGCGCTTCGGGCCGAGATTCGCCTCATCGCGGCGCTACCCCGGCGCCAGTTGAGCGTTTGTCCGTTTTTGAGAGACATATCGTCGTTATCGTTAGCTATCATCGGTCCCGCGCCGCGTAAGCACACCCCGCCTAAAGAACCACCACCTGAAACGCTTCTCTGGTCAACGGAAAGCGTTGACGCCGCGCCAGGTCCGCACCGGGAACATACATCACCACTAGTACTAATAAACTCAGGGCCTGGCGCTCATTCGGTCGGAACCCTCAGCTTTTCCTCGTTCCTGAAAGTCTTGGATCGAGACGTACTACCAAGGTTGGAGACTAGTAGTGCCGTGTATTTCCCCCAATCAGCAAGACCCCTTTCCATAGTTCCAGTGCCACGCTTCGCTTCTTTCCACGCGCACCGGTGGCTTCCCATACTTCTTTTGACCCATCTCAACCAGCCCTCGCTATCCATTTTTTCGTCACACAGCCTGTCACGGTGGAGTTAGTATTTCCGACCCTGGCGCGACTCAGGAAAGCCCGACGCGTGACTCGTGTGCTCGTACCGACTCGTGTGCTCGTACCGACTCGTGTGCTCGTACCGACTCGTGTGCTCGTACCGACTCGTGTGCTCGTACCAAGAAACAGCTCGGTCTACCCTCGTCACAGTTTTGCCGCCGCTGCTACTACAGCAGCCGCGTAGGAGCCATACTGACAGCAGCAGCAGCACCATCGTTCTGCCCTCCTTAAGATTCACGGTCGCGCCATGGCGGTATTCGCGGTTCGTCACGCCGCCGCTGCCGGCGAAAACGCTCATTTGCTAAAAAAATCCCCTTTCGGAAAGGCTCGCCGCGCTACTTGTACCGCCGCGCCGCCCGAAGCCGCTCTTTTCGCCCTCCGTCTCGCGGTCCTCCTCCTCGTACTGTCATCGGCCTCTCGCTTCCCCACGTCTGCGGCTGCAGCGCCAGCGGCGGCGGCGGCGGCGGCGGCGGTCCCGGTGCTTACAGTCCCGATGAACGTGTCCGCCGGTGAGGGATTGCTGCATTCCGAGTCTCTGCTCTGCTGCATCTTGGGATGCGGTCCTACGCTGTCTCTGGTTCTCGCCCTTCCGCTGCTACCCTTCTCGGGCCATACGCTCATGCCTGTGCGACCCCCCTCCCCTCCCCTCCCCTCCCCTTCCCCTCCCTCACCTTCCCTCCCCTCCTCTTCCCTGCCCTCCTTCGTCTTCCCCGTCTTTCCCTCTTCTCCCCCTTCCTCCCACTTCCTCCAGTCCCCGTGCTGCTGCAGCTGCAGAACACGCTCGAGCTCGTGCAATACAACTGGGCGGGCTTTTGAGACGTCTCAAAGTTCCCCCTTCCTTCTCTCCCCTTCCCTCTCTCCCCTTCCGCTCCTCCTTCCCTCTTCTCTCTTCCCCCCTCTACCTTCCCCCTCCCCCTTCCCCCAGTGCCCGTGCTGCTGCAGCTGCAGAACACGCTCGAGCTCGTACAGTACAACTGGGCGGGCGCGGGGGACTGCGCGCTCGCCGCGGAACGGGGGGAGGCGGAATCCGGGGAAGAAACGGCGGGGGAACCGGGGGGAGCGACGGGTGCGGCAGCGGCGGTGGGTGGGGCGGCGGAGCCGTTGTTCCCCCTGCGGGGGAAGGCTGCTGCGGGGGGAGTGGGGCGCGCGGGGTGGGCGGGGGTGGCGTGTGACGCGCGGGGGAACCCCGTCCGCATGGAGTTCCCCCAACAGGGCCTCACGGGGTATCTGCCTCTTGACGTCTCCAAGCTGACGTCACTCACCAAGATGTAAGCTTGGAGCACGCCTTGCTGACGTCACCGGATATTCCTGAAGCGTGTGCTTTGCAAAAGTGGGTGTCTTGCTGATTGTAACAATCGTTTCTGTATGATTCTTCGTGCACCTTGCAAATCGTCTCGCCTGCTCTCTTGTGTGTCCCTCGTCGTGCCTTGTGTGGTGTCCTGCCTGCAGTGACCTGCAGAGAAATCTCATTATAGAGCGACTCGACGTCTTCATCAAGCCTCTCGAAGGACTAACCAACTTACAGCACTTGTACGTCGTAATTCCTGCTTCCGCCTTCAGTTATTCCATCTTCACTATCGTCACTCTCTTCTTCCATCCTCATGCCACTCCTCTCACCGCCCTCTGTTCTCCTGTCTTAGACTTTTCTCTTTCTCACTGTTTCAAGAATCATCTCCCTGCTCTACTTGCATCCCCCCTGTGTCATCTCATCCCTTCAGGGACCTCTCTTCCAATTTCCTCTTTGGCGGGATCCAGCCGTCCATCACCGCCGCCTTTCCACGCCTCACAGCACTGTGAGTATCTCTATTTTTAAGCTACTCATCTTGAAGATTCTTGCAGCGGCCCGTGTTTGATGCGTTTCCTGTTATTCGCCTCTCAAGTGCCTTTTGTGCTTCCTCAGAAAGACACCCTTTCTCAATCCGTTTCCCCATCCGTTCTCCCTTTCCCCCACTCTACTTCCCATTGCCATCCCTTTCTCCCGTGATCATCTCTCAGACTGCTATCAAGCAACCGCCTCACGGGCCGAGTTCCATCACGCCTCCCGCCTCTCCTCTCCATCCTCTCCCTCTCCTCCAACTACCTCTCAGGCTCCCTCCCCCGCACCTCCCTCCTCTGCTCCCCCGCCTCCTTTTCTCTCAACTGCTTCTCCAAAGAAGACCTTTTCTCCTGCTTCGCCTCCCGAACCAGCCATCCAGGCTCGGCCGGGCCTCGCTTAGGCTCGGCTGTGCCGGACCTGGCGTCTCTTGTGGAGCAGCAGCGGCCGGAGCAGCAGTGTGGGGAGGCGCTGTGTGGGGGAACGAGCGGGCGGGGGGAGTACTGCGAAGGGAATGGAGTTTGCCGCCCGATGATCCTCAGTCCGGCACTCAAGTACGGCGATGTGCTGCCGTGGATGTGTGCGTGCCACGACGGGGAAGTGGGTCGTTGCGGTGAGCCTCTTCTTTTGTTAGGGGTTTCATCTCGTTGTTCTTTTCCTCTTGTTCTTGCTGGTCTCTTTTCCTTCTTGCTTGCTTCACGGTTATCATCATATGGATGTCTCCCCTTTTCCTCCATTCATGTTCTTTTTTTCCTCATGATCTTCTCAGAATTTTTATTTCTTTAATATCGGCCATCTACCCCGTTTGCCTCGCCCGTCCTCATCCCCATCTAGTTGCCCACCGCATTCAGCAATCAGCATGCAGCATGTTTCCGTTAATCCCATCGCTGTGCTGTTATTACTGCTGCTGCTTGGACCAACCCTCTTCTCTCCCCCGTCTTCTTGCCTTCCCCACCCACCTTTTTCTCCCTTCCCTTCCCTCATCCTCCTCTCAGGTCCCCAGTTGCTTCGCAAGCGCTGCCCATCCATCTCCCCTTGCCCGAAGCACGCAGTGTGCATCCCCTTCGTGCCTTCCCCGCTGGGTTACCAGTGCCAGTGCACCCACCCCTGCTACAGCGTCCCTGCACGTGACAATAAAGGGCAGCTTGTGGAGTGTAGACCAAAATCAGGGGCCCCAGAGTGTGCTTATGTTGAGAAGAGGGTCATGGGGGAGGAAGTTATGGATGGGCTAGATGTGGAATAAAGAATTACCACCTTTTTGTCGTTCAAGCGGCAAATGGTTTGTGATTCTGAAGACTAGAATAGGCGCTTAACAAAGTTTTGTTTTTGCCGCTCAATCAGTTCCATGTTCTACTGTGTGCGCTGTAAGGCTATACTATATACGTACCTGAGCCTAGTACATGGGTTTGGTATAAGTTGAAATGTACGACTTATATGCTAATACATATTTTCTGGCTTGTACCCTTGTAAGCAAAGCCAAAAACCAGCTTCTCCTCACAAGTACCAGTCCCGGACTTTGCATTGAGTGTAACTTTGTCCGCAGTGGTTATGTTCCAAAATCTTGCTGCGCACGTCGTATTCTGAAATCGGGACGCGCAATAACGCGAAGCTCAGTTCAAAGTCCGACAGACGAGGGTTTGGTGGTTCATTTTCAGGACTCGCTCTCCTGTTCGGCTTTCCTAGGAGGTAGTATTGGAGGTTTAGCCCTGATCGATTAATCTATTCCTGATCATAGTCGTTTCAACCTCGGAAAGCATCATCGCCAAAAACGACTGGTAAGTATCAATTACCTGTCTAGGTTGTTGTTTTGTTTCCACCATTGCCGTGTTTAGCTTGTAAGAGACCTAATGATGGAGTGCTGTTGTTTTTAGCAGGTGTTGTTTGTGTGATCGGGAATCATGGCTCGGGTCTATGTTGGTAATTTGGATCCCCGTGCAACGGAACGAGAGCTTGAAGACGAGTTCCGAAGCTATGGCGTTCTAAGAAGGTACCGAATCAAGGATTCACCGCGTCGATTTATTGCCGTTAAGTCACCGCTTTTATTATTATGAGAAATCATACACCACTTTCTGACATTAAGTTCTTGACGTGCAGTGTGTGGGTCGCTAGAAAGCCACCTGGCTTCGCGTTTATTGAGTTCGACGACCACAGAGATGCTCAAGACGCTATCCGAGCTCTCAACGGTAAGATAAGAGTTAGTTTAATGGTCAAGTAGAAGCTCTACTCTTATCTTTTATACGATCAGACTTGATAATAATTCGTATGATCCTAATTATCATCCTGTGTTTATGTGACATCAGGCAAGCAAGGCTGGCGTGTCGAGCTTTCACGTGCCTCTGGCGGAGGTGGAGGTGGTCCAGTCCCTGTGCGAAGGGGAGGTGACGACATGCGATGCTACGAGTGCGGCGAACCCGGTCATTTCGCCCGCGAGTGTCGCATGCGTGTCGGAGGAGGAGGCGGAGGTGGAGGTGGAGCGCGTGGTCGCAGCCCTCCGCGCTATCGCCGAAGCCCGGATTACGGTCGCGAGAGGTGAGCTGCAAAATCAAGTCGAAAGCGTTCTTGTTATCACTTTCACGCTCGAATTTGTTTTCAGTTTTATTTTTCCCGTTTTCTGCTTCTCTTCGCTTCTCGTCCGATTTTATATGCCCGTCTCTCGTGACCAGCAAGTAGGTCCTGTTCCTTCGACCATCCATGCCTCCCGCTATTTTGCCGGCCGGTTATTTGGTGCAATCCCATCTCTTTTGCGTTCCAACTGATCATGTTTCGTTTTTCTGCCTCCGCCCGTCAGGGACGATTCCCCCCGGCGCAGGAGCCCGTCTCCCCGCCGCCGGAGCCCGTCCCCCGGTCGTCGCCGGAGCCCCTCCCCCGCCCGTCGCCGGAGCCCTTCCCCGGACAGGCGCCGCGGAAGCCGATCTCCCCCGCGCGTCCGCAGCCCTGCTCCTGGGTCCCCGCGTCGTGACGAGTGAGTGCTCGCGAGCTTCAGAGAACCGTTTATCGGCCCAGTTTTCTTTCTATGGCGGCCGCCGCTACGCCCTCCCCGTTCCCCTCTTCACTTCTTTCTCCCTCTTTTCTATTCCTTATTGCCCTCTTCTTCCCCGCCCTTCCCCCCCACCCACCCATTCCCCCCCTTTCCCCCTCCTCTCCCCCTCCTTCCCCTCCCACGCTTGCGTCTCCATTCCGTCTCGTTTCTCGCCTTCAAGCCCCCTGCGCAAACGTCTTGTCCCTCACCCTTCCACTCTCCCTTGTACTCTCCATATCTACCTGCCACCTTGATTTCATTGTGATTGTGGCTCTCTTTCTTAGCTCGCCTGACGCCAAGTGATGACGTCCCTCTGCGTGTCCCTCAGGCGGAGCCCCTCTCCTCGCCGCCGCCGGAGCCGCAGTCGCAGTTAGGCAATCGGAGCATTAGCGGATGTGCTTCCGTAGTGGAATTTTGTGCGCGGGTTCTGAAGGATGACATGGCCGCCTGCTGCTTCGGAGCTGCTTCAGAGCTGCTACGGAGCTGCGTTCTAACATAGCTTCAAGGAGGCACTGGAGTTCCTTGTAGAGGAAGAGCCATGACTGCCTGCTTCGTTATCTCTTCTGCTAGCTGCGTCTTCTGTCAGCGTCGTCTATCTGCACCTCCTAGCTTGTGGACTGCGTTATAAGCAATGGAATCGGCCTTCTGATGATTTTCGGCTGCTTCGGCGGCCTGCTATCTGCGTCCTGCCCTGCGCTCTGCTGTCTCTTCCGTTCTGCTCGTCTCTGCTTTCTGCTCGTCACTTCTCGTCACTACTCGTCACTGCTCGTCACTGCATTCTGCTCGTCACGGCTTGCTGCTGTCACTGCTCGTGACTGCACTCGCCTCGTCTCTGCTTTCTGCTCTCCACAGCACTGCACTGCACTCCCCTCCCTGCCCTCCACTGCCCAGGTCTGTGCTTCCGTCTTTTGAACTTGCAAACGTGCAAGGGGAAACGAACGCACTAGATTGAGAGTGAAATTAAGTAGCACATCAGGGCACACAATCTACATTTTTTTTAAATTGCTTCACTGCTCAGCATTTTTTCTAACCTGTTGTGTGGCCATGACATGGTTGTCTGGCTGCAATGGTGGCTGCAACAACTGACTGGTTGAGGCAAATGGAAGGGCGCTGCACTCGCTTCCTGCACTGGGTTTCTGTCAGCGGATGTATTAATATCAGCTGGGAAATGACTCATGATTCAGGTTTCAGCAGACCCTTTCGTATCATTATTGGCTAGTGTGGGGGGCTCATGAAAGGTCTGGCGTTTTGCGGTTTCAAGGAAAGGTGTGATGCACTTGAGAAGATGCAGGATTGGAAAACCCTTACGATGACAGTGTTGATTTTCATTTCTTCCTGTGACTATTTTATGTTACAATGACACTGTTGTAACCATGTACAAAACTCAACCAGATTATTGCTGAAAATAGCTAATTGATTATCATTGGACTTAAATTATTATCATGTAACGGTTGCCAATTGATATTGATAACCTCTTCAAGAATCTACAGTCATCTACCGGACAGTGATAGTCATCTAATCTTGTTCCACATCTATTGCTGGTGGATGATCCCAGTTACTACTCAAAATCCTCACAGGCACTGTAACTCGTTTCCTACCATGCTCACCACCGCTTGCATCCATGCCCTCCTCCCATCCCTCGGCAATACATCAGTTACTCCTCAAATAGTCAAGGTTAACTCATATCCTACTGTGGGTGCTCCGCACACCACTCCCTGGCATTCTGAAACAGCTTCAGCCACGGGCTAGGCCCGCTGGCATCCATGCCCTCCCGCCACTCCTTGGGCGCCCACGGCAGCTGCCACATCAAGTAGCACCTCTCCGGATGAGGCATCATCGCCAGATGCCTTCCATTGGGAGAGCACAGCGCGGCTATCCCCGCGGGGGACCCGTTCGGGTTGAATGGGTAGGCTTCGGTGGGGGCGCCGTCGTCGTCGCAGTAGCGGATGGGAGCGAGGTTGGAGGAGAGGACGGATTGGAAGAGGGAGGAGGAGGGGAAGAGAGCCCGGCCCTCCCCGTGTGCCACCCAGATGCCCACCCTTGTGCCCTCCATGCCCCTGTTTGGAGAAGATGGCGGGACAACAGAATGTGCAAGGGAAGTGTTAACAGGGCCGGAGGATATGGGATAGGAGGAGAAAGGGGTTGAAGATGAGTGGAATGAGGTGCATACAAAATTTATCGGGCAGCGGTGAAGCAAGGTTCAGCAGCAGCAAGCGCTCACCTGAGCATGATGGCTGGAGACTCCTCGATCTGTACGGGGGAGAAGCGGCGCTCAAAGCACCCCGACTCATTGCAGTCATAGAGAACACACACATATGTTCCGGCTGGGCCTGCAAGCCCTCTCTCCGCCCTCACCTGAACATGACAGCAGGTGACTCGTCGATCTGGACAGTGGAGAAGCGGCACTCAAACCGCCCCGACTCGTTGTGCACAAAGCGAGAGAGGCTGTCACAGAAAGCATGCCATACCAGCCCCCTTTCCGACCTCTCACCTGAGCATGACAGCAGGTGACTCGTCAATCTGGACAGTTGAGAAGCGGCACTCAAAGCACACCTGCTACACATGTGCCAGGTGTACGTGCAAGGCCCTTTACTCCCCGTCACCTGAGCATGACAGCAGGTGACTCGTCAATCTGGACAGTTGAGAAGCGGCACTCAAAGCACACCTGCTACACATGTGCCAGGTGTACGTGCAAGGCCCTTTACTCCCCCTCACCTGAGCATGACAGCAGGTGACTCGTCAATCTGAATGGTGGAGAAGCGGCACTCAAACCGCCCCGACTCGATGTGCACAGAGAGAGGCACAGGCAGCACAACACCCACTCAGCTCCCCTTCACTCCCCCTCACCTGAGCATGACAGCAGGTGACTCGTCAATCTGTACAGTTGAGAAGCGGCACTCAAACCGCCCCGACTCGTTGTGCACAAAGCGCGGCTGTGCTGCGTCCCCCCCCTCGCCCATCACCCCGCCCACGTCCGGACCAGGGACCTTCAGGGGAGAGGAGAAAGGAAGGCAGGGAGAGGGCGAGTGGAGACGCATGAAGGAGGGGTGGGGTGGGGAAAGGAGAAGCAAGAATGTTAGGGACAGAGGATGGGTAAACGAGACACAGGAAGAAGTAGACAGCTTTTCAGCCGCACTTACCTATCCCGGCAGAGCCATGAGCTGGCACCCAGTGTACACACCCTAACCATGAGCCATGAGCCAGCCCCTCATATGCCCCCCTAACACTTCTCTCCCCCCTCCTCCCCCACTCCCTGCCACTCACCCATCCCAGCAGCGCCATGAGCTGGCACCCGTTGCACACGCCCAGGCTGAACATGTGCCTCCCATACCCGTCCCAGAATCACACCAATCCCTAGTAACCCCCTTTCCCCCCACTAGCGACACTCACCCATCCCAGCAGCGCCATGGGCTGGCACCCGTTGCACACGCCCAGGCTCAACAATCCCCTCATACGCCTCTGCCCCCCATTCCCCACTCCCCCCAACTCTTCTCTCCCCCCTCAACACCCTTCCTCCCTGCCACTCACCCATCCCAGCAGCGCCATGAGCTGGCACCCGTTGCACACGCCCAGGTTGACCAAGCCTTTCATACGCACCCATCCCCCATCCCCCATCATCCCCCATCCCCCATCCCCCATCATCCCCCATCCCCCCAACTCCCTCTTCTCTCTTCCACCCCCCCCGCACTCACCCATCCCAGCAGCGCCATGAGCTGGCACCCGTTGCACACGCCCAGGCTCCACGTGTCTTCCCGCTGGTAGAACGCGTCGAACTGGGCTTTAAGCCCCGCGTTGAACCGGATGGCTGCCGCCCACCCCTTGGCCGAGTCCAGCACGTCCGCGTAGCTGAAGCCGCCCACAAAGATGATTCCTCTAAAGTCGTCCAGCCTGGCCCGCCCTTGCAGCAGATCCGATACAGTCACATCCCATGGCTCCATGCCTGCCGCCCACACCGCTGCCGCCATCTCGCGGTCGCCGTTGCTGCCCTCCTCACGCAGGACAGCGACTCTGGGCTTTGTGGTCGCGGTCAGGAGCTGCAGCAGAGGAGAGGGGGGGAAGAGGGTGGGAAAGCGGGCAGAAAGCTTAGGTGTATTCACCTCGTAACACACCGCTGCTGCCATCTCGCGGTCGCCGTTGCTGCCCTCCTCTCGCAGTACAGCCACTCGGGGCTTCGTGGTTGCGGTCAGGAGCTGCAACAGGGGGGAAGGGTAGGGGAAAAGGGAAAGGGACGAGGCAAGGAAGGTTAGACGAAGCACCGCGACACACCGCTGCCGCCATCTCCCTGTCGCCGTTGCTGCCCTCCTCACGAGTTGACTTTTGAGTCGACTCAAAAGTCGTTGCTGCCCTCCTCACGTAGTACAGCCACTCGCGGCTTTGTGGTTGCAGTCAGGAGCTGCAACACGGGAGGGGCGGAAGAGGGTGGGAAAGTGGGCAGAAAGCTTCGATGTATGCACCTCGTAACATTGCTGCTGCCATCTCACTGTCGCTGCTGCTGCCCTCCTCCTCCCAAGACACAGCCACTCGGGGCTTCATGCTTGCAGTGAGGAGCTGCAGGAGAAGAAGTGGGGGGAGTGGGGGGAGAGAGACAGGGTAAATGCACACCGTGACATACCATGGCATCTCAGTGTTCTGCTGTACAGTTCAGTCTGCTTCACATTTTAAACTCCATTCCGCCATTCACCCCAACCACCCTAACCCACCCACCCACCCACCCACCCACCCACCCACCCACCCACCCACCCACCCACCCACCCACCCACCCACCCACCCACCCACCCACCTCATGCGCGGTCCTGCTCGGGGTGAAAGGAAGCTTCCACGACGGCTCCTTGCGGTGCTTGAGCCCCTCCCTCTCAGCGACAGCACACGTCTCGGTTCGCTGCATCTGCTCGAGCAGAAAGGACGACTCCTCCCACACGTCCCGCCAGGCTGGCATCGAATCTCCCTCTAGCACCGGCACCCCCGCCACCGCCACCGAGAGCAGCGGGGGAGAGGCAGGAGCGGAGGAGGAGGGGGATGTGACTTGGCCAATGACGGTCGCGGGGACCTGGGCGGCGGAGAGCGTGCGCAGTACTTCGTCCTGATTGGCCGGCGCCACCTCGATCACGAGCCCCAGCTCCTCCGCAAAGAGCGTTCCAAACACATCCACCTCCTCCTCTTCCCCTTCCTGTGTGTCAACAGCGGGCGAGGGCAGGTTGACAGTGACGCCCGTGTTGCCAGCGAAGGCCATCTCGAGAATGGCTGTGATGATGCCACCGTCGCTCACGTCGTGCCCTGAGGAGACCAGGCGGCGGCCGATCAGATCCTGGTGTGGGTACAGAAGGAGGGAGAGGGGAATGAGGGAATGGGGATGAGACAGGTGAGGGCAGGTTGACAGTGACCCCCGTGTTGCCAGCGAAGGCCATCTCGAGAATGGCTGTGATGATGCCGCCGTCGCTCTCGTCGTGCCCTGAGGAGACCAGGCGGCGGCCGATCAGATCCTGAGCAAGGGGAGGTAGAGGGGAATGAGGGAACGAGGGAAGGGGGGGGAGAAAGGTGAGGGCAGGTTGGCAGTGACGCCCGTGTTGACGGCGAAGGCCATCTTGAGAATGGCTGTGATAACGCCCCCGTCCCTAACGTCGTGCCCCGATGCTATGAGACGCCGGCCGATGAGATCCTGTGCAAGGGGAGGGAGATAGGAATGAGGAAAGGAAGGGGGAGGAGACAGGGGCAGCGGGAGGGGAAGAAGCGTAGTTAGAGCCGCATGCAGGGGTGGGAGCCACCCTGAAGCTTAAACCCCAAACCTTCAACCATAATGCAGCAAACCTAGACTTTAAACCCTCAAGAAACCCTACACTTCACCACTAAACATCCATACCTGCACGGCATTAAAGCCCCGCTTGAGCAGCGCCACATCAGCATCCGGTGACTCATCGCCTATCTGGTCGTACACGTGGGCGAGGGCCGACCCGCCCACTCGCCTGTTGCCAGCACTGAGATCCACGTGGATCAACACACCCTCGCCTGGGAGCTGCGATGGGGAAAGGTGATGAAGGGAAGGGAAGCAGCACTGAGATTAGATCTACAGCATTGAGTCTTGCACCACACATCCCGCCCACCCGCCTGTTGCCTCCACTCAGGTCACATGGATCAACACACCCTCGCCTGGGAGCTGCACAGGGTGCGTGAGAGGAGAGTGTGGGGGAGAGAGGAAGGCAGTAACACAGAGGCATTAGCAAACATTACACGCACCCCACACCCTGCCCACGCGCCTGTTGCCCGCACTGAGATCCACATGGATCAACACACCCTCTCCTGGGAGCTGCGAGGGGGAAGTGGGAGAAGAGAGCAAGGGAGGGCAGTAAGGACATTGGATGCACAGGCATTGCGCCATGCACCGCACACCCCGCCCATCCACCTGCTGCCCCCACTCAGGTCCACGTGGATCAACACACCCTCGCCTGGGAGCTGCAGAGAGAAGGGGGACAGGGGGAGAGAATGAGAGAGGGGGGCAGCACACACAGGCATCAGCACCTCCCCTCATTCAACGCACACCCCGCCCACCCGGCTGTTGCCCCCACTCAGGTCCAGCGTTATTCAGTCTCCTCGTCTCTCCTACTATCCCTGCTACCCTCCCTGCTACCCTCCCTGCTACCCTCCCTGCTACCCTCCCTGCTACCCTCCCTGCTACCCTCCCTGCTACCCTCCCTGCTACCCTCCCTGCTACCCTCCCTGCTACCCTCCCTGCTACCCTCCCTGCTACCCTCCCTGCTACCCTCTCTCCCCCTCTCTAACCTTGAGGTCGGGAGTGACAGTGAGGGTGATATCAGGGCAGGTGACGTATGCACTCATCACCAGGTTGCCAGGGGCCATCACTGTCTCGCCCCCCGCCTGCATGGGAAGGGACGGGAGGAAGAAGGGCAGAGGAAGGGTCAGGCAAGCAGGAGGGAAAGCCAAAGCGTGTATTCAGCCATGCATGTGTACCATGCATACATGCAGCATGTGTGTCATGCCATGCACTCATGCAGCCATGCAACGCAACAAGGGCGCCAGGGGGGAAAAGGAAATCCAGCCATTCGCGTCCAACGTACGCCAGCATGTGTACTTGACTGGTATGCTGGTTACAACTTACAGTGACATGCACTCACAGTAGCAGCACAAGCTGTCCTTGCCCCCATCCACCAGCAATCACCAGCGCCAGCATCGCCTCCTTGAGCACTCGCAACTTGTTGCTACCCTCGTCACAACACAATCATCCCCGTTACCAGCACATCAACCATCCACTCACCGTAGAAGCCATGGATAAACCGTCCTTGCCCCCATCCACGCGATCCCCACTTCCAGCATCGCCTCTTTGAGAGCCACTGCAGCATCGTACATGGCTGCTAGTGTTACATTCACACCCATAAGTCTCTCTCGTTACAGTCATCCCCGTTACCAGCACATCAACTCACGGTAGCTGCCATACTCAGGCTGTCTTTCCCACCGTCCACGGCTATCCCCAGCGCCAGCATCGCCTCTTTGAGAGCCACAGCAGCATCGTACATGGCTGCTGGTGCTGACGGTGGTGTTGCACCCATGAGGTGAGGCACCCTCACTACAGTCATCCCCGTTACAAGCACATTTGCCATCCACCCACTCACCGTAGCAGCCATAGTTAAACTGTCCTTTCCCCCATCCACCGCAATCCCCAGCGCCAGCATCGCCTCTTTGAGCGCCACTGCAGCATCGTACATGGCTGCTGGTGCTGCTGGTGGTGCTGCTGGTGCTGCTGGTGTTGCACCCACTCACACCCATGAGTCGCTCTTGCAACAAGCACACAACTCACCATAGCAGCCAAAGATAAGCTGTCCTTGCCACCGTCAACCGCAATTCCCAGTTCCAGCATCGCCTCTTTGAGTGCCCCTGCCGCATCGTACATGGCTGCTGGCGCTGCTGGTGGCGCTGTTGGTGTTGCACTCACTCACACCCATGAGTCGCTCTCGCAACAAGCACAACTCACCGTAGCAGCCATACTCAGGCTGTCCTTCCCCCCGTCCACAGCATCGCCTCCTTGAGCGTTCCGCACTTGTTGTTACCCTCGTTACAAACACAGCCACCATGCACTCACCGTAGCTGCCATACTCAGGCTGTCCTTCCCCCCGTCCACAGCATCGCCTCCTAAAGCGTTCCGCACTTGTTGTTACCCTCGTTACAAACACAGCCACCATGCACTCACCGTAGCTGCCATACTCAGGCTGTCCTTCCCCCCGTCCACAGCATCGCCTCCTTGAGCGTTCCGCACTTGTTGTTACCCTCGTTACAAACACAGCCACCATGCACTCACCGTAGCTGCCATACTCAGGCTGTCCTTCCCCCCGTCCACAGCATCGCCTCCTTGAGCGTTCCGCACTTGTTGTTACCCTCGTTACAAACATAGCCACCATGCACTCACCGTAGCTGCCATACTCAGGCTGTCCTTCCCCCCGTCCACAGCATCGCCTCCTTGAGCGTTCCGCACTTGTTGTTACCCTCGTTACAAACACAGCCACCATGCACTCACCGTAGCTGCCATACTCAGGCTGTCCTCCCCCCCGTCCACGGCTATCCCCAGCGCCAGCATCGCCTCTTTGAGCGGCACTGCAGCATCGTACAGTCGGACCCACTCACCGTAGCAGCCATAGACAGACTATATTTTCCCCCATCCACTGCAATCCCCAGCGCCAGCATCGCCTCTTTGAGTGCCACTGCAGCATCGCACATGGCTGCTGGTGCTGCACTCACTCACACCCATGAGTCGCTCTTGCAACAAGCACACCCACTCACCGTAGCAGCCATAGATAAGCTGTCCTTGCCACCGTCAACCGCAATTCCCAGTTCCAGCATCGCCTCCTTGAGAGCCACTGCAGCGTCGTACATGGCTGCCCCCTCCCCACCCATCTTGGCTGCATACATCCAGTTGCCACTCGCCTTCACGTCCTCTAGTGCAGTGACCTGCACGGGACAACCATGGCGGGGAGGGGGCATTGGGCGATGAGGTGCAAGCAAGGGAGACGTCACACATGACTGCCCCCTCCCCGCCCATCTTGGCTGCATACATCCAGTTGCCACTCGCCTTCACGTCCTCTAGTGCAGTGACCTGCACGGGACAACCATGGGAGGGGAGGGGGCATTGGGCGATGAGGTGCAAGCAAGGGAGACGTCACACATGACTGCCCCCTCCCCGCCCATCTTGGCTGCATACATCCAGTTGCCACTCGCCTTCACGTCCTCTAGCGCCGTGACCTGCACGGGACAACCATGGGATGGGAGGGGGCATTGGGGGTTAAGCGGCAAGCAACTGCAGCGTCACACATGGCTGCCCCCTCGCCGCCCATCTTGGCGGCATACATCCAGTTGCCGCTCGCCTTCACGTCCTCTAGCGCTGTCACCTGCGCTTAGGGAAGGGAAACCAGAATGCAGGGAAAGCGATTGAGGGAAGAGCTTCAAGCAGGGAAGGGGGAAACAATGCACATGCGTGGTCCCTCGCCGCCCATCGCAAACACATGCGTGGACAAGGTTGGTGGGCAGTGGGCCAGTGAGGACATGCAATGACTCGCCTCAACCAAACACCACTTGCCGGACTCTACGCCCCATCCGTGTGCGTTAAACCGATTCCCGGAAACCCACCTTGGCCCAGACAAGTTTGGTGAGGGCCTCCCCAATGGCCATGCGCGCCATGGCTGCTCTGCTCTCTCTCACTACCACGACAGCACACCAGGCTTGAAGCCCACACTCCTCATCAGTCCACCAACCCACACCAACCCACCTTGGCCCAGACAAGGTTGGTGAGAGCCTCCCCAATTGCCATGCGCGCCATGGCTGCTGTGCTCCCTCCCACTACCAGCAGAGCACATCAAGGTGGGTGCCATACAGCCACATCATATCGACCCACACAGCATGGACCCACCTTGGCCCACACAAGGTTGGTGAGCGCCTCCCCAATCGCCATGCGCGCCATGGCTGCTGGGTTGATGAGGCCCTGATGGGCAGCAGAGGAACGGAGGAGGGGGAAACAGAGAGGGTGGAGGGTGTTAAGGTGAGTCATGCACATGGGGAGGCAGGCAAGAAGGGGGACAGTGAGGGCCTCGCACACTGCCATGCATGCCATGGGTGCTGGGTTGATGAGCCCCTGATGGGCAGCAGAGGAGGGGAGAAGAGGGCAGCAGGGAGGGGAGGAGGGGCGAGCAGGGAGAGGAGGAGAGGAGCAGCAGGGAGAGAGGAGGGTGTTAAGGTGAGTCATACCATGCACATGGGGAGGCAGGCAGGCAAGAAGGGGGACAGTGAGGGCCGGGGAACCTCAGACATTTCAACAATCAGACAGTATGAGTTGTCACATGTGGCTGCAGTGGCTGCTGGCGAAAGGGAAAGCAGCAGGCACAACCAAATTTCTACAGAAATCCTTCAAGAGAAAGAGGCTGAGTTCACAAGGATATACACGATTGGGTTGGAGACCACGCGGCATACCTTGATTGGCTGCTCCCCAATGGCGCATGCTGCTCCTGTGATGCCTGTATGGGTCTGTGCAGGCATCAGCCACCCCATCCCCCAACCCCGTTCCGCATCCCCCATGCCCCATGGACCATGGCCCACGCCCACCCGACCGACGCCCCATGCACCATGCGCCATGCACCATCCCCTCCATGGCCCATGCACCATGCACCATTCAAAGAGCACAGCAGATAGGCAGAAGGAGAGACACGATGCCATGGAAGCATGGGTCCGAAGGGGAGCGAGCGACGGAGGAGGGGTGGGGACGGGGGAAGGGGGGGACGAGAGGAAAAAAGGGTGCTGAGGGGACATTTGGCCTTAGTTGGGCTCGTGAAGCATGAATGCATGCAGCAGCATGGCTTTTGAGTCGACTCAAAAGTCATCTTACCTTGTTGGGCTCGTGAAGCATGCATGCATGCAGCGGCGTGGCAAGCAAAGCTACAAGCGAAAAGGAGACCAGAGGTGGCTGCTGCCACGTGGGTAATGTAATCAGCAAGGAAATCCGTACCTATGCAATGACTGCCACGTCAGCAAGGAGGCCGCACCTGAGCGATGACTGCCACGTCAGCAAGGGTGATCTGCAGCGGGCCCACGGTCTGCTGCTGCGCCACGAGGCCCGTGACACAGCGATCCACCTGGATGATTGGGGAGGGGGGTTGGTGGGGATGCGAGGAAAGGAAGGGGGAACAGAAGGAGAGGAGACTTTGATCAGGTTAGACCTGCTGTTGCTGCGCTGCAAGCCTGACACAGCGTTCACCCTGCAGTGGAGCATGTGTTGGCAAGAAGGAAAGGGGGAAGGGGTCAGAACGTGTGGGTGCTTTTCAGTGGATGTGGGAAGGGGGAGTAAGAGGAGCGTGAGATGGAAGGTGAGGGATGTGGGATGTGGAGAGGAGAGGGTTGGCAAACGACTCAGAAGAACTCAATTCACCTGTGCTGTTCTCCCATGGTGAACGGATTTACCACGGGAGAACAGAACGTGTGAATTGATAGGTTGGAAGCAATCACGCCACCCCAAGCCAATCCATAGTGCACGGGCAACAGGAGTCAAGTCAACATACCACCATCTTGAGAGCCTCTGCCACCGTCAGCGCCGGGGGCAGCTCCAGAGGCTCTCGTCGCTTTACCATCCGCAACCTGTGGCCGTACCATACCTTGGTGGTGAGGAACCGCTTCGATGCCACCGATGGCAGCATGAGCACCCTCTTAAGCGCCTCAGGCACAGTGAGTGCAGGGGGCAGCTCCAGAGGCTCCCTCTCGTCGCTGCCCCGTACGAAGTCAAATCGCTTTCTGGGCAACACCTTGTCGCCCAGCACCTTGTGCACCTTCCCACACCAACCATACCCACTGCATGCATCCCTTCAATCTGCCATACCTTGGTGGTGAGGAAGCGCTTCGATGCTACGGACGGCAGCCGCAGCACCCTCTTGAGCGCCTCTGCCACCGTTAGAGCAGGGGGCAGCTCCAGAGGCTCCCTCTCGTCGCTGCCTCGCACGAAGTCAAATCGCTTGCTGGGCATGTCGCCCAGCACCTTGCCCACTTTGTCCACCTTTCCACACCACCCATACCATACCCACTGCATCCCATCCCTTCCCTTGGCCGCACCTTGGTGGTGAGGAAGCGCTTCGATGCCACTGACGGCAGCCTGAGCACGCGCTTGAGCGCCTCTACAACGGTCAGCGCAGGGGGCAGCTCCAGAGGCTCCCTCTCGTCGTTGCCCCGTACGAAGTCAAATCGCTTGCTGGGCATGTCCCCCAGCACCTTGTCGAGATCGAGATCGACCGCTGGGAGAGGAGGGGCGTGGCCTGCCACTGCCGCCTCCTGCTGCTCCTTGGAGTCGAAGAGAACCACCTTGCCGGAACCACTGAATGGGGAAGGAGTGAGAGGGCGTGGGAAATAAGAAACATTGAGGTTTGAAGGGAATGCGCTTGCAGGGCATGTCTCCCAGCACCTTGTCGAGATCGAGGTCCACTGCTGGGAGGGGAGGGAGACACACGAGATGGAGGGGTGGAGAGGGGTGAGAGGGAGTGGGGATGGAGCGCTTGCTGGGCATGTCGCCCAGCACCTTGTCGAGATCGAGATCGACTGCTGGGAGCGGCGGGGCGTGGCCTGCTGCTGCTGCCTCCTGCTGCTCCCTGGAGTCGAACAGAACCACCTTGCCGGAACCACTGGGATGGGGGACGGAGGGAGACGCACAGGATTGAGGGGGGGATAGGAGTGAGGGGTTCCGATGGTTCCGATGACAGCCATGCAGAGCCTCTCTTCGTTACAAGAACCGCAGCACAGCAGCAGTCTGCCTATAAGGAGTACAAAGAGAGTGTTCACCTGATGGTTCCAATGACAGCCATGGAGAGTCTTTCACGGTCGCAGATGGACCGCAGCAGCTGCTCGCTCTCTGGGCGGGCCAGGAGGGCGTCCTGACAGATTGGAGGCGTAGGGAGAAGAGAAGGAGAAGGGGTGAGCTTTTGAGAAACCTCAAAGCCAGATATACCTCAACAGCTCCTCGCTTTCTGGTCGCGCCAGGAGGGCGTCCTGACAGGTTGGAGGCGTAGGGAGAAGAGAAGGAGAAGGGGTGAGCTTTTGAGAAACCTCAAAGCCAGATATACCTCAACAGCTCCTCGCTTTCTGGTCGCGCCAGGAGGGCGTCCTGACAGGTTGGAGGCGTAGGGAGAAGAGAAGGAGAAGGGGTGAGCTTTTGAGAAACCTCAAAGCCAGATATACCTCAACAGCTCCTCGCTTTCTGGTCGCGCCAGGAGGGCGTCCTGACAGGTTGGAGGCGTAGGGAGAAGAGAAGGAGAAGGGGTGAGCTTTTGAGAAACCTCAAAGCCAGATATACCTCAACAGCTCCTCGCTTTCTGGGCGCGCCAGGAGGGCGTCCTGACAGGTTGGAGGCGTAGGGAGAAGAGAAGGAGAAGGGGTGAGCTTTTGAGAAACCTCAAAGCCAGATATACCTCAACAGCTCCTCGCTTTCTGGGCGCGCCAGGAGGGCGTCCTGACAGGTTGGAGGCGTAGGGAGAAGAGAAGGAGAAGGGGTGAGCTTTTGAGAAACCTCAAAGCCAGATATACCTCAACAGCTCCTCGCTTTCTGGGCGCGCCAGGAGGGCGTCCTGACAGGTTGGAGGCGTAGGGAGAAGAGAAGGAGAAGGGGTGAGCTTTTGAGAAACCTCAAAGCCAGATATACCTCAACAGCTCCTCGCTTTCTGGGCGCGCCAGGAGGGCGTCCTGACAGGTTGGAGGCGTAGGGAGAAGAGAAGGAGAAGGGGTGAGCTTTTGAGAAACCTCAAAGCCAGATATACCTCAACAGCTCCTCGCTTTCTGGGCGCGCCAGGAGGGCGTCCTGACAGGTTGGAGGCGTAGGGAGAAGAGAAGGAGAAGGGGTGAGCTTTTGAGAAACCTCAAAGCCAGATATACCTCAACAGCTCCTCGCTTTCTGGGCGCGCCAGGAGGGCGTCCTGACAGGTTGGAGGCGTAGGGAGAAGAGAAGGAGAAGGGGTGAGCTTTTGAGAAACCTCAAAGCCAGATATACCTCAACAGCTCCTCGCTTTCTGGGCGCGCCAGGAGGGCGTGGATTCGGGGGGAGTGAGGGAGCGGGGAGGTGGGGATAGGGAAATGAAGAAGGAAGGACTGGCATTTGGGACAACTCAAAGGCGGATGGACATGCTCCTGATCCACCTGCTCCTGATCCACCTGCTCCTGATCCACCTGCTCCTGATCCACCTGCTCCTGATCCACCTGCTCCTGATCCACCTGCTCCTGATCCACCTGCTCCTGATCCACCTGCTCCTGATCCACCTGCTCCTGATCCACCTGCTCCTGATCCACCTGCTCCTGATCCACCTGCTCCTGATCCACCTGCTCCTGATCCACCTGCTCCTGATCCACCTGCTCCTGATCCACCTGCTCCTGATCCACCTGCTCCTGATCCACCTGCTCCTGATCCACCTGCTCCTGATCCACCTGCTCCTGATCCACCTGCTCCTGATCCACCTGCTCCTGATCCACCTGCTCCTGATCCACCTGCTCCTGATCCACCTGCTCCTGATCCACCTGCTCCTGATCCACCTGCTCCTGATCCACCTGCTCCTGATCCACCTGCTCCTGATCCACCTGCTCCTGATCCACCTGCTCCTGATCCACCTGCTCCTGATCCACCTGCTCCTGATCCACCTGCTCCTGATCCACCTGCTCCTGATCCACCTGCTCCTGATCCACCTGCTCCTGATCCACCTGCTCCTGATCCACCTGCTCCTGATCCACCTGCTCCTGATCCACCTGCTCCTGATCCACCTGCTCCTGATCCACCTGCTCCTGATCCACCTGCTCCTGATCCACCTGCTCCTGATCCACCTGCTCCTGATCCACCTGCTCCTGATCCACCTGCTCCTGATCCACCTGCTCCTGATCCACCTGCTCCTGATCCACCTGCTCCTGATCCACCTGCTCCTGATCCACCTGCTCCTGATCCACCTGCTCCTGATCCACCTGCTCCTGATCCACCTGCTCCTGATCCACCTGCTCCTGATCCACCTGCTCCTGATCCACCTGCTCCTGATCCACCTGCTCCTGATCCACCTGCTCCTGATCCACCTGCTCCTGATCCACCTGCTCCTGATCCACCTGCTCCTGATCCACCTGCTCCTGATCCACCTGCTCCTGATCCACCTGCTCCTGATCCACCTGCTCCTGATCCACCTGCTCCTGATCCACCTGCTCCTGATCCACCTGCTCCTGATCCACCTGCTCCTGATCCACCTGCTCCTGATCCACCTGCTCCTGATCCACCTGCTCCTGATCCACCTGCTCCTGATCCACCTGCTCCTGATCCAGTCCACCTGCTCCTGATCCACCTGCTCCTGATCCACCTGCTCCTGATCCACCTGCTCCTGATCCACCTGCTCCTGATCCACCTGCTCCTGATCCACCTGCTCCTGATCCACCTGCTCCTGATCCACCTGCTCCTGATCCACCTGCTCCTGATCCACCTGCTCCTGATCCACCTGCTCCTGATCCACCTGCTCCTGATCCACCTGCTCCTGATCCACCTGCTCCTGATCCACCTGCTCCTGATCCACCTGCTCCTGATCCACCTGCTCCTGATCCACCTGCTCCTGATCCACCTGCTCCTGATCCACCTGCTCCTGATCCACCTGCTCCTGATCCACCTGCTCCTGATCCACCTGCTCCTGATCCACCTGCTCCTGGTCCACCTGCTCCTGATCCACCTGCTCCTGATCCACCTGCTCCTGATCCACCTGCTCCTGGTCCACCTGCTCCTGATCCACCTGCTCCTGATCCACCTGCTCCTGATCCACCTGCTCCTGATCCACCTGCTCCTGGTCCACCTGCTCCTGATCCACCTGCTCCTGATCCACCTGCTCCTGATCCACCTGCTCCTGGTCCACCTGCTCCTGATCCACCTGCTCCTGATCCACCTGCTCCTGATCCACCTGCTCCTGGTCCACCTGCTCCTGATCCACCTGCTCCTGATCCACCTGCTCCTGATCCACCTGCTCCTGATCCACCTGCTCCTGATCCACCTGCTCCTGATCCACCTGCTCCTGATCCACCTGCTCCTGATCCACCTGCTCCTGATCCACCTGCTCCTGGTCCACCTGCTCCTGATCCACCTGCTCCTGATCCACCTGCTCCTGATCCACCTGCTCCTGATCCACCTGCTCCTGGATCCACCTGCTCCTGGTCCACCTGCTCCTGATCCACCTGCTCCTGATCCACCTGCTCCTGATCCACCTGCTCCTGATCCACCTGCTCCTGATCCACCTGCTCCTGATCCACCTGCTCCTGATCCACCTGCTCCTGATCCACCTGCTCCTGGTCCACCTGCTCCTGATCCACCTGCTCCTGATCCACCTGCTCCTGATCCACCTGCTCCTGATCCACCTGCTCCTGATCCACCTGCTCCTGATCCACCTGCTCCTGATCCACCTGCTCCTGATCCACCTGCTCCTGATCCACCTGCTCCTGATCCACCTGCTCCTGATCCACCTGCTCCTGATCCACCTGCTCCTGATCCACCTGCTCCTGATCCACCTGCTCCTGATCCACCTGCTCCTGATCCACCTGCTCCTGATCCACCTGCTCCTGATCCACCTGCTCCTGATCCACCTGCTCCTGATCCACCTGCTCCTGATCCACCTGCTCCTGATCCACCTGCTCCTGATCCACCTGCTCCTGATCCACCTGCTCCTGATCCACCTGCTCCTGATCCACCTGCTCCTGATCCACCTGCTCCTGATCCACCTGCTCCTGATCCACCTGCTCCTGATCCACCTGCTCCTGATCCACCTGCTCCTGATCCACCTGCTCCTGATCCATCCACCTGCTCCTGATCCACCTGCTCCTGATCCACCTGCTCCTGATCCACCTGCTCCTGATCCACCTGCTCCTGATCCACCTGCTCCTGATCCACCTGCTCCTGATCCACCTGCTCCTGATCCACCTGCTCCTGATCCACCTGCTCCTGATCCACCTGCTCCTGATCCACCTGCTCCTGATCCACCTGCTCCTGATCCACCTGCTCCTGATCCACCTGCTCCTGATCCACCTGCTCCTGATCCACCTGCTCCTGATCCACCTGCTCCTGATCCACCTGCTCCTGATCCACCTGCTCCTGATCCACCTGCTCCTGATCCACCTGCTCCTGATCCACCTGCTCCTGATCCACCTGCTCCTGATCCACCTGCTCCTGATCCACCTGCTCCTGTCCTGATCCACCTGCTCCTGATCCACCTGCTCCTGATCCACCTGCTCCTGATCCACCTGCTCCTGATCCACCTGCTCCTGATCCACCTGCTCCTGATCCACCTGCTCCTGATCCACCTGCTCCTGATCCACCTGCTCCTGATCCACCTGCTCCTGATCCACCTGCTCCTGATCCACCTGCTCCTGGTCCACCTGCTCCTGATCCACCTGCTCCTGATCCACCTGCTCCTGATCCACCTGCTCCTGATCCACCTGCTCCTGATCCACCTGCTCCTGATCCACCTGCTCCTGATCCACCTGCTCCTGATCCACCTGCTCCTGATCCACCTGCTCCTGGTCCACCTGCTCCTGATCCACCTGCTCCTGATCCACCTGCTCCTGATCCACCTGCTCCTGATCCACCTGCTCCTGATCCACCTGCTCCTGATCCACCTGCTCCTGATCCACCTGCTCCTGATCCACCTGCTCCTGATCCACCTGCTCCTGATCCACCTGCTCCTGATCCACCTGCTCCTGATCCACCTGCTCCTGATCCACCTGCTCCTGATCCACCTGCTCCTGATCCACCTGCTCCTGATCCACCTGCTCCTGATCCACCTGCTCCTGATCCACCTGCTCCTGATCCACCTGCTCCTGATCCACCTGCTCCTGATCCACCTGCTCCTGATCCACCTGCTCCTGATCCACCTGCTCCTGATCCACCTGCTCCTGATCCACCTGCTCCTGATCCACCTGCTCCTGATCCACCTGCTCCTGATCCACCTGCTCCTGATCCACCTGCTCCTGATCCACCTGCTCCTGATCCACCTGCTCCTGATCCACCTGCTCCTGATCCACCTGCTCCTGATCCACCTGCTCCTGATCCACCTGCTCCTGATCCACCTGCTCCTGATCCACCTGCTCCTGATCCACCTGCTCCTGATCCACCTGCTCCTGATCCACCTGCTCCTGATCCACCTGCTCCTGATCCACCTGCTCCTGATCCACCTGCTCCTGATCCACCTGCTCCTGATCCACCTGCTCCTGATCCACCTGCTCCTGATCCACCTGCTCCTGATCCACCTGCTCCTGATCCACCTGCTCCTGATCCACCTGCTCCTGATCCACCTGCTCCTGATCCACCTGCTCCTGATCCACCTGCTCCTGATCCACCTGCTCCTGATCCACCTGCTCCTGATCCACCTGCTCCTGATCCACCTGCTCCTGATCCACCTGCTCCTGATCCACCTGCTCCTGATCCACCTGCTCCTGATCCACCTGCTCCTGATCCACCTGCTCCTGATCCACCTGCTCCTGATCCACCTGCTCCTGATCCACCTGCTCCTGATCCACCTGCTCCTGATCCACCTGCTCCTGATCCACCTGCTCCTGATCCACCTGCTCCTGATCCACCTGCTCCTGATCCACCTGCTCCTGATCCACCTGCTCCTGATCCACCTGCTCCTGATCCACCTGCTCCTGATCCACCTGCTCCTGATCCACCTGCTCCTGATCCACCTGCTCCTGATCCACCTGCTCCTGATCCACCTGCTCCTGATCCACCTGCTCCTGATCCACCTGCTCCTGGTCCACCTGCTCCTGATCCACCTGCTCCTGATCCACCTGCTCCTGATCCACCTGCTCCTGATCCACCTGCTCCTGATCCACCTGCTCCTGATCCACCTGCTCCTGATCCACCTGCTCCTGATCCACCTGCTCCTGATCCACCTGCTCCTGATCCACCTGCTCCTGATCCACCTGCTCCTGATCCACCTGCTCCTGATCCACCTGCTCCTGATCCACCTGCTCCTGATCCACCTGCTCCTGATCCACCTGCTCCTGATCCACCTGCTCCTGATCCACCTGCTCCTGATCCACCTGCTCCTGATCCACCTGCTCCTGATCCACCTGCTCCTGATCCACCTGCTCCTGATCCACCTGCTCCTGATCCACCTGCTCCTGATCCACCTGCTCCTGATCCACCTGCTCCTGGTCCACCTGCTCCTGGTCCACCTGCTCCTGATCCACCTGCTCCTGATCCACCTGCTCCTGATCCACCTGCTCCTGGTCCACCTGCTCCTGATCCACCTGCTCCTGATCCACCTGCTCCTGATCCACCTGCTCCTGATCCACCTGCTCCTGATCCACCTGCTCCTGATCCACCTGCTCCTGATCCACCTGCTCCTGATCCACCTGCTCCTGATCCACCTGCTCCTGATCCACCTGCTCCTGATCCACCTGCTCCTGATCCACCTGCTCCTGATCCACCTGCTCCTGATCCACCTGCTCCTGATCCACCTGCTCCTGATCCACCTGCTCCTGATCCACCTGCTCCTGATCCACCTGCTCCTGATCCACCTGCTCCTGATCCACCTGCTCCTGATCCACCTGCTCCTGATCCACCTGCTCCTGATCCACCTGCTCCTGATCCACCTGCTCCTGATCCACCTGCTCCTGATCCACCTGCTCCTGATCCACCTGCTCCTGATCCACCTGCTCCTGATCCACCTGCTCCTGATCCACCTGCTCCTGATCCACCTGCTCCTGATCCACCTGCTCCTGATCCACCTGCTCCTGATCCACCTGCTCCTGATCCACCTGCTCCTGATCCACCTGCTCCTGATCCACCTGCTCCTGATCCACCTGCTCCTGATCCACCTGCTCCTGATCCACCTGCTCCTGATCCACCTGCTCCTGGTCCTCTGCGCCCCACATCTCAAGCACGGTCATGGTCCCATCGCCCACCACTACCAACTGCACGTCAAAACTCCCAACCCATCCCTTCCTCTCAGTCCAATAACCAGCTCCCCAATTATCCACCCCTACACACCTGCTCCTGGTACTCGCACCCCAGACCAGATCTCAAGCACGGACATGGTTTCATCGCCCACCACTATCGACCGCACATCAAACCCCCCCCCCCCCCACCCCTACACACCTGCTCCTGGTACTCGGCGCCCCAGATCTCAAGCACGGACATGGTTTCATCCCCCACCACTATCGACCGCACATCACCCCCCCCCCCCCCCCCCCCACCCCTACACACCTGCTCCTGGTATTCCGCGCCCCAGATCTCAAGCACGGACATGGTTTCATCGCCCACCACTATGGACCGCACGTCATTCCTCTCAACCCATCCCTTCCTCGCAGTCCCTACCTCCCCCAAGCCTCACCTGCTCCTGGTACTCTGCGCCCCAGATCTCAAGCACCGACATGGTTTCATCGCCCACCACTATCGACCGCACGTCAATCTCGGCGCCCTGAGGGTAGATGATTTCCTTCACCACGTTGCAGTTGCCTCCTGCACCCTGTTGGGGGTGGGAGGAAACGAGTGCAGCAGCGGGAGAAACGAGCGCTGAGGGAAGTGGTCAAGGGAGTGGGAGGGCGGGGTATTCACATGTCAATCTCCACCCCCTGCGGGTAGATGATCTCCTTCACCACGTTGCAGTTGCCTCCCGCGCCCTGGGAAGGAGGAAAAAGCGCAGAAGGGAGTGGTCACAGGACAGCTTTTAGGGGCAAGATGGGATGGTCGCACGTCAATCTCAGCGCCCTGCGGGTAGATGATCTCCTTCACCACGTTGCAGTTGCATCCCACACCCTCTTCGTGGATGCTCAAAATCCTAAACCTAGACCCTGGACACCACTCACCTGGTCGTGGATGCTCAGAATGGGGTTCTTATCGCCCAGCTCCACACATGTGCGCACCACGCGGTTCAGCTTCTGAGCCATCTCCGCGTCACCCCTCTGCACCGCATTGAAATCCATCTCTGCGTCGCGCGTGCCCGACACCATGCTGCTGGCGGCTCCCCCGCCCATTCCAATGCGGTAAGCCGGGCCTCCTATCTGGAAGGGAGGAAGGCGCGGGGGCGAGGGGGGTTTGGGAAGAGAGGGAGACACACACAATGCTGACTGACAGACTCCATCCATGCTACTGGGTGCACCCTCGACCGTGCGAATGTGGTTTGGGGGGTCTCCTATAAGGAGGGTCCACGGGCGAGATGACTTTTGGTTTGGGGGGTCTCCTATAAGGAGGGTCCACGGGGGAGCAGAACGCAGAACATATAGCATCCATGTAAAAGTTCATCTGCCCGATCACCCACTACCTCCTCTCCCCAGTCGCCTTGACTAGCGTTGACTGGCGTTGACTGGCGTTGACTGGCGTTGACTGACTCACCTTGACCACCAGCATGTCCACGTCCGACTCCTCCTTCACCAATTGCCGGTGGTCAATCTGTCCAATGCCCCGCACACGTTGACTAGCGTTGACTCCCCTTGACTAGCGTTGACTGGCGTTGACTCCCATTGACTCACCTTGACCACCAGCATGCCCACATCCGGCTCCTCCTTCACCAGGTGCCGGTAGTCAATCTGCCCGATACCCCCGCTGAACATGATGGGCTTCAGCCACTCCCTCCGCTCCCCACTCACGTTGACTAGCGTTGACTCGCATTGACTGGCGTTGACTAGCGTTGACTCCCATTGACTCACCTTAACGACTAGCATGCCCACGTCCGGCTCCTCTTTCACAAGGTGCCGGTGGTCAATCTGCCCGATACCCCCGCTGAACATGATCGGCTTGAGCCACTCCCGCCTCTCCCCACTCGCCAGTCGCATCCCAAACGTGCGTGTGTAGCCCTGGATGAGCGGCTCGCCGAACTTGTTGCCATAGTCCGATGCACCGTTGCTGGCATCAAGAAGGATCTGGAGCAAAATGTTGAGCGGCGCGGGAGGGGAGGGGGAGGGTGATGAGGGCAAGGGGGGTTAAGTGTGTGCATCCCGAACGTGCGTGTGTAGCCCTGGATAAGAGGCTCCCCGAACTTGTTGCCATAGTCCGACGCTCCGTCGCTGGCGGCGAGCAGGATCTCAAAAAGGAGGGTTGGAGAGCGAGGAGGGCAACACAAGTCGTACTTCCTGATTGAACAAAACAAAAATTCATTCATCACGACAAAGAGGTGCAATTTTCTGTGTGCCAAGCAAAGAAAGGTCGATGCTATGCTGTCTCGTGCAGGGCTGACCTGGAGCGGTGGAGCGAGGTTGGGAGGATACACAAACGAGGTGTCTTCCCATGGTGCTGCATGCCCCTCCATCTGATGTTATGTGAGCGGGAGGAGCCAGCGCAGGTTGGCAAAAAGAATAGAGAGGAGAGGTTAGCAAGTCGACCCCACAATAAATCAGAGCGTCAGCAACCACAGTGCATGCCATTGCTGCATAAATCCGTCACCTCAACATCTCTTCCCCCTCCCGCTCCCCCATTACATCCCCTCCCCCTTCCCCATCACATCCTCTCCCCCTCCCCTTTTTACCCAGCCAACACTCACCTGCAAGTTGCCCACGCAGTAACCAGCAGTAGCCGCAACCACTAGCGAGCCGACACCTGTCGCGTGCGTGTCTCGAATCCGCCCCCCTGCGCCAGTCTCTGCCCCGGGGAATGGCGCCACCTGCGGTGCAACAAGGAACAAGACAAGGGGGCATCGGCACACTGAGGCAGAGGCACGGCGAACGAGGAGGCACTCTGATTTGACTTGACCCCCCTGCGCCGGTCTCTGCCCCGGGGAATGGCGCCACCTGCGGTGCAACAAGGACGACGATTAGTGGGCGTCAACACACTGAGCTGAGGTGAAGAGAATATCGTAGTCGCGCTGATGTCGCACAAAAGAGACATTGACTTGCAGGGAAAGCCGCGTGACTCACAGCAAAGGGTAAGTTGTGCGTTTCGACAGTGAAGAGAATGTGTAGTCCCGCTACCGAGACTCTTTTGAGTCGACTCACAAGTCAACTCTTTTGAGTCGACTCACAAGTCAACTCTTTTGAGTCGACTCACAAGTCAACTCTTTTGAGTCGACTCACAAGTCAACTCTTTTGAGTCGACTCACAAGTCAACTCTTTTGAGTCGACTCACAAAGTCAACTCTTTTGAGTCGACTCACAAGTCAACTCTTTTGAGTCGACTCACAAGTCAACCCTTTTGAGTCGACTCACAAGTCAACTCTTTTGAGTCGACTCACAAGTCAACTCTTTAGAGTCGACTCACAAGTCAACTCTTTTGAGTCGACTCACAAGTTCTGTGTTTTGACAGTGAAGAGAATGTGTAGTCCCGCTGCCGAGGCTCCAGCTGGTTAGTTAGATAGGCAGGTTGAAGCCATGTAATCATTCTGCCCTACCCCTCTCTACAATCGTGCCCCACTCTTGTGCTCTTCACTCACCGCACAGGGGAAGTTGTGCGTCTCAGCGGTGAAGAGAATATCGTAGTCCCGCTCCTCAGGCGCCAGCTTTGATGGCTGCCCGGGATTCTCGGGCAGAATGGCGGACACCACACGGCCACGGATGGCACTGGAGAAGCGAAGTGAATGGGTTGAGTTGAGGGAGAGGAGAGGAGTGGGGGGGGGAAGGGGTTGGGGGGAAGAAGACTATGCGTCAAACAAAGTGTGTGACGGCTGTGTTAAGCAAAGCAAGCCGCTGTCACTAGCTTGCATACCATTCGGTGACTCAGATGCTACTACCTTGCTTGCATGAGGACTCCTCTCACCACTCATCACAACCAAGCCTATCAAATCCATTGCCATGGCATGCCATCCCATCCCATGCCATGCCATCCCATCCCACATCACATGCCGTGCCATCACCACGCCTCACCTGGAGTTATCTTTGAAGCCAATGACGGAGTTGTTGGGGTTGGCTGTGAGCGTGTCCTTCACCAGATCCATGCTGGGTGTGCTGCACCTTCAGCCCTGGCAATCACTCCCATCCCATGCCCTCTTATGCCATCTCATGCCATCCCATCACCACTCCCCACCCATCACCACGCCTCACCTGGAGTTATCTTTGAAGCTAATGACTGAGTTGTTGGGGTTGGCAGTGAGCGTGTCCTTCACCAGATCCATGCTGAGTAAGCCACTGTCAATAGAGTGCCATCACATACCATGCCGTGCCATGCTTGCCCCCATGCCATGCCATCCCATCCTATCACCACTCCACACCTGGAGTTATCTTTGAAGCCAATGACGGAGTTGTTGGGGTTGGCAGTGAGCGTGTCTTTTACCAGATCCATGCTGGGTGTGCTGCACCTTCAGCCCTGGCAATCACTCCCATCCCATGCCCTCTTATGCCATCTCATGCCATCCCACCACCACTCCCCACCCATCACCACTCCTCACCTGGAGTTATCTTTGAACCCAATGACCGAGTTGTTGGGGTTGGCAGTGAGAGTGTCCTTCACCTCCCATGTCATCCCATCTCATCCCCACCCATCACCACTCCCCACCCATCACCACCGCTCACCTGGAGTTGTCTTTGAAGCCAATGACGGAGTTGTTGGGGTTGGCAGTGAGCGTGTCCTTCACCAGATCCATCAGTGTGTGCTCTACCTTCTGCCCGTCTACCGTCAAGTCGCCCTGGGGAGAGGGAGGGGGAATAGAGAGGATTGGGGGAAGGCTGAGTTGCGGGGAGTGTGCAAGATACAAGAGGGAGCAGATCCATCAGCGTGTGCTCCACCTTCTGCCCGTCTACCGTCAGGTCGCCCTGGGAAGGGAAGCGGGGTGTTGGGGAGAGTGAGGGAATGAGGAGTTGGGGAAGGGAGAAGAAGGGGGGGAAGGGTGAGATGGCGGAATGAGCAAGCCATGGGGCAGACCCAGCAACGTGTGCTCTACCTTCTGCCCGTCCGGATTGAACTGTGCAATGTCCTACCGTGGGGAGAGAGGCTGCCTACAACAAGGATACTCGGCTCTGCCTAAAACGAGGATACACTGTACTGTACCTTGAAGAACCAGTGGCGGCTGTGCTCGGAGTTGGACTGCGCAATGTCAAACAGTTCCGCGTTGGTGGGGTCCTACAGAGGGTGGGGAGACTGCCTATAACGAGGATACTCCGCTCTGCACTCCCTATAATGGGGATACACTGCACCTTGAAGAACCAGTGGCGGCTGTGTTCGGAGTTGGACTGTGCAATGTCAAACAGCTCCACGTTGGTGGGGTCCCGCCCAATGTCCTCGCGGAACAGACGCGTGTAGTACTGGTGGGGGGGGGGGGGGAGGGGAGAGGGGGAGAAAGCGGGGAGCACCCTTGAGTCTTGAGCCCGATGTCCTCGCGGAACAGACGCGTGTAGTACTGGTGGGTGGGGGAGAGGGACACGAGGGGAACACTCTTGAGTCCACTTAATAGAACTCGTGAGTCTCATGTCCTCTGCGTACAGGCGAGCATACAACTGGTGGGTGGATAGGTGACGGAAAACATCTCTCAGGAATTCTCTGAAATCTCGCATGTCTGGTCCATGTCCCATTTGCGGAGCGCCATGTGTATGAAGAAGTGTTTTGAGACGTCTCAAAGCATGTCCCATTTGCGGAGCGCCATCTCCCAGTTAACCTCCTCTAATCCTCGCTCCCCCCCTTCTCTCTCTACAGCTATCTCTCCCTCCTCTCTCCCTCGTCTCTCCCTCCCCCCTTCTTCAACTCACGTCCAGGTCCCACTCATCGAATGCTAGCCCCATCTCCTTGTTAAGACCCTTCTATTCCCCCCCACCTCTGGACAGCTATTCCGCTACCCCTCTACACCCTCCCCCACCCCTCCCCTCCCCGTCCTCCCCCCAACCCACCACCAACTCACGTCCAGGTCCCACTCATCGAATGCCAGCCCCATCTCCTTGTTAACCTGCTCCAGTGCCTTGCGCCCCTCCTGCTCCATGCCCATGCAGGGGGTGTTCAGTGTGGGGGAAGTGTAGGAAGGGAGGGAGAGAGTGCAGGAACGATATATGAAGGGCCTCAGGAAAAACCCCATCTCCTTGTTGACCTGCTCCAGTGCCTTGCGCCCCTCCTGCTCATGCAGGAGGTGTTATTGAGGGGGCAGGGCGGGGGAAACGGGGGGCAGGGACGAGCGGAAAAGAGTGCAAGGGCCTCAGATCAGAACCAGCAAGACGGGGGAGAGAGTGTAGAAACGATTTATGAAGGGGATCACGAATAGCCCCATCTCCTTGTTGACCTGCTCCAGTGCCTTGCGCCCCTCCTGCTCCATGCTCATGCAGGGGGTGTGTTTGACAGGGCAGGGCGGGGGAAACGAGGGGGCAGGGAAGAGGGGAAAAGAGTGCAGGGGCCTCAAGAACAGCCCCATCTCCTTGTTGACCTGCTCCAGTGCCTTGCGCCCCTCCTGCTCATACAGGTGCGAGCACATGACCGGGGAGGGGACCGGGGGGGTGGGGTTGAGGGGATGTGGGAAGCAGGAAATCGGGGAGGGGGGCAGGAGGGCGAAGAGTGAGTGCGGATACGTCGTACATCTCTGTGTGTGTCGCTGCGTTCCATGCCAGGCACCCCTTTCACTCACAAGTGAGAGGATGGATGTTGGGAAAAAGCGGGAAGGGAGTGAAGTGGAGGTTTTGCGACAGAGTGTGCGAGCGAGATAAGGGTGTTGGATGGAACATGGACGGGAATAATGACGGGATTAATAACCATAAGAGGCGCACAAGCTCACCTTGATGACGGGGATGCGAACAACAGGTGCAGGAACAGCATCCGTGATAAACGTCTCGAGCCGAGACTCATACACACACTCCGTCATGCGGTCATGCACTGACGCCATTAGTGCGGATCACATTATAACGGGGATAAAGATGTGACTCACCTTCATAACAGGGATGCGGACGACAGGCGCGGGAGCAGCGTCCGTGACAAACGTCTCAAGCCGCGACTCGTACACACACTCTGTCATGCGGTCATGCACCAGTGCTGCAAACGCTGCCCTCTGCTCCTCTGTAAAGGCAGCATCCGCCTCAACGCCTGGCGCCAGCTGCAGGGCATAGCGGCGAGAGCGCTCGATGCGAGTCACCTGAGCAGGGAGGGGAGGCAGGGGGTTGGGGAGAACGGGGGGCAGGTGGGCACGACGGGGAGCAATTGCTGGACAGGGGGCAAGTGGGGAGAGGGGAAGTGGCGAGACCCCTCCGCAAGATCCCATTACTCGCTATGGCCGCTGCTCCAGAATCCCCCACTCTCTCTTCCGCCCCCTTACCTGCTTCAGACCCCACGCCTCCTTCTCCAGCCTTACCTGCTCCAGGGTGCAGGAGCGGCAGATGGAGACAGCGTTGGTCGACCAGGCAGTGGTAAACGACAAACGAGGCCCCACCTCCACCACCACCTCCTCCCCCTCCTCCTCTCCCTCCCCTCCCCCCTCCGCTGCAGCGCCAGTGCTGAAAACAGACTCCCGGGTGAGCTTTTCAGGCTCGTACGTTTCAGATAGCACCCACACCAGAGCCGCCTCGTGTGCTGCATCCAGAGGTGACGTCAGCTCCACGTTGAAGCATTGCTCCGTGCGGATGCCGATGACGTCAGCGCACACCTTCTCCTGGACCTGAGAAGGAAGAGGGGGGAGTGGGTGGGGAGAAAACGCAGGGGATGGAAGGGAGAGAGGGGAAGGAGGAACGTGGGAAGCATGCGACAGGGAAGGGAAAGCGGGATGGAGAGGGAGAGAGGGGAAGGAGGAACGTGGAGCAGACGGAAGCAAGAGACAGGGAAGGGGAAGTCGGGCGAAGGGGGTTGCTGAGGCAAGGGGTAGCGGGGTTACGGACATGACAAGACGGAAAGATGTGGAACAGCGGCGGAGAGAGGGCATGGAAGGAAGGAGAAAGAGCTCTCAGTAGACAGAGAGGAGCGGGTGGCGGTTACCTTGTGAAGCAGCGATTCCGTGGCAGCGTCGGAGAGGAGTGGGTGGCGGTAGAAGTGAGTGACCGCACGCGCTCGGAAGGAGGCAGACGGGACACAGTGACCATAAGTCTTGTAAACGGAATGTTACCTTGTGGAGCAGCGATTGTGTGGCAGCGTCGGAGAGGAGCGGGTGGCGGTAGAAGTGGGTGACCTCACGCGCATGGGAAGAAGTAGACGGGGCCGACTCGCTGCTCTCAGCCACCACCGCATCACCCTGCGGAGAATGGGGTGGACGAAGAAGCAACGTTAAGGGTACAGGTCCTGCCCCGTTTCAGCTCACTGCGTGTCAGTCATTTAGATTCCCGATCTTGTGACGTCAGCAGTGGCTGAAGAGTGATTACAGTATCCTTCCTTCCGCGTCCTCCGTCCCCCGTCCTCCGTGCCCCGTTGCCCCGTCCCCCGTGCCCCGTCCCCCGTGCCCCGTCCCCCGTGCCCCGTCCCCCCAGCCCCATTCCGTGTCCCCAGTGGCCTGACAAGGGGTACGGGTGCGCCCTAAGACTGTCCACCACTCTACAGTAAGCTGCAGCGCTGGGTGAGAAGGTTCACTACTCACCGAAACTGCCTTCGGGGTCTGACCAGCCGTCGCCACCACAACAGGCCGTGCTACGCCACGTGGCAGCACCACTGGCGCCGGGCAAGAAACGATAGTTCCCGGGGCCAGGTTCCGAGCAGCGGAAATGCTTCGAGATCCGAGCCATTTGCTACCGAGTCGTGCAGCGCCAGCTCCGCTGATGGCGGTGGGGACAGTGGCGGAGCGCAAACGCGTGCGCGGATGGCGGGAGGAGGAGCGCGGGAGGCAGGGGGAAACGCCGAGCGCAAGCGCGCGCGGCTGCAGCAGGCACGCGGAAAGCAGTCCCTCCATGGCCACGGGAAGCAGCGCCTTCCGGCGGAATCAAATCCCCGCAATTGCGTTGAAATGCGGGCGAAGGATCAGGGCATGGGGAAAGGATGGTGGTGCTAAAGGTGTTGCTGGTTGAAGATGCGAATGTGAAGGCGGAAAGAAGAGTTGAGGAGGAGAACCAACGGCGGAAAGCGGAGGCAGGCAGATACGGTGCTAGCGAAAGAGATCAGAGAGGTATGGGAGAGATCAAGGAGTAAAGGGAGAGACCCAAGGGCTTGTATAAAGCGGATCTGAGACGGAAGATCAACGCACGGGCAGGTGATGTCACGGGAGCAACTACAAGGCTCGCCGTCTCCCTAAATGCAGCAAAATCTGGATGCGGAAGGCCACGCCTAGAAGAAATAAGGTAAAGAAAGTCACCTGCGAATCACTGGACACAAAGCGGCCGGAGCCCTTCCCTTAGGCGTTTCAGCCCTCGTTTCTGCACAGAAGACCGTACCACCGCAGCGACCGGCGATCTGGCTCAAAAGAACGCAACAGAGAAGACAACGCGGAAGCACGAACAACGCTAGTCAAAATAAACCCAGAACTTCTGCTTGCTTGCTTGTTTGAACCCAAGGGGGAGTTGGAGGGAAGCTTGGGTGGCGTGGTCAGGGCAGGTTGGGTATGGTGTTGGAACGGAACGTGAAATGACACTATCGAGGTTCGCCTGGGCGGCGGCCAGGCGCGCAGTGAAATAAAGCGCGAAAATCAAAAGTGTGAAATGGGCTCTGAGAAAAGCGGGAATGTCCCCACCCCCCTACACTCACTACGAGAAGGCTGAGAGGGCGGTGCGGTGCGGTTCTTGGTGCTTCTTCTTCGGCAACAGCCGCCAGTGGCGGCAGATCTTTCCGCCAGCACGGGCTGGGCGGATGGGAAGCAGCGAACAGGCGGACATCGGGAGAATCGAGCTGATCCTGTTGTGCTTTTCCATGATGGCAACGCGCGATTGGTCGAAATGTTCCTGCTGAATAGGATCTTTACAAATATGACTGGCTACTTTTTACGCGTACAGTGAAAACGGTTTTTTACATTATGGACAAACGTAAGAGTCCTCTAAACCTAATCTTTTTGTGCTACAATGAAGAACGCTAGCATACATGGTAAACACGAATTGTAGTGCACCAACTCATCAATGTGCCAACGCCCGTACATAACACTCTACATTCACCCTTCCTCCCCAAACTCTTCCGTGAACTTCTCTTGAATCTTTAAATCGTCTTTGCTTACTGTTGGCTTCTGTCGTGACAGCACCTTGTCAAAGTCCGTCTTCATGATGGGTGGAGGAACAATCTGCAGCAAAACAAAGTGAAGGCCACCCGAAACAAAGTCGCCACAAAAAACTCAGTCACCAAGGGTGAGGGCCGAGACGTGATGGCATGAGAAGGCTGCTGCGCTTGTCTCGATCCTTGAAATGCAACCAACAGTGCCTGCTTTCCCACATACACCTTATCACCCTGTCCCCCCTACCACCCCACCTCAACCCTCGAAGAATTCCCTTCCCTTCCCACCCTCACCTTCTCCCCCAGCCCCTGCGCTGCAAGCTCCTCCATGGTGGTCTGGATGGCGCCTGGCTCGCGGGGCCCACACGGCATGTAGCAGAAGTCGCCGTCCTTGGGCACCTAAAGAGAGGGGGGGTGAAAGGGGGGAAGTGGTGAGAGGGAGAGGAAAGGGGAGGGGAAGTGAGAACTGGGGTCAAGGGGGGGGGGGGGGGGGGGGGTGGAAACCAGAGCAACTGGAAGACGAGAGTGCAAAATGCACTTTCCTCCTCAGATCTGACAGGGAGGGACTATGAAGCATTGACAACGGGAGGGTAGGTCTAACGAAAGAGATGGTGAAAAACAGGTACCAGCTTCTGCCGCAGCAAAGATATCATTCTTGGTCGTGGGAGTGGTGGGTTAGGATGCGAAACAGAACAGAGGCCACCGGTTCAAAGAACTGGATTTGTTGACCAGACAGCGTGCTGTGAAAGGCCACGCATTAAGCGCCTCACCTTCTTGAAGTGCATGGCATCTTGCGTCTTCCGAACGGGCTCAAATAGGACATCCTTCACCTGGTGAAACACACATGGTAGGGCATGGGTGGGTAACAGCATGAGGAGGATGCACCTGCGAAGAGAATGAACGATTCAGGTGCAGGACGTCACACAGCAGGAGAAACAGGACGCTGGCGATCAAATTGTCAACCGAACAATGAGGACGCTGGCGATGTCAGGATGATGGGGAGCTGGCACGTGAAGCTGCACCAACAGGTATCATCATGAGCAACCTAACGCTGCCAGACACAGTACCAACTTACACAGACTGAAATATCCGACCCCGAAAATCCATCTGTCTTCTGAGCCAGCTCCTCAAAGTCCTTCTCTGACAAGCTGTAGGGCGTGTCCCCTAGATGCACCTGCAGAGGAACAGAAGGAAACGGGCGGGAGGGAATCACTGGGCAGGGGAATTAATGACGTTTTTCTTCTGCCATGACATGCTGTAGGGGCGTGCCACACAGATGCACCTGCAGAAAATTCGAGAAGAAAGGGGCGGGAAGGAATGCCTTGCCAGGGGATGTGAGATCCCCTCCATTCTCCTGCATTGCCCCTGGCACCCCGTTAGCATTCCCACTCCAACATCAAACCCAACCCATGTCTCGTGCCACTCACTCACCTTGAACACATGCTGTCATTTGAGGCACCTCAAGGCACCTCAAACGTCACGCGTGTGCGTGCCTTACCTTGAACATGTGCTGCCTGGCCTTCACATCCGGTAGTGGGATGTAGATTCGCTTGTCAAAGCGCCGCCGCACCGCCTGGGAGGAAGGGCGTGAATGAAGGAAGGACGTGAAGGGAGGAAAGGTGTGAACGGAAGAAGGGTGTGACGGATGGAGTGCAGACAGCAAAGGAAAAGAGAAAACGTCGGAGAATGACAATGGAGGGGAGCAGGGGCCCGAGGGGGGGGCATGGGGGGAGAGGGGGAATGGTGTGTTGTGGGGTGCTTGGAAAGGGGGGAAGGGGACAAAAAAAAAGAGAAAGAAGATATGAAGCAAAGAGCATGAAGACAGCATGCATGCTTACCTGGTCGAGGGAGTAAGGCGTGTTGGTGGCAGCGAGCACCAGCACCTTGTTGTCCTCCGTGCCCATTTTGTGAGACGCCTAAAGAACGAGGCAAACAACATAAGCGTCTCACCTGGTCGAGCGAGTACGGAGTGTTGGTGGCAGCGAGCACCAGCACCTTGTTGTCCTCCGTGCCCATTTTGTGAGACGCCTAAAGAACGAGGCAAACAACATAAGCGTCTCACCTGGTCGAGCGAGTACGGAGTGTTGGTGGCAGCGAGCACCAGCACCTTGTTGTCCTCCGTGCCCATTTGGTGAGGCGCATCAAGAACGAGGCAAAGAGCATGAAAGACGCGTGCTTACCTGGTCGAGGGAGTAGGGGGTGTTGGTGGCAGCGAGCACCAGCACCTTGTTGTCCTCCGTGCCCACACCCTGGGGAGGGAGGGAGGGAGGGAGGGAGGGAGGGAGGGAGGGAGGGAGGGAGGGAGGGAGGGAGGGAGGGGAGGGAGGGAGGGAGGGAGGGAGGGAGGGAGGCAGGGAGGGAGGCATGGGAGGGAGGGCAGGGAGGGAGGGGAGGGAGGGAGGGAGGCAGGGAGGAGGGCAGGGAGGGAGGGAGGGAGGGAGGGAGGGAGGGAGGGAGGGAGGGAGGGCAGGGAGGGAGGGAGGCAGGGAGGGAGGGAGGGGAGGAGGGAGGAGGGAGGGAGGGAGGGAGGGGGGAGGGAGGGAGGGAGGGAGGGAGGGAGGGAGGGAGGAGGGAGGGAGGGAGGGAGGCAGGGAGGGAGGCAGGGAGGGAGGCAGGGAGGGAGGGAGGGAGGGAGGGAGGGAGGGAGGGAGGGAGGGAGGGAGGGAGGAGGGAGGGAGGGAGGGAGGGAGGGAGGGAGGGAGGGAGGGAGGGAGGCAGGGAGGGAGGCAGGGAGGGATGGAGGCAGGGAGGGAGGGAGGGAGGGAGGGAGGGAGGGAGGAGGGAGGGAGGAGGGAGGGAGGGAGGGAGGGAGGCAGGGAGGGAGGCAGGGAGGGAGGGAGGGAGGGAGGGAGGGAGGGGAGGAGGGAGGCAGGGAGGGAGGCAGGGAGGGAGGCAGGGAGGGAGGGAGGGAGGGAGGGAGGGGAGGGAGGGGGAGGGAGGAGGGAGGGAGGGAGGGAGGGAGGGAGGGAGGGGAGGGAGGGAGGGAGGGAGGGAGGGAGGGAGGGAGGGAGGGAGGGAGGGAGGGAGGCAGGGAGGGAGGGAGGGAGGGAGGGAGGGAGGGAGGGAGGGAGGGAGGGAGGGAGGGAGGGAGGGAGGAGGGAGGGAGGAGGGAGGGAGGGAGGGAGGGAGGGAGGGAGGGACGGGGAGTGGGAGAGAGGGAGGGAGGGAGGGAGGGAGGGAGGGAGGGAGGGAGGGAGGGAGGGAGGGAGGGAGGGAGGGAGGCAGAGAGGGTGGCGAGTAGGATGATTGCCCCACCATCAATCTTGCATGCTTGTATGCATAGTGCTTATTAATACAACGGACCATTCGAGGGAGGGAGGGAGGGAGGCAGAGAGGCAGGGAGAGGGGGCCGGATCAGAGGGATGGAGAAATGTTGTTACCTGCTAACCGCTTCACCTTTCCCCAACTGCTAACCGCCTCAGACACTAACCCTCTTACCATCCTCCTCCTTCACCTGGAAATGTAAAACCGGTTTGATGCATCTCGCTCCCTCCCTTCCCTGACTCTACCCGTCTTATCACGACCCGCCTCACCATCATCCTTGATATCAGCATCTGGACGAAGAGCTCTGTCTTGATGTGTACTCGCTCTTTCCCTTCCCTGACTGCACCCACCTCCACATTAGCCCCCCTCCTGTCCTCCTTGTCACCTGCATCTGGACGAGGAACTCTGTCTTGATGCGTCGAGAAGCCTCGCTCTCGTTGCCCTCGCCTCTCTGGCCGCACAGCGAGTCGATTTCGTCGATAAAGATGATGGAGGGGGCACTCTCCCGCGCCATCTGAAACAGATTCGCCACCAGCTTCTCGCTCTCACCCATCCACTTGGACACCAGGTCCGATGACGAGATGCTGCAGAGAAGAGGGGTGTGTGTGGAGGGGGGAACGGGGGTATAGGTGTTACGAGGTGCACCACTACAGCTTCTCGCTCTCACCCATCCACTTGGACACCAGGTCGGACGATGAGATGCTGCAGGGGAGAGGCGTGGAGGAAGGAGGGGAGGGGGAGGGGGTGGTTCTGAAACGAGTGTTACGGTCACCATCACAGCTTCTCGCTCTCACCCATCCACTTGAACACCAGGTCGGACGACGAGATGCTGCAAAGAAGAGGGAGGAATGGAGGGGAAAGGGGTGTGGGGGGGGGTGGGAGGGTGGGGGAGGATGGGGGGGTTGAAAGAAGTGTTACGAGGTGCACCGTTACCAGCTTCTCGCTCTCGCCCATCCACTTGGACACCAGGTCGGACGACGAGATGCTGCAGAGAAGAGGGCGGAATGGGAGGGAAGGGGGGAGGGTGGGGCGGTCGGGGAGGATAGGGGGGGTTGAAAGAAGTGTTAGGAGGTGCACCGTTACCAGCTTCTCGCTCTCGCCCATCCATTTGACACCAGGTCCGATGACGAGATGCTGCAGAGAAAGGAATGGGGTGGGTGGATTTGGGGGGACAGGGGGTTACAGGACAGGATGAACATTGGGGTTATGCCTGGGAGAGCCGTACAGGAGGAAACGCTCGCATTCGATTCGACCACGACACAGAATTCCAGTCCAGCCCGCAGATTAACCTAAAAACGGTGAGTCTGATTCCGTCCGTGGCGAGGAGGAACGCCCTTTACCAACCACGGAACAGCATTCCAGTCAGACCTCCAAACTAAACTGAAGAAGGTGGAGTCTGCCTCCACTGCGACAGCTTGGCGAGACACGACCTGCCGATGCCAGGAGGGCCATACCGGGAGGAAATGCCCGAAATTGAACACGGAACAGCATTTCAGTCAAACCCCCGAGCTCACCTGAAGAAGGTTGAGTCGGCCTCCGTGGCGACGGCCTTGGCGAGATACGACTTGCCCGTGCCTGGAGGGCCGTACAGGAGGAACGCTCTCCATGGCCGCCTCTTGCCTGACATAGATAGATGCACAGACATGCATTCCACGGATGTGAGCCATTTGAAGCATGTGCATGTCGGCTTTCAGAATGGATGTCAGCAACACGTGGTGGTGTAGAGTGGAAGTGGTGTAGAGTGTAAAATTAGGTTTCTATGGCAACATTGCAAGACGCACGACGCCATGGAACAACTCGGTTCGCTACGTGCGTAACAGCACGAATAGGTCAGTCAACAGCCAATGGAGAGCGCGAGGTACTCACCTGTGAAGAACTGCGGGAATTTGACTGGCAGGATGACCGCTTCCTGGAGCGCCTGCTTTGAGTCGACTAAAAACACGACTCAGAGCGCGAGGTACTCACCTGTGAAGAACTGCGGGAATTTAACTGGCAGAATGACCGCTTCCTGTAGCGCCTGCTTCGCGCCTTCCAATCCTGCCACGTCGGACCACTTGATGTTCGGCTTCTCTCGCACAATGGCCGAATTCAACCCCGATCGAAGCTTCATGTTGTCAGCGTCGTCATCCCCACCACCACCAGCTCCGCCTTTCTTCGCCTTCGGCTTGATTGCAGACGCCGCGTCTCCCGGCGCTCCGTTCTGCGGTGCTCCTTCCAATACCTCCTTAATCTGCTCGGCTCGATCTAGGTATTCCACGAACTTGGCCTGAATCGCGTCCTTAATCTTCGGGTTCTTCTCGTACTTCAAGTGGGTCTTAAAATACTCGAGCGCGTTCATGTAAAGAGGCAAGGCCTTGGCATAGTTGCCAGCTGTATCCTCCTGTACAGCCTGCTTCGCATACTCAATCCCTTGCTCCTTAAAGTTACTGTACATGGCAACAGATTTGGTGGAAATCGAAACTCCGGAGAGGATCAGATAGGCTACCGCTGCGATAATCTCTTGAAAAACTGGGACCGAATGAAGGCTGCGATGATTTTAACTTGAACGCTCGCCTCTGCATGTGGTATCCATTGTGTACGATGGTCGAGTTTTCAGAAGCTCGTGATGGAAAGTGAAAGTAATCTGTTCTTCGCGAGTAATCTACGAAAAAAAAGTTAGCTTATCCCCGAGATTGTAACTGCAAATGGCGAGGCGCACAAGTCCCTTTGTGAGGTCAGTCAGTGCATAATCGTGGTGAAAGTGGTGAACACAAGCAGCAGCTGAAGACAGGAAGCAGTGGTGGTGATGGTCTTGACAAGAGCTGCTGGGAAACGGAATGTTTCCTCGTTCCTCAATCTGACTGCCTGACAATCTCGACACAGACTCGAAGTCAACAGTTCATCTGAACTTGACTGCCAGGACCAAAATTGAGTATGTGCGTTCGCGAGTATCGTCGAGCCTGGACGAACTGTTGCTGGCCCCAATGCGACAATATTTCTCCTTTGGGTTACCACACGGTGTTCGTGCAACTGGTATCTGGCGTGGGCTTCGCCGAAAATGATTTTCAGCCTAGGGCTGCAAGGCAACCAGGAACTTCTGAATGAAACAGCTACTGGTACTGTGGGAGAACAGCTTAGGACAAGGCAACTAACTAGGGCATGCTTACCGTTATTTTAAAATGGAAATAATGGTGAGGGAGACACAAGGAACCCACTTTCCCTTTGCTACTGTGTTTCCCCTGCACCTGAGAACGGCAGACACAAAACTCTGATCATGTTCAGCAGCAGCCAAACAGGCCTAGAAGGTGAAGTGGGCATATCACTATGTACATCATTTTAGGCAAAGCAGAAGTATTCATTACATTAATGTACATCACAGGGTCACGTGCGCAGCATGACCAACAGCACCACCACACCACCACACAAACCCTCGATGTGTCACCCATCATCTGCACCCTCCAGCTGCTCATGTGGAATACATGTGCACCTCTGGATATTTGAACACTAACTCTCCAGTTACAAACGGAGGAAAGGCGCTCAAAAACAGCACCAAATCCAAGTTGTCAGGGTCCTTGAGACCTCAAATAGCAATACGCGTCCTTGAAAAGAACAAATCTGTACCCCATAGCGCCATGAGGACATTGGCAGCCTGGCGACAATTCCTTGTGATTGAAAAAATCCATCCAGTGAAATGCTCTGAGACCCTGACAAGGCTCAAAGCACCTTGTATGAACGCTGGGAGCTCAAGACTGGAAATGACCTGAGTCAATTGTGTATGTCGACTAGGAACGACGAGAGAGGAGAGTGACAAAGTCGGACGGTTCCTCGGTGAATCGACCTCTGCCATCAACGCATCGTGGAAAATATAAAAATGCGCCTCAGAAATTGTGTGGACGAACCGACAAATACTGAAGCTGTATGGAACACGACAATTTTAACGAAACAACGCCCAACTGTCCCACCATGAGTGCATACCTAAGTGTTGATATCCCCTAAGAATTTCCGGCTCCTCAACTTCGCACTCTGCAACCCAACGAGCTGGTGAGGCCGAATTATCATTGGAGGGACACTCTGGCGGAAATGACACCTCGAGCTCGTCGTCATCATCCCGCTTCATAGTTGCACGGGGATGTCTAATCGCTTTCGATGACCCTTTTTTTAAGCACGCTAAAAGGCCGAGTGCTGAAACTCCAACAATACGAGCGGAGAGGTAAGGGAGGGCCGTGAGCAGCAACACTTGGTCAGGTTCGATAGCACAGCCACCCCGTCGCCTTAGGGGCCCCTGTGTTACGAAAAGCATTCAACCCTGGGAAATACTCCACGTTGCGCCGCTGTGCTACACGGGACTTTCACATCAAGGATCGGAGTGCGCCGGATCCAGCACAACCCTAATCTTGTTTCATTACTAAGTCGAGGAACCCCTGCCTTCCTACCAGCGGACTGTCTAAGAACATAAGTCACTCTTCATAATCTCGCTCGTCCTTCCTACCAACTACTCTACTCTTCAACTCGAGCCTTTTCAAGGAGCTCACGAACAAGTCTCCCACCTAAAAAGCTACTCGCCTCGCATCGCAATTGCAGCCACAGCTGGCTTCTGGAATGCTGACGGTGATGTTCAGTTGGCTTGGCTGGTTCAGCAGCACAAATGTGGCGGTGGCGGGTCATCTTTCACTGATGAGCCACAAGGTCGAGAAAACAGAAACTGGTGGTTGAACTGCCTTTCATGATTGGGCAGGTGGTTCCGCAAAGCGGAACAGTTTCATCTTCGTCACGTTCGGTACTTGAAGCTGTGACTGTCGCAGCGCCATGTGCTGGCGAGCATCCAGCCATGTGAAGACGTAGACTCCACACCACTCGAGATGATCCGGACAATCTGCGTTACAACAGTCTAGGTTGTGCTACATCACTCATAAATATTAGGCCACATTGCCCAACAAAAATATTTACATGCTCATAACAAAAGCAGCACTAGCACTATGTTCACCCCATGGAACTTCAATCTCATAAACGGCATTCAGAACTCCCTCCCAAACCAACATAGATTTCCCCTTCCGAAGCACGCACAACATGCTCCCCTTTCTTCTTTCAGAAGTACCGCATGCATCAACAGCTCCGATACAAACACCAGCAGCGGCCATTCCTTCGCTACCAGCAAGCCCAGTCGTGTATCCATCACCAGCAGCTACAGGAATGATCATCACCTGGTCTCTAATGCTGCTGAATATCCCTGTTCCACCTGACGCCATCACCCTCACCACGTTGTCTTCATTAACCAGAAAACCTACCTTTGCATTTTCGTTCCCTCCTTTCCCCCCCCCCCCACTCTCGTCCCCCGACATCAACAGCAAATGGTTCAGGTCCACGTGTAAACAAACGCCTCATCTCTGACTGCAATTCCTCTCCTTGAAGCACAAGCAAGTCTCGCCTCATAGAAATTCGCCCGTAGCTCAGTACAACATACGCAGGTCGCCTGCTCAGTGCATCATACACCGCAGCGGCCTGCAGCAACAGCTGCTTGTGGCATCCCCGCGGCCCTTCCCCACAATCAACCTCCACAACACCACGAGAGTTGCTTTCACTAGTATCACCACCATCAAGGGCAGCATCTGCATGCCTGCCTCCATGCATCATGCCAGCTTCAAGCGAAGGATCAAAATCCTCCTCTTCCTCGTCTTCCTCCTCATCCGCCTCCTCATCCGCCTCTATCCATTGCCGTGTATACGGGTCGAATGATGCGATCTGGCGATCCGACCTGCACCGCATCCTCTCCCCTCCTCTTCCTCTCACACCTCCACCCTGCCAGCCCTGTTCCTTTGGACCAAGCAGGTGCCAGAGACCCCCCTCGTGAGCCAGAAAAGAGATCGAGCTGGGGAAGTGAAAACAAGAGAGGAAACAGCTTGTCAGCCATAGGAAGGTAATCAGCAATAACAGCAAAAAATACCCTCTGACAAGAAACATATGCGATGGTACTAGCCCATGCGTTGTTTCATGTCTCTTTCCACCAAGAACCTTGTGTTCAGCCAACACCAACAACAAGAACAACAATGGCAATCATGGCATGGCACCGCCCTTAGTCTTACCCCATCCGCCGGCGTGGAGGAAGTTTTTCTCCACTTCCCTTTTGGCATGCCTGCTTCATCCACCTGAGAGTGGGGGAGAGAGCAATAAAAGGAACTGCCTGTTGCTCGAAATTCATGACAATCACCTGGGACATCAGTACAAGGACATGGCATGGCAACATGTACAGTCACAATTGCATGACCGCAACATCCGTGTCAACACCCTACCAAACGTGAAGTCCATACTGACTTCAACAACAGACTAATAACAATAACTACCAGTGCACGCACAACAATACATCATCTAGCCAGAACTCACCCCCAGCACATGCACAATAATATCGCCAAGGCTATCCACATTTCCGTATAATACCTGTCAGCGCAACCAGGGTAAGAACCAAAGGGGGAAAGCGAGAGCTAGTCATGGAGAAAGGGAGCAGAAACGGAAGAGGAAGGACTCAGTAAACAGCTGAAAGGCTGCAATGAAACAACTGCAAATGGAACAATATCAAAGTTCGCCGCCATGCAATGTTAAAACAAATGTCAGCCTTGGCCATGCAATGTTAAATAGTTTCAAGCAGGGATGGTATGGGCACATGGTACATACCTGTGGCGAATCGCTGACAAGGACAATGTGCGAATCAGACGCTGCCAGGTGGATGACGAGTTGAGCATCAGGCGGCAACTGCGGACCACGTGTGCAGGCGCCAGTGACAGCGTCACGAATAACAAGGTCGCCTCTAAAAAAATACTGCTTGTGCTTCACTGCTACTGTCTTGATGAGGCGAGAGGAGCGGGAAGATGCAGTTTCGCTTAACCTGAACCATTTGTTTAAAACTGGGAGAATCAAATGGTAAGGAGCGGAAGGAAGGAATGGGTAGCTGATGGTGGGGTACGGAATTGTGGACAGTGCGGTAACCATGAGTGGTAAGAGCTGGTACATGTCGAATGAAAAATGCTGAACGGACAAGAGCGCGCAGCTGAAGTCGCTTGAGTCTAATCGTGTGCTTCGAAAAACTCACTGGGTGAGAAGGCATAGAGTGAGTCCAGACGAACGCCTCCTCGAAAGGAAGCGTGGGAGGAGGTGGAAGTGGTGGTGGCGGAAGGGGAAGGGTGGTGGTACACGTTGACGTACACCCAGCTCTCCTTGCGTCCCAGTTGTTCCCTTAGACTGCACTTGCGGAAAGGGTACAGACAACACACGAGAAAACATCACGTGGCTGACACGCAGTCGAGCCGAACCTGCTCACTACACTATTCTTATGTAAGATTCGAGAAAACAAAGAACTTACAGCATGGCGTAATTGACGGCAGTCAAGCCACACCTGTTCTTACTTACCTGTACACGTGCTCGTCTTCTAGAGCTGCCTTCCACCGACGACTGACGCACTTTAAG